GATCTCTCCTGGATGGCCTGTATGGAGTTTGTTCTTGAGGTTTATCTGGGACAAAATACAGTGCTTTTACAGTAGCATTTTCAAATGTTTGTGCTACTCATATGCCAGCTCAAATGTTAGTCTAGAATTATTGTCAGGCATGTTAACATTCTTTAAAGAAAAGACTAGACATTTTTCAGGGAGGAGGGCTGAGGAGAAATGAAATAGTGTCATTCTTATCTATTTTTTAACCAGTAGGACTGAAGGGAGATAAACTCTCCTGGCTAGGCAAGTGTTTGTAGCTTATTCCTGCAAACTTCTGGCTTCTGTGGCAGCATTTTCAGATTGCTGTTCCTGAGTTGGTATTTTGCATGCAGGTAAGGTTTTTCCTGATACTGAAAGTGTCAGAAAGAAACCTGGGGAGACACCAAGAGAAGATCAAAGTGTAAAATACAAGTCGTCGTATGATCTTTTCCACTACCACGTTATCCCTTCCCTGAGCACTTCTATGTGTCTCATGGACCAGTACTTATTTTTAAAATAACCTGTGTTCTTAGAAGGGATTGGGCACATGCTAAATTTTGAAAACCCAATTAAATGCAGTTTTTGAGAAAGGACTGAGGTGTTTTTAATAATCATGGCAGTTTTCAGTGTTCCCCCAGTTTTCTCTGAAAATAAGTAGCACTTAGGAAAATAAGAAAAAATAGGGAGCATTTGTATATTTCTACCTTTTCCCTTTCAGTGGCACATTGGAATGGAGAGGGTGAAGAAGGTTTTGTTTCTGGGAGAAATAGCTGCTGGACCATTTTTTAAGGCAAGGGAAGGGTATAAGATACGAGGTTTCTGCCTAAGGAGATTTAAGCCTTAATGTGCTGCTGTCCCTGCTTTGGAAAACCAATCTCCTGTACTTTGTTAAAGAATTAATTTTTTTAGTCCATGTTCTTTATCACCAGTCTCCAATTCAAACAGAAAATTGGTCTGCAGCCTCTCTACAGGCCTCGACTTTGGCATTATGCATCTATTAATGCTGTACCTACATTTCCAAATTGATGCTCAGTCAGGATTTTTGCCTTGAAGCACCCCCAGTAATGAAATGTGCCCATGAATGAATACGAGGGGCTCACCAGTCCAGCCCAAGCTCTTTGCCAGCCCTTTCCTTTTGTTGTCATCTTCACACATTGTGTGAAGAACATCCCAAACAAACCTCGACAACAAAAGCTCCCTGGGGGCACAGTGCCACTCCTGCTCACCAACAGTAAATTTTATCCCTGTTTGCCCCATTTTTCATGCTGAAAATGTAACATCCCAAACCAGTGATGGCTTCCTTCCTTTCTGCAGAGTTCAGTATGGTTTTGCTTTTCAGTCACTTTGGGGAAGCCAAGAAGTAAGACACTACACTCCTTTCATTTTTCCTCCTTTTCAAGTGAACAAACAAGAAGCTGTTTGACTTTGCTTGTCAGAGCAGTGGTTCTTGTATTTGAGTAGCTGTAGCAATTGCTAATCATGAGAGTGATTGTAAACCCCTGCTTAGTGCTGCACAAGAGGTGGTTTCACTATGATGTGAATTAGCACAGGAGGAGATGCTGCAATTAGAGTAATTGGAGGTTACTTATAGCATATAGGAGGAAGAGGGATAAATAAGCTTTTGTTTAAGATACTACTTCTGATGTGGCACCTCCTGGGTCTGAGCTCAGCAGGGTAAAATGTTCATTTTTTTCTCTGTTTTGATGCATTTATCTCAAATTTTATGCAAAATAACTGATTTTGGTGTATGTTCAGAACAGCTGAAAACTTTTATTGGGTTGTTGATTTTAGTTGTGGGTGTTTTGTGGCTTTTTTTGGTTTTGGGCAGCAGTAGGATCAAGCAGTAAATTGCATCTCAGTACCTCTCATGCTTCATTTCCATCACATTTGGCAGTTATGCCTATTGGGATTTTAATTAATTTCCACATGGAGTTTATTCAGATTTCATATTTCAGTCTTACTAAACTGGACTTATTGTTGCCTAGATTCTGTGCATGCTCTCATCTTTGTGCAGAAGATAAACTTGAGGAAAAGACACACTGGAGACTCAACTTTTTCCAAGCACGTAGCTCTTAAAGAACAAATTAAGATACTGAATTCCCATTAAGTTTCTTGACCCTAAATGTGTGTATTTTTGTCTAAAAACAGACCTGCAATGATAGATGAAGGCAGTGGATTTTCAGGTCATTGGAAACAGGGTTATTCTTCCAGATTTGCTTTGACATAGAAATAAATTTGCAGTTGTAAAATGGGAAGCAGCTGACTAACTAGTTCATAATGTGGGTCACCAGTGTAAAAAAGGTTCTAGTCCTATTCCAGCGACTCTGACAGTATCAGCACCACTGAGACCTTAGTAAGATCATAAAAGAACAGCAGACTAGTAGTAAACTGTTCTTGATCAGTAGCAATATCAAAGATTAGAGGAATGCTGGAGATGAGAAACAAATCCACAAATTTAGAAGTGTGGTGCAAGGAAAAGAGGGAGAACTGGGACTGGCTCGGTCCTTTGGGGCACTGCTGCCTTGTCACTCTCTGCCTCCTATGCTTGCATCTCCTTTGGCCAAATGCCTCTTCCTATTTCACAGTTCTCAAATGCTGCAGTTGACTCAAAGTTCCTTTAATTATTTATTCCCACAAACTCAAGAGGACTCTAAATTAAGGGAAGGAGTGTAAAGGTTGTTACTGCACTGGTGCTGGAATAAGGGAACAGGTGATCAATAGGCAGGTAAAAGGGATGGTGGCTGCTTTATTTCTTGAAAAACGCTGAAATAGAGATATAGGAACCAGATTTTCTCTGGCTCTAACAAGGAAAAGATGAATTTCAAATTTTAAAAGATTTCCACTTATTAATGGAGGAAAACCTTGCAAGAGACCATCAAGTGCATCTGCAAAATATCCCTCTCTGGGTGCTTTAAAAGCACACTAAGCAATCTTTTGTTAATGAATGAAATCCATGCAGGCAGCTCAGCTCAAAGAATTGGCAGCCCCTTCCCTGCCATTGTCCAAGGGACAGTCTGCACAGGATTTTGTGGCACACAGTATTGCATTCAGCTTCTGTATGAAAATGAAATGCTCATTAGAGCTGAAATAATAATAAAATTTAAAAAAAACCAAACTAAAAAACCCTGTTTTGAAAGTTCAAGACTACATCTTACTGGAAATTTAAAATACAGTATGTAACATTGATTTATGTGTTAGGTAGATAGAGGTAGCTGTAAGATGTAACGTTGTTGTAATGTGACTGTCAGTGTAGTATTGTGAAGGTATAATATTGTCCTGCTCTCCACTTAACACATCACAAAATTACTGAAAGAATGGATTTTACCATGTCATTAAAGTATTTGGTAAAAAGTTCTTAACTTACTGACATCTCGAAAGAATCATCAAATATCTGTTTCTTACGGATTTCTTTGTAGCATTTCAGCAGTCTCTGAGGTTATAATCCTTGCTAACTAATTAATTAAAATTATAACTGAATGGGGTTGTGGGATACATGGAGATTGGAGTAATAGTGAGTGACAGGGAGAGTGAAACAGCCAGAGAGAGATCATCTGGATTGCTGGGCATCATTTACTTACATAAATTATCATGCAAAGGTGTATAATGAGATGTATGGGTCATGCTCGAGAAAACAAAAAGTATTACTCAACAAAAGTAATAATTCTGAGAATATATCAGTGTTTATAATGGACAGGTCACATGAACTCACAGCATAAAGCTGTGTGGAAGGGCCAAGAGGTGATGTCTAATAAATCACAGGCTGATCAGGAGCTTGGCTTCACTTGTGTGGAACCCCCAGATGTGTTTGTATTTATGGTGCAGGTGGTCTCAGTACCAGACTGTTACAATCCTACAGCTTTAGAACTGTTCCTGAATTGCTGTTGAAAAATTTCACTGTGGGTCGGTTCTACAAAATGGTTCCAGCACTTTTTCTTGGATTTTTTAAGAGTGTTAAATTGCTTATTTTTGTGTGGGGATATCACTGCTATCCCTGCCCTGCAAGAAATGGGTTTCTCTAAAGGGCTCTTTAATGCAGAAGGGTGACAAAAAGCAGTGGCTGTGCACTGAAATCAGGCATTTTCCATGATCCATGTGCTTTAACAGCAGGGATGAGTGGCCCTTGGAGCAAGCTGCCAAAGGAGGTAGTGTGAACACTGTGCTTTCATTTGCTTCTGGCCAAGGGTGGATAATATGCTGGCAAATGTATCAAATGAAGGTTGCTGGAGTTGATGCAGTTGTACTGGGTAGGATTGAAAGGCTCTTGATTACTGGAAGATTAAATGATGTGTACTCTGTTTCTGTGAAAATCTAGGAAGAAAACTGTGGTCAATACTTAGGGGGCTGTTGCACACTAGGGAAAAAATTGCTCATCAAACTTATTTTTACACATAAATTCTCTCTCTTAAGGAGTAATATCCATGAAGTAATGTCCATGTCTTACCATGCGTTGTGAGTATTGTTCATTTTGCAGTCTGGCTAAACGTGCTGGTTTTATTCATCAAAGGGCTGCTTAATTTGATTGCTAAGAGTTATATCAATTGAATCTTAATGTATTTGAATTAGTGCCTTCTTCTAGAAATGCTCTATGTTGAAGGAGATTGCTTAATTGGTATTCTTGTAACTTCTACTTTTGAGTGGATTTTAATGAACTCAGATTTACCAAAAGCAGTGTACCTCTCAGCAAATTTGCCTTAGCCTTTGCCTGGAGGAGTTGTAATGTGTACAGGTTCTGTGCTTCTTATGCTCACATTATTTTAATGTTATTGCATCATGAATATGCATCAACACAATGTTTTCACATGCAGACTACTTACTATTAGAAATCTGTGCTATTCTATGTAATTTTGTATAGACCAGTGAATACTGTTTTATAGACTTTGAAATTATAAAAACCACTGCCTGTTTTTTTTAATGAAACCCAAATCTACCTGTATTTTTCTGTTGAAGTATGTACAGGAAAAGCTGATTGGTTTTTTTTACCATTGTTTGTTTTTCAGTGAGAGGTTCATGGTGAGGTTAAACAAGAACGGAGGTCCCAGGAATCCGGAGAAGATCGATCGAATGTGTGCACTTTTCACAGTACGTGTCTGTTCCCTTTCTTCTTCCCTCACAGAAGCGGGGTTGGAGCTTTCCTGAGGGGAAGGAAACCCAGTTCTTCCTTTCCAATATAACTAGTAGAAGAGAAATAATTTCTAAGTTTTGTTATGGTTTTGACTAAATGTTAACATAGAAAGTGAATATACTTCTAAATTACTTTTATGTCTAAGTGAATATTCTGAAGTACTTGCATTTGTTCCTGCAGATAGTGTGAAATTTTGAATATTTTCATTGGTTATGCTGTGCTCTTTGATAACAGAGCATAGGAAAAGGCTGTGATGGGCCTGAACATAAAACAAGGCAGTTTTCTCTGAATGAAAATCAGACAAGTGTTTTCCCTTGTCCTGTCCCTACATGCCCTTGTCAGAAATCGCTCCTGCACTGGTCTTAAGTTGTGTTTAAAATTCCCTCAGAATCAGGTGTCAGACGATCATTTTATCTGCTGCTGCTTCTCAGAAAGAATATGAAAATCTAGAGGCACTGAAACTTAACAACTCCTTACAGAATAACTGTAAGGAATCTCAGATCCCAAGTGTGATAAACACCTTCCATCGTGACTCACCTTTAGTTAGTGCACATGCTGGAAGCTCTGTAGCAGAAGTATTTTTACCTTCAGTGAAGAAGAAAGATGGCAGAGCTTTGGTTCTGGCAGTGACACTCTCTGAGGTCAGGCAGGGCTGGACACTGAACCAGGTCCCCAGCACTGCTCCCTTCTCTCCCTTAAGAAGGCAGCAGAATTCCTCCTCTTAGGGAACAGAATAGATCCAGGTGTAAGGATGCTTTGTTCTGTCTCCATCTGGATCTGAGAGCTGCAGTCCAAAAGTAGCACTGACCTGGATGCTGACATCAGTAACAGTTCTGGTTTTGGTACCATTGGTGAGGTGCTGCCAGCAGAATAAACATGAGCAAGGTGACAGTGTCACCCAAGAGATGGTAACTCAAACCCAGAGCCTGGCCCTGCTGAGAGATGGTGGCAGGAGTTAAGGTTCAGCACTGAGGCTGAGTCAGGTGAAAGGCAGGAGTGCAGCTTTAGGAGCTGCCCTAAGGAATATTCCCAAAAGGCAGCAAAGGCTTTGTATCAACTTCGGCACTTTCTGGCCTCTGAGGTTCATCAGTTTGGGTAAGATTTTCAGCATCCACCTTCCTCACCCTCACCCATGCCACACGACTTGGAGTCATGGTCCTGTTTCTCTCTGTGTGGTGAACAGTGTGAAACAGTTTTGCTCTGGTGATCTTCAAATCAGTCTTTACAGCCTTTAAAAATAATGACGAATTACAGCCAGGGCCATTACAGAGTTCCAGGAGGGAGCTGCTGCATATTCTGAGTAGGGCCGGTGTAGTCCAGGAGCAGGCAGCCCTGGGATTGCAGGCATTTGCCAGTGCAGCCCCAATCCTGATCAGTGATACCTCCTGAGCTCCCTTTGCTATTACTGTGCAAAAATACCAAAGCTGCTGCAGTCTCAGCTCTCCAGGGTGCTCAGACTCCATCACTGGCTGGTGGAGGTGCTTAGACTCTCACTCATCTGCTATAGAATGTGTAGAATGTGTATTCTACCTAACAAGAATTCTAATGAATGTATACGCTACGTAACAAGAATTATAATTGGAAAAATTATCTGTGCAAAAAGATCTTACATTTCTAAAACAGTATTTTTCATCAATGTGTTCAAAGAACTTGCCAAAGTGTGTAGTAAAGGAGCAATAAGTATTTGCTTTTTTGGATAACCATTTTATCTGCAGTGGTCCTATCTTATAATAATTTCTTAATTATGAAATGCTTCTAAGATAAGAGAGTTCTGTGATTTTCAGGTCTTCTCCCGAGATTGTGTTCATCTTGACTTTAAATCTATTTATCTATTTGTTTTATTTGTGTTTCCTTGCCCTCCCTCACCACACCACAGTATCTTTCTAAAACTCTCATCTTCCCCTAAGGCAAGCAGCCCATATCTTAGATAATTCAAGGGATCCCTGTCTTTTCCTGCTGTCTCTGTTACTTCTAAGGGTTCAGCTGTCTCCTTGTGTAAGATATCAAAATTACCCAGGCTTGGGTTTTACCTCTGCTGTCATATCATAGCAGAGGTGAGAAACTGCTTGCTCTGGAGATCAAAGCTCACTCAAGCAAACCTCAGCCTGTGCACATGTTAGAAACATTCCTGGGTCTGAATTAAAATGTAACTACCCTGTATAAGGTTGTTATTTTTGTTAAATACCTTATTCTCTGTAGCCTATGAGGTTGACAGCGGGATTAAAGAACTAATTAGTGGCAGACAGGTATCCTTGATTCCAGTGAGTTGGGGGTTGTTATGATGCTGTTTGGGTTTTTTAACACACAAGCAGACCTTTCTAGAAACCAGCATTGTAAAGAACTAACCATCATTGTAGAGTAACTCTCTTCCATACCCAATACAGATGGGAAAATTTAGGGGTGATTTTCTAAAAAGCCATTCAGTTACAATTATAATGAAACTATGTTGTCTATCAGTCAGTATCATTTGGGAAGCTCAGAAAGATATGGGAAATACCCACAAATATCCACCCTGTGGATGTAGTCCTAAGAATAACCAGTAAATGTGGTTTATCCTCTCCTAGTTCTAGGAGTTGTACATGGATTCTCTGCAGAGGAATCATCTGAAAACTTCCTCACAGGGTTGGGGCTTTTGATTGTTTGGTCCATGTCATAGTAAGAATTTCTTGCCTTGTAAAAAGCCTGTGCTGTACAAACTGAAATGCAAGGCCATCTGGGCCCTCATTTTTTTGTCTTTTGCCTGTGACACTTTATTTGTGAAATTGGAAAAGCAACTAAAGTGTGAACCCATCAATATGTTCATGCCCTGCCGTTTTCTGATGTTTTGACAGCTGCCCTTTGAAAAAATAGTTCTTTAAATTGCTGTTAATTAGAACTGGTAATCTGATGGTATAATAAAATTCCCCCTGTCAAAGCACAGATATTTTCAGGAATCTATTGCTCTCTAGAGCATTAAGTATTACCTCCAAGTTTTTTTGCTTTTTGAAATGTCTTGTCAGGCATTTCTGAGATTAAAACTATGTCAAATCCCTTTTAGTGTGGAACTTCATGTCTCCAAGACGTGCAAGATAAAGGCTACCTTATGTTACCCTGGTATGTTGGGTGATGGAGAAAGCCTAGAAAGTGTGTTCCCTTCTTGATGTAGCAGCAACATCGAGCCTGAGGAGGAATGCTAAGGATGGTTTATGTAGCTTCATTTTCTGGCTCTGGAGAGACAGATCTGCTGGTTAGCAGCATCCCAAAGAGTGGCTCTGCAGCTCCCTGCATATGCTGCCCTGGGAAATACAGAGCTGCTTTTAGAGAGCAAGGAGATACAGCCATGAATTTATTACTTGCCTGCTGTAGTTTAGCAATGTAACACAACTGGGAAGGGCTTGAAGCTTTTTCTTAGTATGAATTCCCTTTATGTCTAGTTCTGAGTCACTGTGCCAGCTTTTGTTGTGCTGTGTGGCACTGTAGTCTGGAGTTGCATTGCCATCATAATCTCCCTGATTGAGGTTTGGGTTCTCAAGTCACATGAGAAGGAAATTCCCTGTGTGATTCAAGGTTTATGTTTTAGCTTTCAGCAAAATGCAGGTTTTAATTCTAAGTATTAGGAATGACAGATCTTCGATGTCCAGAGTTTCAATTTCTTCCCCTCTTTATATAAAAATAGCATTATTTCCTTTTACAGTGGTTATAATACCAAGTAGTTGAGGAGCTTTTTAAAGAAAACCACGAGATTTTATCTGAATCAGAGACTGTTGCAGTTAATTTTTGTGTAAGTAGTACCTGACAGTGAAATGGCAGCACTCAATAGAGAAAGAGGCAGCAGCTGTCACTGTAGAGCACAAGGAGCCTTTTTACATCAGTGTAAAACAGGGATGAATATTCTCCCAGTACACAGTATCTGTTTAAAGTCTTGTCTGGGAGGTGACTGGCATAGGGAAAACTGGTTTTTAGGAAGAAATGTTTCTTAGACCTTTCCTGTAACTAAAAAAAAAAAAAATGTAGGAGGAATGTCTCAGAAGTTGCTTATGAAGCAAGTTTATGAAGTTATCAGTGAAAAGTACAACATACCAAGGAAATTGCAGTTAAGGTGGCTTCTGACATGTGAATGCAAAGTGCTGCAGTAATGCTTTACTGAAAAGTGTCCTATGTATATTTTCTTTATTTATTTATTTTTAAATTTTTCTCAGAGTTAATAACACTAACTTGTCTTCATTAATTTCAGCTTTCCTTTTGCTCTTCTGTAGGTTCTCCTTTTCCTGTTGTTTGTTTTTTCTTGAAGCTCATTTTTAAAACTCTTGGCCTGCTTTTCTGTAACGTGGATTTCAGAGTTTTCATCCACATTTATAGTTGCAGGCACTTATGTTGGATTGTCTCTTTTTTCTAATCTTTCAGGATCTCAGCAGCAAGGACATGAAGAGGGATTTGTACATAGTTGCCCATGTAATCCGAATAGGTACAGTATGATTTTGTGCTTGAAATATATGTAATAAACAGAGCTCTTAGAGTATTTTTAAATGTATGTTTTAATTAGCTGAATTTATAATGATTTATACATTTAGAAAACTCAGTCATAGACTGATTGACATTCAGACCATATGGAGCTAAGTGTTAGAAAGTTACTGATGACTGTTTAACAGTGATTTTGTTTTTCTGAGTCTGAAACAGAATTTTTGATTAAACACCACGTCTACAGGAGAGGGACAAAGTAAAAAGGCTTTTTGTTTAATGTTTAAAAATCTCAAATGAGATCTTCATACTGGTGGTATAGCTAGTTTACAGGGCAGCACATCAGCATGTCTGACCATCCACATCGAGTAAATCAGAGGCTGTTAGACAAATATATGTCAAGATTTGTTTGCTGCTGTAGGAATCTACTGTGGTGCAAGTACATATTTTACCTGTGTTAAGTATAATTTATTGGAAATATTAGGCTTGAAATGTTAACAGTGGATAGTGGGAGCAGCAGAGACAGATTCCTGAGCTGTATTATTGTAAACAAGTGAGAAGTGCAGTGCCATTCGTGTGTTTCAGGTGACTGAGGAATGGCCAGTGTTTGCCAGGAAAGGGTTTTTAAGCCTGTTGCCAGCCCAGTCACTGCTCACACCCATTACTAGCCACAGGCACCTTTTCTGAAGAGCAGCAACTCCAAGCAGAGCCTTGTGTATTGTGCTGGAATGGCAGTGTGCCTTCAGAGCCACGAATATGTCAGAGAGGTTAGGGTTTCATTAGCTGACTTCCCGTGTCATAAGAGCCTACACGTCAGAATTGCTCTGTTATCACTTGAGGTGATAAATGAAGCCTGTAGAAAGATGCTGTATTAACCTTGATGCAAGGGCTGGGCAAATTATTATGTGTGATGTTACAAGTTCACTTTGATTATCACGGTGATTTTTCTGGCCTTGGCATCTTTTGCTCTATTTAAAAACTGCCTCAGTAATAGGATGTTAATCACTGAGCAGCTTTGTACCTCAGAATTCTCTTTCCTGTGCTCCAAGAAGTATCCATCCAAACATGATTGACAACCAATATATAATATTACAAGTATTATATACAATATGTAATACATTCCCTTAAAGCGGTTGAATAACATGAGAATTTATGCAAATAGTGCACTCTATGGAAGGAGCAGAGTGAATCTCTGTGTGGGTCAGACTGATGAGTACAGCCATATTCTTGGCTCCTCCACAGATGATTTGTAGTCAGCCCAGCTGGATGCAAATATGTGTCATGGAGCTGCAAATCAAAGCTGGCCAGACATGATGCTTTTCACTTTGCCCTTGGCTGTTTTTGGCTGAGTGAGGTGTAGGTTCAAACGGACCTCTGGGTTTGAAAAGTTTGAGTGAAAAGCTGGGGTGGGTTGACACCAGGTGCCCTCCAAGCCTCTCTGTCTCTCCCCTCATCCGCAGGATGGGGCTGGGGAGTAAATAAGATTGAAGAGAATTAATGGGTGAAGAAAAAAATAGTCTGATAAAGCAAAGGCCATGAGCAGAAGCAAAGGAAAGCAAAAGATTCATTCCCTACTTTCCATCAGCCATCAATGTCCAGCCACTTCCCTGGAAGCCAGGCTTCAGTCTGTATAAAGCCAAACCTCACAGCGAGCAGTGTCCCCACTCCTCCTTTCCGCTGTGTTGCTGAGCAGAGGACACGTGGCCTGTGACATCCCTTGGCCAGTGTGGGTCAGCTGTCCTGGCTGTGTCCCCTCCCAGACCTGCCCCCCAGGCTCCTGGAGAGGTGGAAGTTGTAGAGGCAGTCCTGGTGCTGTGCCAGTCCTGCCCATCATCCCTGGGCTGTCACCAGCACTTCCCTGGGCACCAGCACAGCCCAGCACGTTGGGCCAGGGCAAAACCAATTCCAGCTCCTCCAGAGCCAGGCAGGAGTGTCACCTGCAGCCTGGAGCTGAAAGTCCTGGGTGTAATGAGCGCAGCAGGCAGGATGTGGCTGTGTGTCCATCGCTGATGTTTGAGTTTCCCTCCTTTCAGGCCGCATGTTGCTCAACGACTCCAAGAAGGGCCCCCCCCATCTGCACTACCGGCGCCCCTACGGCTGCGCGGTGCTCAGCATCATGGACGTGCTCCAGTCCATCTCGGAAATCAAGGAGGAGAAGGACTTTGTGCTCAAAGTTTACACGTGAGTAACTCCTAGAAGGAAGATTTTTGCTTCTTCATTATTCCAGCAGCTCATAAAAACTAATGAATATTATCCACAGATGTTTCAGGTGTGTGAAATGCTTCAGAAGTTATTGAATATTGCCCAAATCTGTGTGACTTGCAAAGCTGCTCTTTTATTAATGTGAATTATTTAAAATCTGCTGAGCTCAAACCCAAAGAAATGTGCTGCATTTCATCTGATGAAGGGAATAATAACTCATGCCTCATCTGCTATTCCTTACCACTCATGGTAACCAACAAAAAAAAGTAGAAAATAACTGAAGTCAACAGTGTGTGACAAAATTCTCAAAACAAATCAACATTTTTTGAGCAGGAATCTGTCTTCAGTTATTTGTGATTTTGAACTTTGAACTAACATTCTTATTATGAAATATGGTCTCACGGTTGTAATAAAGAGGCCACAGACAAACTGTCTGGAGACTGCAGAGAATATTTTAGTCCCTTGTCAGTGAGGATAAATACTGGCAAGATCAGCTTTGCAGATGGGCTGAGGCACAGCTGACACTGCTTTGTGGTCTATGGCCACTACTGAGAGTAATAAGATAATTTGGTGGGTTATGAAACTTTGTCATTCTTTGAGAAGTGCATCCAGCAGCAGAAAATGTGATCTTCAAGGGAAACTAAATGAAAAAATGTCTTTTACTGTTCACTGAAGATTATTGGGTGTCTCTTCATACATTTGAAATCTCTTAAGTCCAAACAAAAGTCTCTCAGAGTCAGCTCTTTCATTCTTTTGCAAAAAGTTATGAAAACTCTAGCAAAAATTGTCAAATTATAGGAAAGAAAATGGTCATCTTTCTTCTCTCTGTCAGTAGAATCTGGCCAGTCTTGGCCTTTTGTCACATTCAGTTTCAGCTTATCTCAGAGCAGTGGAGTTTGGCTGTACAGTTCTATTGGCTTTGTAGATATGGTGTTAATGTATTGCAATTGCAACATTTTGAATGTTTACAGAAATGGAACATTCTGATTATTAGATTTCTGTTTTGTTGCCCATTTAATGCTTTTTTAGCTTCTGAAAAATAGAATAGAAAAAACTTGTTGAAACACTGGACTTTGTCAGTGACAAGTGGAGTCACAGCCCTTTAGAGGAACCCAAAGTCTTGGTACAGTGATGGAATAAAAATCACAGGATACAGAGCTTCCCTTTTCTTCCTGCTAATCTGCAGTGTTCTGTTAACCTGGACTCCCTTCACAGCACCCAGAGCACCAACAGTTTCTCCCCAAATTCCTCAGCAGATTTGCACCAGTTGTTCCTCATGTGGGCAGGGAGTGCCCCTGGCTGAATTCAGCTCTGCAATCAGATGTTTGTAATTCTTTATCACTATTATCACTCTCCTGGGCTGCTGTAAGGCTTGTACATCATTCTTTTATGTTGCTGCTGTTTGCAGTGTTCTGTGTAAACCTCCAGCACAAATATTCAGCGAGGAACAGGGATATATCTGAGGGGCACCAGCTCACTCCCTTTGCAGCTTTGATAGCTATTGGTCTTTCATGACAGAGTTGTCACAGGTTTGTCTCTTGCATCTTCTCTTTGCACGTTCCTTTAGCTCCCTTTTCCTGTTTGTTGGCTACTATTGAAATGACAGGGTTTTGTCTTTTGGAAGTTTAAAGTTGAATATGAGTGCTTTAACAGCCCTGAACTGATTTTCTTACCTGCTGCTCTCATTTTGATTACTGTTAAAATGCCTCAGGCCGAGTCCTAAACATCATAAAGATGAAGTAAGGAGAGAGGTGTATTTGTACTTTTCAAGGAGCAGTAAAAAGCATTCCTTTTATACACTATGTGGTTAAAGCTTACAGCTGCCACAAATGAGGCAGCTAGAAAAGGCTTTTCACAGGGAGAAGCTGGAAAAAATTTGAAAGACTGAAAACCTAACAAAGGCTGAAACAAATACATGGTCTGTAAATGGAGACTTCTGCTGAATCCACAAGAGAATGCTTATGGGAGGGGAAAAAAAATCAATTTGCTTCACCAGTCTTTCTCAGCTTGCCGTATTATTCTTAAAGATTTATGTCTGAAAAATATTTTTTTCCTCACAATTGAGATTTTTCTCTTTGTTAATCCCACAGTCATGTTAAAATCTCCCTAAGAGGATAGAGTACCACAGCTGTAGTTATAAGCTCATTATGCAAAAGCATAAAGGTTTACTTATATTATTCTTTTTAATATATATGTAAAATAATTTAAAAGTGAGAAGGAAGTTAAATTCTCAGTCAATTTTTTCTGAAGTAACTTGACTTAATATTTTGTATTAATTTTTATCTTTACTGAAATTTTTTGCTCATTGAACATTACTCTTTGTGTTCATCTTACAATTCCCCTGAAAAATTAATGCATTTCTCTTCCATATTCACTTTTTCTGGGTTTTTTTTCCTGTCCTATTTTCTTTCAATCTTTTTTTCCCTCTTTCTCCAGCACTAGATCTTGAAATTGATACCCGTTAATGCCTGAATGTCTTTGCCTTTTGCTGTTCCATCATTGCTGTTTGCCCAGCTGGACAAGAGCTCCCATCCCATTGCTGTCCCCAACTGCTGACACTGGGGCTGCTGACACTGGGATGGAAAACATTCCAAATGTGCATTTGCTGCACAACCAGCCAGCCTCAAAGGTGAAGGATGGCTCAGGAGTGAATTCTTTTTTAAAGGAGAATTAGAGTCTTTTGTCTACTTGGTATTTGGACAAGTAAAATGTGAGCACAGTAAGACACATTCCAAGTGTTTCCAGGCCAGCCTGTAAAAGCTGGGAGAAGATCTTCCTTCCTGGCTCTCAGGAAATGCAAATTGCAGCTTCCACTGGCACTTGGTGCAAAACTTTTAAAAGGCTTTAAGCTGCCTTTGCAGTTGATTTTAGGATAACTTGGTTGCAGGCTAATTTGCAGGCATAAGTCATTGGAGGCTGAAACAACTTTATTTAGTTGCTCCATAGGCAACTAAAAAAATCACCACAAGTTAGACATTTGTTTGTAACTGTGAGGAGGGAGGATGGTATAGAGTTTGTGCTATAGGTTCTCTCTCTACTTTTAGGAGAATATTATTTGGAGTAGGATAAATGACTTCTAGTGTGTTGACAATGTGAAGATAATTTTTATCATTTCTTGGTGAGTGAGCTGAATTAGCACACAACACCACAATTACTGGCAGGACATTTCTACCGTCCATTAATGCCTTAGCTCTGTTGTGTTTTGGTTTTGAGGGATTGTTTTGGGGGTGCAAATACAGTCAATTTACCATCCTGTGAAGCTCTGCTAGGTCACTTCATGCTGATCTGCCTTGTGTGGCTGTGTGGGAACTGCTGTCTCCTCCCAGAAGGGACACAGTACTTACAGGAGGTGGGCAGTAGAGCAAGTGAAATGTTCTGTGTGTTTCATTTGTTCCAAGTTGTCTCTGTTCCTTTTGCTGTTCTAAGGAAGTTTGGGGGTGTCAGTAATTGTGCCATCACAGGCTTTGGGGGTTACCTAATTATTCTTGACAGCACATGGTTTTACAATATTGAAGCTGTAGGAAATTACCAGTTCCTGCTTGTAGATAGTCTGAATTCCTTCTGCCATGCTGTTCTTCAGTTACATAATGCAGCAAACAAAAACATCCCCACTGTCTTCACAGGAGCTGGTGTGTGTCTTACCCTGGCTGTGCTGACATGTTGTACTCTTGGGGGGAGCAAAAAAGGGATAAAATGGTAATATCCTTGGAGAAGTTTTACAAAGTGCTTTATTTCTCAAAACTCCTAGGAGCTGAAAGCTTGGAGTATTAGCTTTTTTCTTTTTTTTTTGACCTTTAAGAGTCAATAGGACAGAAGTTTAATTAAATTGTTTAATCCAATTGCTCTTCAGGAGAAATGAGATTCACTATTGCTGCTGAGTTAAAAATTGCTGACTTTGTGGGGAATCATTGAATATTGCCATTGTGATTTAAATAAAGCACAGATGTATTTAAAATGTAGTTAGACTTCAGCAACATACTGCTTTTCCTTTCTTTTTTTAACCAATAGCACTGTTTGTGGTAAGGGTGCCATTTTTTCACATGGGAGAAGATTTTATGGTTCATCTTTCATGTAAAAGCTTGATAAAGAAGGCCACTTCATTCTCTGCCTTTTTCTCCCCAGTCTGAGGTCTTTCACATCCTGTGGGACAGTAGCCTGTGGCCTCACAATGTGGGACAGGTTTCCTTGGTTCCTGTCTCAGAGGCACTTCAGTTCCTGCATGTTGTACTTTGGACCCTGAACAGAAGTGTAACCCTCATTTTCTACATGACAATCCAGATAGAATGTCCAGAGCTTTCTTCATTCTGTCATAATTTGAAGAGTGGAACAATGGTTTTTATGACAGAAGAGTCATCACCAGCTCCAAAGTGTCCATTGAAAGGACATAATTATTAGGGAATATTTTGTGTCCTTCCACTTTTATAAATAAGATTTATGTGGGATTTCTCTCATTTATCCAAACCCTACAAGTTTTCATATTATCACTACAGCAAAGTTGGCTGTCATGTTCTAAGATGGTTCAGTGAAAGCATTTAACTTGAATAAGTGTTCTTTTCTTTTAGGTGTAACAATGAAAATGAATGGTGCCAGATCCATGAAAACATCATCCGCAAGTCCAGCACCAAATACACAGCCCCCAGCTCCAACTATGGTAAATATCTCCTGGGGCTTGTTGGTCAGAGCCACAGCTGAACATCCCCTGTAGGAAACAGCTGAGAAATTCACTGAGATGTGAGGTTTTCCTTTCGTAGCTAATGACAGATAAATAGGGAAAGTCAAACCTGTCTTATCTGTTTACCTCATATAATGTCTGTAGCTGCTAATTCAGAGGTATCACTGCTCTCCCATTCCCAGTGAAACAGCTGATAGGGTACAGTTCAGCTTCATTACAGCCAGTTCTGCATTCATTACCAAGTGCCTGAATCATGCTAATGTCCAAGTACTGAATTTGTCTTAATTTTGCTTGTTTGCATATTGAGACACTAGTGGGATATGCAGTGCACACTCCCATAGAAGAGATTAAGCACAACAATAAGCAAATAAAACATTTTGCAGATATGAAATTTTACTGTGTGTAAAGCTGGTTTCATTCCCTGCTGCTCCTCCTGTTGCAGTTAGTTATCCACTAGTCATCATTAAAATATCTTCTGAAATTCTTTATGGCTTTGCCAACTTGAGCAACATGTCTGAACTTCCAAATTTGCTCCACTCCTTTTATACTAGAATTTTTTAAATTTATTTTCATCGGTTTGTTTCTTAATAGCAAACTAGGATACAAAATGAACAAGTTATCCTGTAAGTGGCAAAAATAGTCAAGGCTGATTTCCAATGAACATGTGTGTCTTGTGTGCTGTGAAACCTTCTGTACACACAGACACCCTCATACATGGTATTCAAAGGGCTTGGATGTTTTCCATGGTTTCAGAGCCTGTGTTTTCCCTGCAGTGCTCTCCTGCCTACCCAGCTGGGCAGTTGCAAGTCCGTGTTTTGGCAGCTTTTGAGTACATGCATGCTGACTGTCCAGCTGGCTGGTTGGCCTCTTTTCCTTCATTTTAAGGCTTTATCCTCATTTTTTCAACTCCCAGTGTTCATGAAATGTATACAGTCTTCATGTAATCTGGGTATCTATCTATTTGCCAAATTTGACTGAAGCCAAACAACAGGCTTGAAAATTATTTCAGACGGAGAAGGCAGGAAGTGGGTGGGAGGTACACGGTACTCCTGGTTTTGTTTCCCTGGTAACTTGCCTGAGAAAATGGTGACTAAATATTGGTCACAAAGCCCAGATACTGAGCTTAGGAAAGAACAGGACTTTTGCTCGTGCAAAAATGTGCATCCAAGGCAGGGTTTGGTTTGGTGTGTGTTGTTCTGGGCAGTGAAAGAACTCTTGACCAAGTGACACTGAAGTAGAGAATGTGGGAAATTGCTCTGTGCAGGTAATTCTTATGGATATGTGGAGTTGGTAGTGTGTGCTCAGCAGGTGAGACTGGGTTTGAATGGCTGAGCTCAATCCTGGTGTTTTTTTGTATGGTAATGCTGGGCTTTCATCATTTTACCAGTACACTCTCCTGTGTTGTAAATTAAAAGCAGGTAGAGAAAACAGCTGGACTGAGATTAAGTATGCAATTATTCCTAGTCTAGCTGTTCAGATGATCCACTGAACCATAGAGCTGGTTGCTGAAATCAGTTTGGCCAGTTGGCACTCCTGAAACATGTTGAGGAACTGATGGGAATTTCATTAAAATCATCAGCCTTCTATGAAGCAGTTAAAAAAAACTAGTGGAAAAGATACACTTTGAGATTTACAGTTTTTTTTTCATGGTATAAAGCAGAATTAAAGGCACTTTTGAGATGTTCCAGAGCTTTGTGTGGTTGGTGGTCCCTCAGAGGTGTCATAACCTGCTGCATGTGAGGAAAAGAAATAATGGAAATACTTTCTGTACCTGGGACATGTCTGCAAAACTAAGTATTCTGACTGTTAGGAGTTGTATTTTAATATAATTCTGTGTTCTTAACTGATCCCTTATAACAGTTTTGTTTCCTGCATTTCAATTTTCAGTTGATCCAAGGGAGAAAAGAGCTTTGTTTATGTATTGTATTAAATTAACTGTGGAGTAGAACATTAGTTTACCTGCATGCTTTGTACACACAGAATCCAATTCTTAGGTCAGAAACAATGAACCTCTTTGTTTTTTTCCCAGGACTTATAATATCTCTTCAACTTCTTCGTGGTGACATGGAGCAGATCCGAAGGGAAAACCCCATGATCTTTAACAGAGGTGTGGCTGTCACCAGGAAGCTGGGATTTCCTGATGTTATAATGCCAGGTAAACAGAGCAGCTCCAAGCCAAGATATTGGTCATTCTTTTCTCATACTCTCCCAATCAAGTGCAACTGGGATGGGCACTTTACTTGAGTGGGATTTGTAACAGAGCTGTCTTATTTATCAGTAAATGCCAGATTTGGGGTGGCAAATGATAAAATATTGTCAGGAACAGACATTACAGTGATAGAAGGTGTTAAAATCACGTGGATAGAAGGGGATCTGGAAGGATTGCTCTGATATTCCCCATGACCCCTGCCAATTATTATCCCTTTTTTGCACTCAGCATAGAGATGTTTCTTTTTAAATGCATGAAACTACTTCCTCCCAACAATCCAAATCCTGGAAAACATGAGTTTCCACTTTGCAACCTTGATGTTTTCAAGTTTATGTGATCCTTTTGTAAAGAGAAGCAGAGAAGGTGCAGACCTGGTTGAATTTTCCCTCTGACCTCACGAGCAGTTGGTCCATGCAATGTTTTGGCTGCAGCCCTGCTGTGCTTCCTCTGCTCCTCACTTCTGGAGCAGCAGCTGGAGATGCTTCTTGGCTTGGCAGCCCCAGCACAGCCAAGAGAAGAGCCCAGAATGTGGGCAGTCATGCAACCACATAAAATCTGGTGTTACAGTGGCTTGACTTGCAGTGTGGTAAGAAATGGGTTTGCTAATTAGTAGCATTTGAACTATTACTTCATTGCTGTGATGAGCAAGCCCAAGGATGACTTTACAGACATGGGAGATTTGGTGAAAGCATAATGGAAAAAACATTAGATTTTATAACTCAAAAGGCTGCAGTGAGACATCAGTACCAGAAGTAGTTGTAGCCTCATTATGGAAGCTCTTCAGAAACCACAATAAAATAGGGAGTAGGTGGGAAGCATTTCTAGAAACTAAAGAATCAAAGGATTCAGAACAATATGTGTGTATTTTCTAATGAGCTTGAAAATGGTGGTAACAGAGCAGCAGAGGATGTGGGCTATAAAGCCAATTATAAGTTTTAGTTCTTAGTGACCTTATAGCAGTTCCAGGCATAACACAGAGCAATCAAATAGGGAAAAGATTAATTATTGCAGGCTGATGTACAGACACAGCAGCTGCAAGGTGATCTGCTGTAATTGAGAACACAGCTGGATGTGTCACATTTACACACCTGTGCAAGGGAGTTGATTCTTCTGCAGAACTGCTTGATCCTCCATTTCTATGGATAAAACTGTATCTCAGGTGGCTCAGGCCACTGAAGCTGAAGAAACAGCTTTGTGTCCTCAGTGTTCCCCTGAGTAGCTTGTTTTTGTTTTCTGGGCCCTGGCCCCTCTGCATGTGCACAGTGTCCCCTGTATTTGCTGCTTTGGGCAAGGCCTTGGGCCAGGGCTAGAGCAAACAGGTCATCAGTGCTCATACAAAAAGTGCTCCTGCCCTAAGCTTTTAAAATTCTCTGTTCACTGCAGCTAATCCAAATTTCCAGATTCTCTTTGTGAGAATCACAGTTCTTTTTGGAGAAGACACTGGGTTTTAAGATGATAACCTGTTTGGAATGGGACTCCTATTTCACAGAATTTTCTAGGTTGGAAGGGACCTTTAAGATCATCGAGTCCAACAATTTACATTTTTGTATACACACACACACACACACACACACATATATATATATGCTCAAAATGCTGATTGATAGAAACAAATGCGTGACAGGATCTCCATTCTGCTGTTAAATGCTTCCTGATTCTCTAGAGGGTCTGGGCAAAGAACTTCTCTTTGATTCTAGGTGTGCCACAAGAAATTTTCATGTATTGAGTTTAGCTGCAAAGCTGTAGGCATTGAGGGAATAATGCTCTATTTGTGAGGAAAGGCAGCTTGTACATGTCTGTAAACACCAAGGGAGAAAAGCAAAGCAGTTGAGGAAGTGTCAGTCAACTTTCACTGTAGTTATAAATGAGGACATTGCCAGAGTAGAGAGGAGCTGTGAAGAAAGGGATAGTCATGAATGGGGCTCTAAACAAAGGCTTTCACTATTTTGGGTATTCCCCAGATTATATAGTGAAATCTCTGGAAAATGAGGAGATTGAAATGTAATGGAACTCAGGTGATGCAGCAAACAGTGTTCAGTCTAATTACTAATCAGGATTTTTTTGGAACTCAAAGTATATTTGATGTACTCAAGTGAGAGCAGATATTTGCCTGTTGTTTGCTTTTAACACAACAGATGCAGTTGGGGTTGGAGTTTGCCTGACATCCAGGGTAGAACATTTGGCTGTGTTACCTTTCAGGTGGATTAGCCCAGCTGCATGAACAAGGAATGTCTATCAACAGACTTTGTGCTTATGTTTCTACAGCCAGGCTCAAACATTCTTCCTTAGCCTTATGAATATTGTCTAAAGTTGAAAAATAATTCACTGGGGACACACATGACCAAAAAAAGAAACAAAAACCCCTAATCAAAGACAGAAGCCTGTCATGCACATTAGCAGTTCTCAGCTGTGTCTGCTGCTGTAATAGTCTGTCAAACTAGCTCTTCCTTGCTTTGCTTCAGAACTGTTAAACACAGGGTTTCCTCCTCCGGAAAACAGCACAGAAAGCTCTTGTCTTGTATTTTGCAAGTGGATACAGATTTTTCAGGACAGTGTGGTTTAAAAATGTTTGTTATGAATAAATTAATAAAGGCTATATCACCTGGTAAAAAAGCAGTGATCGTTCTACTGAACCAGAAATCTATTTTTTAAAAGGTAAATAGCTCTAGCATTTCAACTTAATTTTTTTGTCATAGGTTTGAATGTTTTCATTTTCTTTTTTAACAGGAAATCCTCTCACATGTCCACATCTTAACTATTAAAATTTTGTACCTGTGTCTCATTACTGTTTTCCTATCCCTTTTTATTTTCTAAAGTGCAGCATTAGCTCCCTGTGTCAAGCCCTCTTTTTCTGTCCCTCAGATAGGAGAAACATCAGTGGTAGCTGGTCATCATTAAGAAACAAAGTGAAACTGGTGTTTATGGGTTTGTATCTTGCATGGTTATGCAGAACAAGCTTAATATTGTCCAAAACAAACCTTCCTGCCTTCTTTTGTAAAGATAAAATGTTCTTTGTTTCCCAATGTGTTGTGATCCGACAAGAGCATCATAAAGACTTCAGTTGTCTTTTTTGGCAAAATCAGAGGAGATTTGGTCAAACCAGCCTCCTGAAGAGGTTATGGTGGGGTTTTGTTCAGTTGTGGTTTGGTTTTTTGTTTTTTTTTTTGTTTGTTTTTTGTTTTTTTTTAATACCTTTTCTAAATTGTTCCTGGTTTTAGGCCATGCATCTGATGGTGCCAATTTTACCTTTCCCAGAGCTGAGAGCAGTGAGGCCTGTGCTGCTCCTTGGGGATTGCAGCTGGGCTTTGTGCAGGACTTGCTGAGCAGAAATCTGTTGCACAGGCTTGGTGTTTGTCAGTCCCCCAAGGACATCCCTCCCCTTGCCCATGTGCTGATAAGTATTCTGTCTTTTCCTTTGATCCTCTGATGAAAAGTGCATGCTTCATCTCCGACTTGTGAGTGATGTTTCTTTCTCTTTTTTCTCTCTCCTTGTCTTAATTTCCTGGCTTCTCTCCTGTTCCTTTCCCTTTATTCTCTCCCCTTTGTTTCTGATGCAGAGATGAAGATTGTTGGGTGTAAGTTTCTGCTTTTCTGTGTAATGTCTGCTTTTTGCTTGCTTTTTTTCCATTTTCATATCTTCCATGGAATGTTGGGATTGATAAAGACAGCGAATCATAACATCACAGGGCAACCTTGGTAACAGGGAGGTGGAGACTTTGTCTCTCTTCATACCACAGGGTTTTGGGCAAATTTAGTAACTGTGACAGGTGAATCAGGAAGAAGCAGGTGAGAAGCATCTCAGCATCTGTTCAGTCAGTGAGCACAAAGTCATGGCAAAAATGCATTGAGGAAAGGACATGGTACAATCCATCAGCCATTCTCAGAATGTTCATGGCAAGAGTGTTAACAGGACCAAAAGCCATAATTATGTAATAATTATCACCAAAAAGTGTCTGCAGAGAGAATAAAAAGTATTATTGTCATAAATAAACTTGTGGAAATGGAAAATTTGCAGAGACAAAAAGCATTATAAAACAACTTCCTACTACTGAAAGGCAACTATTCCAGGGGAAAAATTGCATTTAAAAAGGGCATTGTATAAATTCTTTTCTATACATAGAAGTCAAACAATGGGTAGCAAATAACCTAATAAGTATTGCTTGTCCCTTTTCTTTGAAACAATTGTGTTCTGCTCAGTGAAAGCTGGAGAAGCACACGGAGTTAAACTTGCATAATGTTCTCTTTAGAGAAAAAAAAACTAATTTAATTTGCCATAGAGGCAGCAGATAAAAGCTTTGTTTCCCCTTGTTGCTGTAATACTGCTCACAATTATGTTAATAGTTGCTTGCTGTAACTATTTCAAGAATATAGGCCTTCAAAAAACCCTGCTGCCTGGCTGGTGAAGGGCCAGAGAAATGAGCTGCTGCAGTGGGTGGAATGTGATCCCCAGAGTGTGGGACTGTGCCAGGAGTGCACTGGGAATATGGAGGGGCTGCAGAGGGCTGGCAGAGGGGGTGGCACTGTTCAAGCCAGGGAGAGTCACACAGTGGGAGGAACAAGTCCTGAGGGACAGCCAGAAGGCAGGACAGGGGTGCTGGAGACTCTTGCCACTGACCCTTGGCCAGTTTGTTGGTTTGGAGGAGGGATGTGATGAGCCCAAAGCTGCTCCTGTCAGCCTCAGCTGTGCTGCAGCCCCTGCCCTTCACAGGCAGCTGTGTGCTTGCACTGGAGGCAGCTGCACCTCCAGCTGAGGGTGGAGTTTTGCTGTTTGAGATCAGGGACCCATCACTGGCCCCCTCCAAAGCAGCAGCTTCCTGGGAAGAGCCATGCAGAGAGGGAATGTGCAGGATAATGTGAGAGTCTCAGCCAGGAAGCAGAGCAGTTCCCCTGCAGGGAGCTCAAACAAATAGAGCCAGAACATGTGATAATAACACTGCACATGAACACAAATCCTCTACACTTTGCTTTGCTTCAAAGCCTTTCCTTGCTGGCCCAAGTCCTCAGTTTGAGCTGCTGTAACTTGGCTCAGGGCAGTGGGGTGATGCTGATGGCTCTGGTTGTTCATTTATGGACGGGACATAAAAGCACAGGTTTGGGTTTTCTTCAGAAGCCACTGTGGAATATATTCTGAATAACTTTCTTGCCCATTCACTCTTTTGTGAAGTGCCACTATTTTTGAAGCGATGCCAAACCCAGGGGTGTTAGGGAGTCCAGCAGACAGTGCATCACAGTGTGGGGCCCTAAGTGAATAGGACCAGCACAGCAATTTCATAAAAATAGACCTAAACACTAATATTCTGATTTTTTTTCGCCCTTGGCTGCCTAAATTGTTAAAGACCTAACTTTCACCTTAAAAAATCCAAAATTCTCTGGATAAATAGCTATTGTACTTAGTTGAAACTAGACCTACACACACAGGCTTCTGGGAGCTGCCACTTTTCCCCAGCTGGCAGGGATATATTACGTGTCCACAAAGCCACAAGCTCAGAAAAACAAGTTGTTAGAATTGAGTGACCAGAAATTTGTGTCTCTTTCTCCTGCAGAACCTTCTGTGAATTATGTACCCTTTTTGGACATAGTATTCTTCTGCACAAAACAGGGACCATTCCTGTCCTTAGGGTCCAAAATCTTTAGGATCCCTGAATAAAAAGTGTTTGATTGAATGCAGGCAGTTCCTGTAAATTGTTACTATTTTGCAGTACAAGTAACTGGTCAGTCTTCCGGTGGAAAACCTACACACCCTGTCAGGATGAACTCCCATTTCTTCTGCTAGAGAGTGGACAAGGAGTGGCTGTTGGGCTGCTTCAGGTTATTAAGTCTTGAAAATGATAAAGAACTATTTGAAAGTCTTCCAGTACATTCCTTTATACTGCAAATGCAAAATCAGTATTTGGCTCATGTAGCCTTTTCCACCACTTTTTTGCCCCCATTACCATTAAAATAGTTTCAGGTCAATACAAGTGAGCCCTCCAAGCTATAATTTATGATTTATAATTTAAATAACTGTATGTTGGACATTGGGCCTCTAAATAGGTTAAAACAGACAAACAAAACCCCAATAAAGGTGAAGGGAATTGATAAAGAAAGAGCCCCAAAAAAATCAGAAAATGATTTTTTTTATATTATCATGGAAAATACTGTCTTTCAAGGCATTTGATAATTAATGTCAGTAACTATGTGTGTAAAAAGTATATGGACTATGCTAAAAAGAAATTTACTTTTGTTTTTAACTGGAAAACATTTGTAGAGAAATGGGTTTTGAAGCAAATCCCATTCTGAAAACCCTCTCTGAGGTTTTTCAGCCTTGACAGCCATCCAGCACAGGGACCTCAGCTTAAAATGACATCAGCAGGCTTTGCTCTATAAATACCCATGGCCCACTGGCCTTGTAGCACTTTTTTATTCCTCTTCTGATGGTGGGAGGCCACAGCTCACCCAGTTTTCTGCCCTGTGTTGCTGTTTGGGAAGGCCTGAGGCCTCTGTGGTCCAGGCTGAGGTACCAGCCTGGTTCTTCCCCAGAATGCAGGATTTGCTGTCACAAGCACAGGGTATGAACGGTCTGACATCTGAAACAAGTTCATTGTTTGTCTCTCTGTCTCTTTTCCGTATAATTCACCTGGCCAAGCCCTGTGTGCCCAGGTTCCTGCCTGGGCACGTCGCTGCCAGTGGGGTTGGAGCTGCCCAGGCCCCTCCTGGTCCTGCTGATGCCACCTGCCCGGTGTCCCGTGCCCCACACGGGGCTGAGCTTTCTCTGTGGCCCTGCACACTCAGAGCAGAGATGGCAATAAACTGCTCTGTGCTCAGGCATTTGTTCTGTGCCACCCACTGAGGTATCAGAGCTCAAATCTCTCAAAACCACAAGCAAATGGAGAAAAACAAAGGACTTGTGAGGCCTCAGGTCAACTCATATGTTAGGAAAAGGAGATTGCTCCTTGTAGAAAGGTGATTTCCACCAAAATCATCACCCTACCTGATGGTTAAATGCTTTTTGTCTTTGTTAGATACATTTACTTCCTATTTTTACGGTATGTAGTGGCCTTTTTTTATTTTTTGAAGATCCAATAGACTATTTTTACAGGAGAAGATACACTGTTATATTTCACTATAATACATTTTCCCATCTTTTCCCTTAATTTTTATGCAAATCCACTGGTTTTAAGATCCCTCTACACCCCACCCCAAAGGCATTTTTTTAAATTAGTGGAGTAATATCCCTCCTGTTAAGCTTAATAGAAGATAAGATGCTATATATAACCAAATGCTGCCTTTAATTTAGGTTGGAAAATGGTTTGCTGTCTAACATTGGACTTTGTGTAGCCAGACTGCCTTCCAGAAAAGAGGTCATAACTAGGGAGCTCCAAAATGCTAATTATAATGAGTACAATTAATTTCTATTAAGACTTACAGCATACAAATTGAAACTTTTTTCCTAATAGAGCAAACCACTGAGAGAAAAGGATGGAGTCTGTTAAGCAGGAGGATTTTCAGAACAGAAGGCCCAACTTAAATCATGTTTTGTGGTGAATTTTGTATTTCCTTGCTATCCCTATAATCAGGATAGAGGTATCTCAGCTTGATTTTGAGCCCCAAGATAATTTTCTTTATTGTTGCCTGTAGCTTGTTGCATTTGATGCTGTGCTTTGATAAGCCAAAACAGATCCAATATCCCAGGTCTTTCAGCAGGCTCTTGCTGTTATCTTTTCCCTGTTGATGCCCCCTGGCAGCTCAGCCTCTGGCTGGGAGGTGTTCCCAGCACTGGCCCTGCAGGAGAGGGAGGCTCTGGAGGAAGGAGCATGTTCTGCACACAGATTGCCATTGACAGAGAGCTCCCAGCAGGAAGCACTGACTGGCAGCCACAGAGCTGGATTTTCCATGCTGAAAGAGTGGTACTTATCTCCAGAAATAAGACTGAAAGCAAAGGCAGGACTGAGAGCTCCTATTGTTTGTCCCTACAGTAGATTAAGGAACAAGTTCTGTGGGGTTTTAGACTTCAGGAAGAATTTGAAGCGCTGCTTTGAGGGGCACAAAAGGATGTCCCTCAGTGCCTGAAAGCAAATGCTGCCTTATTTCATTGTGCTTCTGATTAATACAGAGATTTAACTGCATCAGTTTCTCCAAGTGGAAGAAGCCAGACATTGAAGGAGTCTCTGCTTTGTTCCATTACTTTGTTATTTAGTGTCTTGGGGCTGATTAACAAAATACTTGCCTTGAAAGGGTTTAAATTTTTTTGTTTGGTTGGTTTTGTTTTTTTTATATATTGCCCTTTTAGTATGTTTGCCTTTCTGGCAAGTGGATAAAAAGAAATGTTGAGTGTGAAACATCATAAAATGGTGACAGTAACTAAATCTTAGAGAAAAAATAGGTAATACCTGCTGTCCTTCTGGTGTAGACCTTAGATTGGAGCACGTTAGTTTTGAAAGCAGTTTCCCAAATCAGATTCTAAAATAAAACCAAACCAAGCGAGCTAGAGTCTGTGAAATTCAGGATAACAAGATGCTGAGACACAAGCATTTCTATTTCTGAATATAGTAATTTGGTCTGAAAGCTCCTGAAAATGACGTAGTGAGAAGCTGGCAAGTGTCCATACTGCCTGCTTTCATATAGCCACGCATATGGATACCAAAGGCCAGCCAGACATATAGCAAAAAATTATGTTTATAATTCCTTCATAATCCATCTGAACTGGTTTGTGATCAGGTTCCCAAAAAGGCTGCTTTTATTTTGTTGTTATGATAAAAGAGAATTATGAAATTATAGAAAATGCTTGAAAGGCTAACTGAACATAATATTATTCTGGTTGTCACAAAAATACTTATTTTTTGTAAAAGGTATTGGAAATAGGAAGTCTGAAGCTATTTTGTCAGGCTTAGCCTGACACTTCCAGCTCAGCTCACAAGGCACAGTAGAGCAGTAACAGGTTTTTTTCCCTTCCCCACTTACATAATTAAAACCAGTAGTGATCCTGAGTTCCCATTATTAAAGGCATTACTAACAATGGTCTGATTTTATGCACTGATATTAAACTGTTCATCCTTATTAACAATTAACTTGCTGCTTGGAATGATTTGGGCATCAGCCATCGTCTGTCAGAACACAGAGAACGATGTGAGAATGGAGCTGGGACGGCCCGGTGTCCCCTGTGGATTTCAGGCTGTGGCTGCGCTCTGTCCCTGCAGGTGACATCCGGAATGACCTGTACCTGACCCTGGAGAAGGGGGACTTTGAAAGGGGTGGCAAAAGTGTGCAGAAGAACATCGAGGTGACCATGTACGTGCTCTATGCTGATGGAGAAATCCTGAAGGTAAGTGCTCCTTTCCCTGGGAGCCTCAGGTGCTCCCTGCAGGGACACATCCTCTGGTTTCAGAGTCTCTGACGCAAGGGAAGAGTTAAAATAAAACTGGCTCTCTCTCTCTTTTTTTTTTCTTTTTTTTTTAATTGTGAAGTTTGTAAGCTCTGTATTATGGTGAGTTATAAATCTGTAAGAATTTGGAGCACTTCCCTTATATGGGGATAGAAGACTTGGAGAAAATACTCATAAACTGGAAAGCCTGTGTGATTTCCAAATATGATGTCAGTGGCTAAAGTAAAAAATTTAGAGTAGCTGTAATCAGAACTAAGGAGTATAGGCATATCTAAAATTAAATCATGTGTATCATACACAAACACGATGAAATGTGATTCCAAGGGAGACTTCTAAATCTGAGTTGTTGGGTTACATTACTGAATGTAGTTCTGGAAAATAACTTTGAATAAAATTTCACCCTGGGTTGGCTCCATTCCAGCTGGGAATGGGGATTGTTTATGTTTCCTGTTTTACCTCCTCTATTCTTTTAGTTTTTGTGAATATAGAGAAGTAAACAGGAAGTATTTCAGCATGAACAACTATGAGAAATAACTTCCCCTTACCTTTTCTTTTACCTCCACTGCAATAAAATGGGCTTTGTAACCATTACTGTGGAGAATCTCTACACCTAGAAGTGTGTACTGAATACATTGCCACAATCTTCTGGTTTTAATTGAAAGGAGAACTTTCATTACTATAACTGCTTGTGGTTTCATTAAATGTAAAGTGTTTTCTTGTAAGGAACTCGTTTGTGCCCAGAGCTGCTGCACGAAGATCAGATTCCTTTTTTGCCTAAACTTTTCAAACTGAGTTGCAAAGTTTTAATCATCAGTTGATTTCAGTCTGGCAAGGACAAAGAGAAGTCTCTCACACTGCAATATCAGCATCTTCAAATGCTGATACATAATGATGCCTAATGATTACATACAAAAGCCAGATAATTTCTAGTCATTATTAGTCTTAACTTCGGTGACTTTGGTTGGAATGGTAATTCACAGAGATGAAGTTGTTTTTTAATTGTCTTTGCCTGTTACTGCTATTGGAAAGCACACTGAGGCTTCACATGGGAGAGTGGGACAGGCATGGCACAAACACTGGAAAGGATGGTCAGTCCAGTCAGAAAAAAAATCAGGTGAAGATTTCCTGAGAAGCTGTGGCTGCCCCATCCCTGGAAGTGCTCAAGGCCAGGTTGGATGGAACTCTGGGCAACCTGGTCTGGTGGAAGGTGTCCCTGCCCATGGCAGGGGTTTGGAACAAGATGAGCTTTAAAGTCCTTTCCAACCCAGACCATTCTAGTATTTGCCATAAGGGAGAGACTTTACATATGAAGGACCTTCGTGGGGTTTTAAAATTTAAGCCACATATTTAAAAGAAACTTTGTCCCAGTTTTTGTGGTATTGCTCCTCTGTATGGTTGCAGACAAAGCAGCAAAGACACTTGGTTTGTGTCTGGGAGGTCTTTGCTTCCTGGTGTTTCATGGTGCCTGTGAATGTGGGCAGAACACTGAGAGTTCATTGACCCTGGAGCCCTGCTGTTCCTGGCTGGAATCCTGGTTGCTGTTCCTGGCTGGATACCCTCCACCATTCCTGCCCCATGGCCTTTCTGGAGCAGAGCTGCCAACAGAGACACTGTGTGCAGAGTTACATAGGATGGGGGAAGTGGCCAGAGTTTTCATCTGATGTCAGAGTTAAATCCTTAAACTTGTCCCAACCAGCAGCACAGCCCAAATCTGAATTGTGCCTTTGTGAAGCCTTTAGCAGAACCATGCACAGCATTAATGAGAATTTTCTCAGTTCCTCATTGCTGCTGAGTGTATCTTGATCCAGAAATAGTCCTATTGAAAGGAGTGAAATTTCCTCCAGAACACAGTTTCATTTTCAAAATGAAAATGAGTATTTCCTTCTCAAAATGGTCTTACTCAATTCTTAGTATATTTCAATATAGTCTGAAAAATAAAAAAAAAAAAAAAAATCCTTTGACACATTTCTCACTTCTTTCTTCTTTCTATTCCAGTAGCAGAAATAGCCTATGAATTGCAAGGCACACCTTTAACAACAGAGATTTCCTGATCGTTTTTCTAGTTTAGCTCCCCTTCTCTGCCTCTGCCCTCTAATTCCCCTGCATATTTGGGCCTCAGGGTCACCAGGTGTCTGGAGATTAGTATGTTTGTATTTTTCAGATCACAATATAGAATTAAAGATTTACCAGTCTGCCCTCCTCAGACTACAGATTGTAGTGTAACTGCATGGGAACTAAGTTAACAACCAGAAGGAGACACTTGATTTATTTGAAGTTCTTAGCATGAAACTGCATTCAAAGAGTGGCAGTTTGTCAGCCAGAGCAGGTGGCTTCTTGATGGGACAAAAAAAAGTTCACATTAAAATTTGAATTTTGACTGTACCTTGTAGAGAAAACAGAAATACTGTTTTGTTTGCTTCTAAGAGCCTAATGCACAATGAGGGTTTGGAATTGCTGTGGTGAAGCCCAGCCATTTACTCTTGCTACAGAATAGAACTGGGATCTTAGAGGTGTTCTGGGTTGCAGTGCTGGCACTGCTCTCTACTAACCTGTTGTTATCTGCAACACTTAATTCTTGCTGCTGTATTAAAGAAATGTGGGGCTCATCCCATGTGGTTGCTGAGGATTATTTGAGAGGACTGAGTTGTTTGAGTTCATCCTTCAGTCACTCAGTTTGGATCACAGCCTTTGCAGTGGGTCCCTGTCAATGTAGGCAGGCCTTGCATTGAATCCCAGAATTCCAGAGAGCATTTCTTCCCTTTTGGGCTCCATCACAAATTCTTAACTTTCTCAAAGCCAGCAGATTATTGCCAGAGGTTGAACTAACTGGGTCTGGTTAATGGGATGTTCTTGACTGGGCAGTCAGATGGTTACAGATTTTTAAAAAATCAACATTTCTGGTATTTTTTTGGGTTAGAATTTATAGATGCCTTGGGGAAATGACCAGTAGCAGTTCTTGTCATTATAGTGTTCCATGGGGGGTTTTTACAACAGAATTTATATTACATGTGTTATTCTTGGTCTGCTTAGCTTGTTTCTTCCTGGATTCATTATCCTTGGACATGCTAAAAGTGAAGGATCTCCAGGCTGCCTTTTTTTCTGCTTGGTTTTGCGAGGTGTTGTATCTCCTGCATCTCTTTGTAAGTGCTGGGTCTACAGCATAGGTTAGTGCTCATATATTAAAAAAATTAGCTTCCTGCTCCATGTCTTCATCACAAAGGACCTTTTACTGTCCTTATTTCAGGACTTCAATATTTATCCTATTTTCTTCACTTGTATTCTAAGATTTTTTTTATTTTCTGAGCAATATCAGTTTGTGTTTTTCTTCATCTGTGTTTTTGTGAAGGCATAGATTGGGAAAGATCTCTGAGTTTGTTATATCTGAAGGCAGAAATTTAGATCCAATTACGTTTTTCAGTGATGAGTATTACACAGAAATCCTTTGCTTACCACTGAGGAAGAAACTTGATTAGAAGTTTCTGGGATACTTGGTGAGGCTGGATAGTTGTAGTTTTGAAAGACAAACATTTGTAAAGAGCTTGGAAAGGTCAGGTACCACTTCTGAGATACTGTAGCAGAAATCTGGTTAAGATCTTTTCACAGAAGGCTAATATTACAAGTGATTGTCCTATTATGTCCTATTTTTTTATTCCATTTTATTTATTTGGACTTAGATATTTATTGTATCTTGTCAGTACTTGATGGAAAACTTAGCTTAAATAATAACTTAAGATACTGAGATTCATCCCGTAGCACAGGTCTCTTAGTTCACCCTTTGACCCAAAACGAAGTTTCAAGATCTCCTAAAAAACTTCACATTTCATTTTGTGTCTGAATTTCTGCTTCTGACTCCTTTATGTCTACAGAAAGCCATGAATTATATAAAGGTTATCACTGGCTGATGAAATGACTCGCGGGTGGTGCGAGTGTTTAATGCTGGCTGTTTCCTTTGGTGGCAGGACTGCATCAGCCTGGGCTCGGGCGAGCCGAGCCGCAGCGCCTACCACTCCTTCGTGCTGTACCACAACAACAGCCCGCGCTGGGGCGAGATCATCAAACTGCCCATCCCCATCGACCGCTTCCGCGGCTCCCACCTGCGCTTCGAGTTCCGCCACTGCTCCAGTGAGTGCCCGGCCGCGACACGCGCGGCGCTCCTTCCGCTGAGGGCTGGGGGAGGCGTCACTGGGGGGAAGGCGGGAGAGAGGCCAGCCTGAAATACACTGAAGGGACGCTGCTAAGCCACCTTGTGCTGAATTTATCAAACAGTGCACTAAAAACATGGTGAATGATCAGCGCAGGCCAAAGCACTTTGTAGGTGTTTGTCTGTGCTGTTCTTTTGTTGTGTTTTTTGTAGAATGTTTTCTTTGCAGGATAAACAGTTGAGATTTTGCTACATTTGGCGTGCTTGTGTTTGATTTGAAGCTTATCAGTACTTTACATTGAACTAGAAAAAAGAAATTGGGATTAGAAAAGTTGTTTGTTATGTAGCTGCTTGTTTTCTTTTAGGCATTTGGAGAAGTTGGTGAGTAATCTTGTATATATTGACAGGGTATGCACAAATGCAATTCCTTCTTTCTATCTCTTGCTGCAGCAAAAGACAAGGGAGAAAAGAAGCTCTTTGGTTTTGCATTCACCCCACTGATGAGAGATGATGGCACGACCTTGTCAGATGATATCCATGAGCTTTATGTTTATAAGGTACCAGTTCTCTGCAGACTTTTCACTGCTCATCTCTACTTCATTACTTAAATGAGTGACGGACATTACATTACCTATCTCCCCCTTATTAGAAGTTTGTGAGGAACAGGTTAATAGTAGTTCCAAAATTTTATACACTCATAATCACATGGTTTAGCTACAGCCTTCTATTCTAGGTGCAGCTTACCTTTTCCATCCTGATGATAATGATTTATCTGCTATTAATCCCATCCATTGTGACTTCATGCTGGTGTTCATGAGCATTCAGCACTTCTACCAGCCTAAGGCATTGCTCTGTGCCTTTGCAAGATGACATTGTGCTGGATTCAAATGCCTCGTGCTGCAGTGCCACAGTTTGGCAGCCTTGCAGCAAGAGATTTGGGCTTTGGGGTTTTTCCTTCCTACTGATTCACTTGAGTTATTTGTTCAGTACAGTTTTCAGGCAGCAGCACTAAGTTCACATCTGGAAGATCTGGTGAGTTCTGAGGAGGCAGTGGTGGGAGATCACTCTAGAGCTGGGTCTCTTCTGGGCGTGTGCAGGGCCCCGAGCACAGGTTTTCCTTAGAAGTGTTGGTGTGCACCCACAAAAATCCCAACCCAGGCACTGTTGTGGAACTGCTGACAGGCTCTGGGTGTGTGGGATGAGATGGACAAGGTGCAACTCCACCCTTGTGCTGTCCTTGCAGTGTGATGAGAACAGCACGTTCAACAACCACGCGCTCTACCTGGGGCTGCCCTGCTGCAAGGAGGATTACAACGGCTGCCCCAACATCCCCTCCAGCCTCATCTTCCAGCGCAGCACCAAAGAGACCTTCTCAGTCTCCACACAGCTCTCTTCTACCAAACTGACCCAGAATGGTGAGTTGCTGATCCCTCAGAACTGCCCAAGGCAGCAGAAATTAGGAAAGAGAGAAAAAAATTCACTGTTAGCACTGCTACACAATCCAGAGTTTGTGTTGCTTGGCTTTTGCAGAGTGGCTAAGTAAATAAGATTTTTCTACAGCAACATCCCTAAAGCACAAGCAGACAGGAGTGGATTGTCCACAGTGCAGTGTCAAGTCACACAGGGAAAAATGCAGCCTTTACTCTTTTCAAAGCCCTTTAACATTCCTCCATTCCTTTCTTCATTAGCAGTGTTGACTCACTCCATATTGTACTTCTTGTTTTCCATTTTATATATATATATATATATATATGTCATTTCCCAAGAAGTGTGGACTGCATCAAGCGGTGAAGTGCAAGTGATGAATCTCTGATGGGTCTGGGGTTGCCATTCTTCCCTCTGTGTGGTTCTAGCTCTTCCTCCCTCTCTCTGCAGTGGATCTGCTTGCCCTGCTCAAATGGAAAGCTTATCCAGATCGAGTGATGGATATCCTGGGAAGACTGAGACATGTCAGTGGCGAGGAGATTGTTAAGGTACTACATGCAATAACAGCCCTTGGATGTATCTGTGATAGGCAGTGAGTTCAGACCTGCAGGCCACTTCTGAAGGCTCCCTCTTTCTGTGCTTTTTGATTCACACTGTGAGCTTCCACCCTGTGTGAATTGGGATTCTATTATGACATGAAACTGGACAGGAAGATACCCTTGAGAATTAGTGCAGTGGGATCAAACCAGAGCTAATCCTTAGTCAGATTCTCTCAGCCACACGTGCTGGGTCCTCAGCACCAGTGGTTCCAGTCTGCAGTCCCACCCAGCTGCTGCTGCAGACACAGACCCTGGCAGGGGCTCTCTGGTGCATCCAGCCAGCAATGCACCAGTCTTCTGTCTGCCAGCTCATCATTTCACCATGTTTTGTAGCCACTGTTGCTCTACATGATAAGCTTGTGTGACCTGAGCTTCTTTAGGGCCCAGGAATTTCCAACTGCACTTGAATACTTGTGGTCTCAGCAAAACTAAGTTCATTCCAGATATGCCACTGATAATCTTAGGTGTGCTGGGAACTTTCTCTAGGATTTATTTCTATAAATCTGGAAGTAAAAGCTGATTTCTAACACAAACAACCAAGGAGAAGAAACTGAAGACAAATCCTCTCATGTAATAAGTAGTTTATCATTAAAGCCACTTCACTGTAACTCATTAGAGTGCTGCCATAGCTGGAATGTTGCTCTTCCTGATAACTTGGTAACAGTAACAGGGCAGTACAAATCTCATTTATATTGGAATTCTTCAAGAATGTCATGTTTTGTACACTTAATTTGTAGGGCAGTACAAGTATCTGGTTTTTATAGAGAAAGAAAAAGAAAGATATGGATTGAATTATTTCATGGGGAGAAGTAATTGATTCTCCCCATAAATCAGCTGTCATTTGGCACTGGGATATGAAGAACAGAATGTAATAATTCAGAAAAAAAGACATTTTATCATTTCAGAGGCTTCATAAATTGCTATAATTTATTTCTTGTTGTCGACATCAGAAATTTAAGTAGAATAGATTAAAAAATCATGAGAGAATGTGCAGTTAACGATCTCCAGCACTCTCCTTCACACTCATCCTTTTGGAGACTGTGCTTTCAGAAAGAAAATCACTGAACTGTCAGTGTTCAACAAGCTGTGGAGTTAAGGGTGAAATAAGCAACTGGAAACATGTAACTTGCCCCAGTTAATGCTTGTTAGAAAAGCTTTACTTTCTGTTATTTAACAAAAATTTCAATATTAAACATAATTTAATGTACTGCCCAGCCTCAGATTTATGCTGAACAGTACCTGAGACTCCAGTGATTTGAGAATGAGAGCAAGTTCTTTTGCCACTGGTGTCAGGCAGCACTTCCAGTCAGCTTAAAGTGAGAGGAACACTCAGTCAAAATTAAAAATCAGGTATATAGTACTTTTTTTTGTTGTTTTCTATCACTTTTGTTTGAAAATATTCCTTGTAGAATAAAAATTTTCCATTGTAAAATCAAATTAAAATCTATCACATCATATGGGTGAACCTGAAGTGATTTATCCTTGCCAAGTGTTTCACAATGATATTAACATGTATGAACTAATTAAAGCAGGGGAGAAATAACCTTTTGAATCCAATTTAAGTTGAAATTCTTTGTTCATGTCATTTTAGTTCCTACAAGATATTCTGGACACATTGTTTGTAGTTTTGGATGACAACACAGAGAAGTATGGTCTGTTGGTCTTTCAGTCTCTGGTAAGCTGCTGGATTCTTATTTATCTCATGCTCAGTGAGTTTTGAGTTTCTTATGACCATGTTACTAGTATTGTTCTTCTGTCTAATATGAAATACTCAGCTGACCCAGCCATGCTTTCTGTAATGATCTTGGGTGAGGAGGGCAGGCTGACCTCAGCACGTGCAGGGGCAGCAGTATTTACTGCCATGTGGGAGAAGCCACCAGGAATACCTGATAACACAACAGAGACTGTTTAAAGCAGCTCATGTATTTGAATGCTCCTTACCTGGGTCACTTGTTTGTGGACACTTGGCAGCAATGTGCAATTCCTTGAGCTGGGTTCCCTTCCCCATGTCCCCAGGTGTTCATCATCAACCTGCTCCGTGACAGCAAGTACTTCCACTTCCGCCCCGTGATGGACACCTACATTCAGAAGCACTTTGCAGGAGCTCTGGCTTACAAGTAGGTCTTGTGTTCCTCCCTTTGAGAGGTGGCATCACCAAGCCACCTTTGGGAATGGTGGCACCATCAGGATCACAACCTTCCTGGCAGCAGTGTCCCCAAAAGTAGAGCTACTCACCTGGAAGTTTTCCAGCACAGCTGTAGGGAAAAGCAATCCTCAGGTTAAAGATGTTGGGATACATGACTTGTGTGAAAGCTTAGAGAACTAATTGTAACTTCCAAAGTACACAGATATTCACATAAGATGTTCTATTTGGCTACAATTTAATTTCAGTAGATCAGAAATTTAAATTTCACTGTCACTTTGATGATTCTGCCTTATTTTCTGGTATTCAAAAGAATTTTGCGTAAGAGAATGAGACAGACCTTTTGAAAGCAGTAAGTTACCCTTCAGGTTTTTGGTTCTGAGTATATTCTATCTTTGGCCACAATAAACTATAAAGACAGCTAATAATTTCTATTGATTCTTTTAAGCAATTCACATTTTTGTGTAATTAAATATAAAAATATCAATGGCAGGTAGAAACCTATAGATAATATACAGCAGTGGAAGGCATAGTTGTGTTCAGAGGGTAAAAAGGTGTTCTGCTTTGTGTTAATTAGCACCTCTTTCAGACAAAACAAATGTTTTTTGGTAATCTGTTGTCTGAAATAAAACATGGGTTTAATACAGCTTTGTAAGTTAGTCCAGATGGTCTCTTGTACTTAGCAAAATAGATGCAGGTATTTTCTTTGTGATCTCAGTTTCTAAAACCTTCTTACTAAGATGGGATTTCTTATTAAAATAAATGTATATTTTGGTCTTAGAACCATGCCTTTATCAAAGCTATCTTTCTAATAACATCTTTTTTATGTGCTCTTAGTGTTCCTCATGGTCCAAGTCAATTACAGAGAAGAAATAATTTTCTGGTTTTGAAACTTAAATGTAAATACTATGTAAATTCAGTATTGAGGACAGCTGTAACTGACCACTGCAATAAAGTGAAATGAGACTGGTTTAGAGATGTCTCCCAAAACCAGGATGTTTGATGAGTGTCAGGAGTGGCGCTGAAGGCTGTGCTCACTGTTCCCTCAGGGAGCTGATCCGCTGTCTCAAGTGGTACATGGACCGCTCGGCCGAGCTCGTGCGCCAGGACCACATCCAGGAGGCAATGAGGGTAGGTGTCCATTGGGCACTGCTGGCTGTTCCTCTGGGACCACAGAAGGGCTGGGAAGGCTGGAAGTGGAATCAAGGGTAGTGTGCACTGGTTTCCTGTCATTGTTTAACCAGATTTTTTTATATATAGCCACAGTTTTAGTTTTCGGGGGAGATTCATTCTTGTGCTGAAGAAATTGAAAGAATTAAGTCCCCTAAAACCCTTCTGCAACCATGTGGAGAACTTAAGTGGGACTTAGATCCATGGCCAGTGCATGAATATTGATGTGGGCCACACCTTGTCCTCCAAGCAGCAGTAGTTTTGAGTGTATCAGGCATGGGTGCTGTGGATCAAAGTTTTGCTCTTCATTTCTGGCTGTGACACAGCTCCATTGTACCATGGGTTGAAGTCCTGGAGTATTTTAAGCAGCAGATAAATGAGTCTTTAACTGGGTGGAAACCCTCAGAAGTAGCACAGGAGCTGACCTATGGTTCTGTGATGGGAGCATCATGTGCCAGGGAGGCACAGCTGTGAGAATCACCAGGAATGTTTTGGTGGTATTACAGAGAAATCAGAGAATAAAGAAAGTATTCATTTTTACCATGTGTAATAGTAAGCCTGGAAGTCAGTGTGTCAAGTGCATAAATACAAGATGCCAACATCTGCAGGAAGATGGGGTTTTTTGAGTGAATGCCCACCTGCACCTTCTGCCTCCAAGGGACTGGTGTCCCAATACCTGAGTCTGGGCACCTGCAGAACTGGAAGCAGTTGGATTTTGTCACTTGTCAGTTCAAAGAGGTGTAACCTCTTCCAGGTGAAGGACTGCCAGTGTCATCCTCTCACTTTCCAGATGCCCTGCTAGGATCCTATTCAGATAAGGGCATTACACCTGTGCTTGCTTTGGCTTTGTAGATATTGACATGCTTAGGAACATCTTCTTTGGAATTTTCAACTACAGATTCATATGGAATGGTAAAAATAGGGCAAAGATGCTTTTTCAAGGAATTAGCAACTTTCTCATTCTTTTTTTTTTCATCATTATCTTCCCTTTTTTTTTTTAATTGAGAAAAAAGCTATTAAAGTTATGAGATGAAAAGATCTCCAGCTGGAATGACTTCGAGGAGGTTTTCTTGCCTCTCAAAGCACTCATTAGTGTTTTATGCAGTGCAGCAAATAGAGATGGAGGATATTGTCCCTATGTGATCTGCATTTGTTGAACCTCATAGCAGTCCTGTTTGGAAATAGTAACGACAAGAATGCAGGAATGTCTTTCAGCATCTGGGGCTAGGGAAGTCAGTTTGTGAATATGGTACCTTGTGTCTTGGCCTCCAAGGCAGCCCTCTGCTTACTCAGGCTCTCACGTGCTGGCCTGGAACGTGGCTGTTCCCTCTGTGAGGGAGGTCAGTTTGCAGACCTGACAGCCCAAGCCTTTCCAAGCACAGGAATTAACATTACCAGCAGAGTTTGTGCAGACCTGACAGCACATCCTCTGCCACCCACGCTGCTGTCACATCTTATTCAGACAGTTGCCTTTGCAGGTATCTCTTGGAGGCCCAAATTCAGGTCTTATCTTCTCCCATTGCAGCTAAGTGATTGATTTCCTTCTTTGTTTCCAGATTTTATTTCAGGCATTTGGAGCAAGTTTGTACCAAAGACATTATCATTGCTAATGTGTCATTACTAGTACCAGATTCTGCTGTTGGGGATTTCTGTGGACTTTGATGTGTTCACCACACTCCTTGCATTAGAACTTCTTTGACTGAGAAAACAGGATAGCTCTGTGTCCCTTTTTCCCTGGATTACCTGTTCAGTGTAGTGCCCTAAAGCTGGTGCTGAAATACTCTGCACTCTTATGACTCCTGGCTGCTGCTCTTGTACATTCATGATGGACATGCAGATGTCTCATAGGATTCTGATTTCCAACCCTGGCATTAGCAAAGAGAGCTGCAGAGGACTTCTGAAATGTCTTACCTCCCTCAAGACTGCTCTTAATTCTCAAAACATCCTGTGCAACTTGGAGAAGCTATAACTGAAAGGACATTTCTACCTAGAACAGAGCCTCATGCTCCTTTATTGTGCCCTATACAAAGCTCCACAAAAGCTCCATCCAGGAAGAGGGGCCTGTGCCTCCCAAGGGATTTCTGTAAACAAGTGTCCATGAATGGCTCCACAGCCAGTTTTGCTGTCCCTGAGGAAATTAAGAACTAAGGAACTGTGTCAAGGAAATGCCCTTCCAGCTTCAGTTATCTTGCAGCAGAACTATAAGTGAGTTTTGCCTACATTAGGGAACCAACAGCAAGGGCTTTTGTCCCTCAGGAGGTTTTCCCTGAGTCTTCCCTGCTGGTCATAGGGCAGAGGTGCTCATTTGTCACATGAACATGCACACAGACTGTGTTTGTAAGGAACCTACTTCAATTTGACACTGATCTTTTATATCATGCCAAACATCACTGAAGGCAGGGATGTTATCTCAGTGCACTTGTATGTCTTTAGTCACAAATTCACATATATTTGTGATGCTGTAGGTAGCAAGAATTAGTCCTGGTGCTGACTTGTGCTACCAAGACTTGGTTTGTGTTTTAGCATCCCATCCACGTGTGCAAACACTGGGAACTCTTTGGTTCAGTGCCTGTGTGGGCTCGTTGCCTGTGCTAAGGAAGTTCAGTGCTCTGAGCCCTGCTATCTCACCTTCCACGGGGAATTATGGAGGTTCACACACAAATGCTCTGATTCACTGCAAAACCTAATCCTCACATTGAAGTTGTGAGCCTTCAGATGAGAAGGATGGTTGTGTGTACTGATGGCCTAAAGCAGCTCCTACGAGCACTGCATGTGCTGGGTTTGGTGTTGGCACAGGGGTGTCAGCTTTGGAGAGCTGACTGGGAACCAAGTGGCCTTTGTGCAGAAAGGAGCCAGGAACACAGCTGATATTTCCTGATGAAGTTCTTTGGTGTAAGGAAGCTTCACTGGGAGATGGTTTAGTACAGAAGTATAAATAATAACTGCTAACTACCAACGTTGCCATAATTTCTGGGGGAGGGGGAGAGGCTGTAAGAGTCATTGGCATTTTGAAGTCCATGATGGCTTTATGAGGAATTTCACATTCCTGTTCTGTATCCTTAAAGCTGTGGTATTCTAAAGCTTACAATGCAGCCCTGCATACTTGTGCATATTGTGTGGTGGTTCAGTGAGGGACTCTTATGGGTGCAAAAATGTCTCTTGGGAGCAAAATTTATATTTGAATTAACTTCCAGTTTCCCAGCACTGAAGTAAGACAAGAGTACTTTCCATGGAATACACTGAAATATTACTAAGGTTTCTGTACAGCCTATGATTGCTGAATCTCCAGCCTGTTGTTTTCCCATGCTGGGTTTTGAGGATATCATCAAAACATGAATTGTTTTCCCTCAATCCTGCTTTGCTGGTGAATCCTGTTAAGCACTAACAGAAGGAGTGATGTCCCTGATATTTGGTACATTCTGGCATCGCCAGTTGTGCACAGCCAGTATCAAGGAGGTGTGTGAAGTGTCACCTTGCTGGGCTGGTGTCTCAGAACTGTTGGTAGGACACTGACTTGTTACAGCTGCTCAGAACAATGTGTTTTCCTCATGGTCACTGCTGCCAAATCAATGCAGTTGTAAATAATACCATTTACAAAATTTTGAAAGAAAACAGAACAACTTCTTCAGACACTTCATTGTGCTAAGTCATGAGAAAACCAGAAGTTTCATACCTTGACCAAAATTTTCCTCACATGATGTAACTCAGATTTGTCTCCTTGATGTAAATGCATACTTTTCCTGTTAGTGGGACATGCAAGTAACAAAGATTATTGGTTGTGAATGGTACTTGCCTAAGAGTAGCTCTTCCTCAACTGAGTTGTGTAACTTATAAAGCCTGTTTTTCATTCTCCTTTCTAAAGCTCAAGAATTTAGTTGTTATGCATGTAGAGTCTTTCCTGGTTCTCTTTAAAGCTCCTTTATTTTTCTTTCTCTCTTTTTCTCTGTCTTGATCTCCTTCCTCTCCTGCTCCTTAAGGCCTTGGAATATCTTTTCAAGTTCATTGTCCAATCTCGGATCCTTTACTCCAGAGCTACTTGTGGAATGGAGGAGGAGCAGTTCCGCTCCAGCATCCAGGAGCTTTTCCAGTCCATCAGATTTGTGCTCAGCTTGGACAGCAGGAGCTCTGAGACTCTCATCTTCACACAGGTTTGCTATTTCCTACACTCCCACGGGCAAACCACAAGGCAGCTGTTCCTGCATGGGTAGGAGGTGTGGGCACATGGGGGTGAAATGCAGGTCAGTGGAGTTTTCCCCCCTAAAAAGCTGGTGATGCTGCAAAACAAGACACCCATTAATGGCATTAGACAGTAACTCTGCACAGGTGAGCTGGACTGGGGCACTCTAGGAAGAAAGGACTTCTCACATGAGAATGCAATTTTTGCTATTCACAAAAGTAAAATGCGTTTTCAAGTCTCCCTCATTGCTATGTCTTATGGTTGGCTGTTGCAACAAAGCAAATGGGACTCAGCTTCTTCATGCAGGAAAAGCCCATCCTTTATTCACATAGTTCATATTTACAGGAAATACCAAAAGACACTGTCTTAAACCTAATTGGTCAGCAATACACTGGCACTCAGTTTACTGGTGGGTAAATGGCTAGGGTGTATGTCTGTCAAATCTCTCTATATATGGTTAGTTTACATATTTTCTTCTCTGATTCTTATGAGACAGATTTGTTTAGAACAGGTGCAAATGCTTTTCTTACCAAAATAACTTGTTGTGTTAACTGTTTTGATTCTTACGATTTTTCACATGGGAAGTTAGCTGGCTGCACTTAGAAGAAATAACAGGCCAGCTGGTAATTTAGCAGAGCAAGGCCTGATTTTTTAAGGCCTTTCTTTTATAATATCTCTACTTGTATGCAACAGTTGGCCTCAAGAATTCCTAAATCCTTCATTATAGTACTTCAAATCAATACTTACAGTCACAGCAGCATCACAGTGAGAAGTTCAGCTGATGTATTTGCACTCAGGTAAACAATTCCAGTATGTGCTAAAATTGCAGTCAGAATCATGTGCAGCCTGACCACAAACATGTTGTGATGCCCATACTCATATTTAACCCATCATTAAATATGGCCCAGGGAACTTCATGAAGATTCCATGTGGGCTGAAGACAATACTCAAAGTAAGTAAGGATGCTGCTGAGTTTTGGGTTCAATTTCAAACACTTCTGTACTGCATTACATATTGCTGCATTTAAATTTTAAATGTCAAACATGCTGTTTGATGCCTCTGCTCAGAGAATGTCAGAATGGAGCACCCAGAACTCCCTGGTAAACATGAAGGTGGTTTGTAATCACTAATGCAGAATTACAGATGTTTGGAACACCTGCTGTATTTTGCAAAAGAAGCAGCTGCTGTGAACATTGCAGCCAAGCAGTGACTCTTCTGGTTCAGGAAACTGCCAGTGGAGTGATTCCTTTCTTAAGGAGCTGCTCTGAAAGATTTGAGAACAGCTGCTCTAATGTTTTATTTAATCACCCATTAGTGGGTATAATAAGATGAGCCAGGAACAAGAGAAATCAGTGCACAGAATTTTGCAGACAAAGTGATGGTGAATGGAAACAGTATCTGCTGAATGTTTTCCAGTTGTGTTGGTCCCAAATAGAGAGGGAGAGTCACTTTGAGGATGGGGGATTTTCCTTTTTTTTTCTTTGTTTCTCCTCTTAATTTTTTCCTCCTTTCTCTCACTATGGTATTTCTTACTTTGGATTTTTGTAATTTGTAAAGCCTGTCCTTGTTGAATCTTTGAAAAGTTTACTTTTTGTTTCCCCCTTGCCACTGTGTTGCCCCCTGATCCCATTGCCCCGTAGGCCCCCCAGCCTGGAGGGCAGGCGAGCGGAGCCGGGACAGGTGCCCCACAAAAATGTGGGGGCACAACAAGGCCGACATTTAATCCTGTAAGTAACGATCCCCAGGACTGCTCAAGTGTTTCATTGTGGATGTTCCCAGTTAATCTCCTTTCCCTACCCCAAACACTCTTTTCCTGCATATAAACTAGAGTTTGATGTTTGAGTGGCCAGTACTTTAAAACTTGGAGATGAGGAATATTTCAGTTATTCATGGACCAGTTTATGGCATCCACACACCAAAAAGACAGTACTGAGGGTGTACACAAGATTATGTAAGTCAATTTGCTCAGGGGAGCCAAGTGTTTTCTTATTTGATTATTAGTTCTGGAAATCTGGACAATAGCTAAATACCCACAGAAATGCTCGAGGCCCTGCAAACATAATTTCCCTCACACTTGTCCTCTTCTCAAGGATATTTGACAGATCTCAGTATCTCAGTTTTTTCCAGCAATGAGAGTAAAACTGATTTCCTTCCTCCCAGGCAATTAGTTTGACATGAGTAATGTTCCAGCATATTTTAGGGTGTTGAGCAATAATGAGACCCTTCAAGGAACTGTTGAAATGATGTCACCTCAGGACAGCTCCCAATCTTCCTGAAGAAATCCAATGCCTACCCTGGGATTGCTAGGGGTTTTACAGAAATCCTTCTGCTTTAAAAGTAGCAGAAAGTTTAGGAAAACTCGTGTTAGGATTTGTTGGGCCAGCATTGTCATTTCACTTGTATTATCCCAAAGATAAAGACAGTGACTGGATTTGTGGCTGTTACTGCCTTCCAAGAGTACCAGGAGCTAGTGAAACAATTTATACTTATTTGTCAGTACATTGTAGGTATGCAGGAACAAATAGGTGACAACACCCAGGAGGCCTTGTGGGGGTTTGTGTAATCTGAGTTGATTGTGACAAAGTAAGATTTTGAGAGAGAACAAGTGGAAGAAGGAGGTAAATTTATATTCAGAATAATTTAATGAGCTCTACCATGTTAGTTGTAAAAATAACTTGATTTTGCTCAAATACTATTAAATAGATTTCACTGTTGAAGGAAAAAAGACTTGGCAAAGAAGGAGGCTGGGATTATATGGATTAGGAGAGTCATGTCAGTATGGAAGAGATAAAGAAATGTTTATGCAATGAGAAAACAAAAAATCTCTGAGGAAAAGGAAATACTGACAGTGGTGAGACTCTGGAAGGACAAAGCTGAACAGAGATCTGCAGTGAAGTCTGGTAAATTGTGCAGGAAATCACTGAGGGGTTTGTGTGGAGAGCTTTGGGGAAGGGAGGTGGGAATGGCAGCAAGGGAAGAGTGGAGGTGAGGCTGGCTCAAGAAAGCAACCATCTAGGAATTAAAATAGTTGCAATGAGGAAGCAGGTGTGAAGCTTGGGTAGGATGTGGAGGAAGGGAAGAATTTTAAAACATTAGAGGTGGTGGCAGTTGTTTGATAGGACACCAAGTGTGCAGAACTTGAGCATAGGGTGGTGCATGGAATTTTCTACTCTTGTGAAAAAAATAATTGAAGAATAGGAAATAAGACATGAAGGGATTTTTGTTGCTGTTGTGCTGAACCATTTCTGCACTTCAAGAAGAACTTTCAGGGCTAGCTCCAGCTTACTGGAAGTATCTGTTACTGCAAGAATCACATGCACACTCACATGATGTGATGCCTCTTTCACATGGACTCACACCCCACCCCTGCTGCAGAAATCCTGGAATGTCACATGGCAGAGCTGGTTAAGGGTCTGTCAGCAGGTTCTTCACTTCAGAATATTTTCTGAAGAGTTTTGACTTAGGTAGTTGCTTAGTACAAACAATTGGTATAGAACTCTCTAATCAAAAGCAAGTGTTGTATTAACTGAAAAAAGTAAATCAACAAAGATGGACTATCTTGTCTGATGTCTCCATTTTTCTTCTGTTGTATAAGCTGTCTCCTAAAATACAGCTTTTTGAAGCTATATCTATGTACTCTACTTATCCTAAGATTCGCTATTGCGGCAGCACTTGATTTTTCTACGCTACATGTGACTTGTTCACTCTGAGCTCCAGGTACCACAAACCATGACCACCAGCCATAGCACAGTCTGTGGTAGCTTTGTGCAGACCCTTGGTTCGGTGTTCCTGTTGTTCCCACCTCGCTGCGCTGCGCTGCAGGTCGGGAGCTGCAGGTGCTGAGCTGCCTCGTGTCCCCGCAGGCGGCCCTGCTGAACTCGTTCCCCGCCATCTTCGACGAGCTGCTGCAGATGTTCACGGTGCAGGAGGTGGCGGAGTTCGTGCGGGGCACGCTGGGCAGCATGCCCAGCACGGTGCACATCGGCCAGTCCATGGACGTGGTGAAGCTCCAGTCCATCGCCCGCACGGTCGACAGCCGCCTCTTCTCCTTCTCAGGTGCGCCGGGGCTCAGGCCTGCTGCTCCTGAGGCAGCAGCACCCTGGGGGCTTTGGCAGTGGCTCTGTTGTGAACAATTCCCTGCTGAATGCCAATAATGTTGGTAACTACTTCTCTTGGCAGCGGCATTAATAAATGTATTCATCCGCTCGGTTGGTTGGAGCAGGGTGGTAATAAAGCCAACAGTGTGGGTTTGATCCCTCTTTTCCCAAAGGCTTTCACTTCAGAATTGGATTCCATGATCCCTGTTTGTCCCAACTCAGAACATTCAGTAATTCTGTTAACTCTGTTCAATACAAATACTTTACAAGTTTCACTATGGTAGGAAATGTTTATAAATCCATCATAGATAAATTGTAGTTACTAAAGGTTGATTAACATACATTAAAAAATTAGTTAGTTATTTCAACTGCCAAATCTCACTTTACATTTTGCATTGCTCTTACCATGGACAGGAAGAAAATCTCCTTTCCAGCCAACTTATGCCTGGGAAGCAGGGTGGATAGTCATGTGAGAAACCCACCACATTCCTTTAAAGTATCTTCAATCTTTATGTTATAACTGTAGTATTTCTTTGGCTCAACACTTAGTAACTTTAATTCTTAAAATTTTACTTAAATATACTTATATTGTTGCTTATACATACTTTAAAACAGAATTTAAAAAAATCTTTAAGAACTCAGTGGAAAATAGCTGAAGATTATGAGTGTATTTCACACATAAAGGTCTGAATGAAAGAAATTATGAAGGTAAAGTGGAAGATAGAAAGCTCCAGTGGGTTTCTCTTTCCTGTAGTGAGGACCTCAAGTTAGTGCACTTAAATTATTGTACTCAGTACAAAGTGAAAATGATAACACCACAGGATTTTGTTGAAACTATCCATTGTAATTGTTTGTAAATATTTTCGTTCCTTACATTTGTAACGATTTTCCTTCATTCAGAGTCCCGGCGCATCCTGCTGCCTGTAGTCCTTCACCACATTCACCTTCACCTACGACAGCAGAAGGAGCTGCTTATCTGCTCTGGGATCCTCAGTAGTATCTTCTCCATAATCAAGACCAGTTCTTTGGTAAATCTGCTACGTGATTTCAATTTTTTATTTGCACTTCTGATTTAGTAAAATGAAGAGTGAGACATTTTTATAGGTTAATACAGGTTTTTCAAAGAACCTTTTGAAAACAAGATTGTGCTGTCAGCAGGAGAACATCTGAAATTAAGGTCTGGCTCTGTGTGTGACTCAGAGCATCCTGATTACACAGTGTGCTTGCTGTTAGGAGGGGGGAATCACATACACCCTCACCAGCTTTGACACTGTTTAATTTTCTTCGTACAAGCCCAGAACTTGGATGTCAGTGGAGTTTAAAAGTTCTACACGTCTCAAGGACTCGTAGTTCTGCAAGAGACAGTAACTAGCACTTTGTGGTTCACATTAAAAGAATACTCTAAAATTATCCAATCAATGAATTCCCACTTACTTCTGGAAATTGCTGCTGAGTTTCAACACCCAGCTTTGACGGTCATAATACTCTGATCTCAAATGGTAACTAGATCATGTAAAGCAATGCTCACAAAGAGGGGGTGGTGAAGTTTCCCCACCTGACTAAAGTAGGAAGCTCATTGCTAAATATAATTCATACCAGTGTGTATTTCCAATTACAAGTCATGGTTCTGTGTGAAAGGAATGAGGTGAAAGGCATCATGGAAATAAGCTAAAATAATACTGCCATGGAGTAAAGGTTCCTGAACATAATCTGCTCCTATTGTGTTCTAGACCTTTGATTATAGACTAACCTTTATGGCTGTCACCCTGAATGTTTCCAGAGACTGTCCAGGTAACACACATACACTCTGACAGAACAACAGGATCTGGTACCAATGAGGACTTTGATTGCACTTCTGTGAGCCTGTTACAGAGCTCTCCGTCCCAGGGAGCCTGGTATGGCTCACTCAGCAGAGCTGTCTTTACCAGTTCCATCTCTCCAGTTCCTAACTGTCTGCTTGCTCACCACTTGCTGTAGGAGGGAGATGTCGTGGAGGAGGTTGAGATGATGGTGGAGAGCCTCCTGGACGTGCTGTTACAAACTCTGCTCACAATCATGAGTAAATCGCAGTCTCAGGAGGCGGTAAGAGGGCAGCGCTGCCCGCAGTGCACAGCAGAAATCACTGTTAGTAACTAACAATCAGTTTCTATTTCCTGCTTCTCTAACCTCTGGTTCAGTCCCTCACCACCACTGGCACCTCATCATCATTTCTGCTGCATGAATGCCCAGAGCTTTGTCTCTTTCCCTTAATAAGCCACAAACCCATTCCTTCCTCCCTGCACTAGTGAGGGCTGCAGGAAGCAGTGGAGCTCAGGAAGCTTTAGTGGATTTCCAAATTATTTTCTTGTTTGTCTTTGCAGCTGTGATTGAGAGTTATTGCTTAAGACTTGAGGTACTAGGCAACTGTCTGGGGCTTCACCCCTAAGGTGATATCTCCAAGGGCTATAATGAGTATCAGGCTGTGATGCCCAAAACTGAGAATATGACAGTGCTCTTTACTTAACACCCTGGAGAGCTTCTGTCCAGGGTCACTGATTATTTCATGTAAATGAAACACAACATACTTTTTCAAAAGAAATTAAGAGATGCTAAGTCAAATGAGCTGTTGAGCTGGCTGGGAGAAGCTACCATTTACCCAGGCTGCCAGCCTTAGCCTCAGGGAAGAAATTTTCCTTTGACATGCAGTGGAAGAGAAGAAAAAGAATAGAATTTTGCTGTTCAGCCTTTTTCTTTCCTGGATTTCTGTGCTTTTCTATTCTAGCCTATTTTAGCCTATTTTTGTTTATTGAAGTCTCTAATGCAGCTTTTGCACAATATAGGATGTTAAGCTGCAGTTCAGAACATCCTTTTTTTAGACTTGTTTTTTTAGCAAATGGCTGAAACCTCAGCAGTGCTGCTGGGGGCAGATATGCACTAAGGTGCACTTCTCACACAAGAGAGAAGGTTGGATCTTTCCTTGTTAGCTCAATTAATGAGATATGCTTTGATACAGAAGAAAAAGGGACTGGCTTGCAAATGTCCAGTAATATCTCAGTTGCCTTTTACTGTTGCCATTTGACTTACTGCTGTTTCCCACATGCCAGCCCACACAGAAGAGCACATGTTTCTTCCTAGTGAAGTTCAGCCCTGGAAAGTTTCTTGCAACAACCCATGTAAAAGCTTCTGGGTAGATGCTTGAGCCATTTAGAAAAACAATAAAATGGAAGGCACAGTCCCTTGTATTTGCTCCTCAATTTACATTTTACAGCACAGTGATATATGGATTCTTATTAGATATGGCTTAGATTTGTGCATTTTCCAAATTAGTTTCTCTGTTGCAAAAAAAAAAAAAAATAGTGTTGTGCAAGGGACTGGCAGTCAACAGACCAGTCCTGATGTTTTTGGCACTACTTCACTTGTTCTCTTGGACAGATTGCTTAACTTCTCTGTGCTTTGCTTTCAGATTTGTAAAATGGGGGAGCTCCTCTTTGGAAAACACTTTGGGATGCTGTGGTAACTGGTTAGGGTGCATCTGCTTTGCAGAATTACAGAAATGTAATTGTTGCTCATGCAGGCTTACCCAGACTGTGCTCAGGAAATCTGACTGCAGATCTGTCAATACTGGAGCTTTGACAGCACAGAACTTGGTGCACACTAATAAGCCATATATTTACAAGCTTCCAGACACCTTCTGTAGCCCAGCCTGATCCCAAGCTGTCACTGCTTTACTGGTCAGAGTCTCTTAGTTCAAATAATTGCTGGTCTATTGGCACGAGCTGCAGTCACACCTCTGATAGACACTGTGTACCTGAAAAAGGTATTGTCAAAACCTGCATGCTTGGAGAGGGATTTGTTAATGTCTCTATTAATAATTTTAAATAATTTTTTGTTAGACTACAACTTTGATTAAAAGATCTTTAAAGCTGGCATCTGTGGAGGAGCCTCCTGGAGGTGTATGCCTGTATTAACAGTAACTCAGGAACTGTTAGCCTGCAGTACTTTCAATCTCTGTGCATGTCAGCTGTCCCCTCACAGGCATTGGGGCCATTTCAGACCCCTCCCTTTATACCTTCCCCCGGGTTAAGCTTTGATCTGTGAAATTTCAGATTGTCTGAATGAAAGAGTTTCTCATTTTGGTCAACAGGGAGAATATGTCTCCTGCCTTTTATCTTTGCTTCGTCAGATGTCAGACACTCACTTCCAGCACTTACTGGACAACTTCCAAAGCAAGGATGAACTGAAGGTACAAAAGGATGTGATGTTTGTAGGGTGATTCCCTCAGAATGGGAGAGCAGAGGGGAATCCCTCCAGCATCACTTGCCCTGTTAATCATTCCTATCCACTGGCTCTCTGTTCAGGGACCTCCCTGTCACTTTTACAGTCATTTGGTGTAGTGTTGCAAAAACACATTTAAGACTACAGGGCACTGAATTATCTTTATAACAGCAAATAAAGTCCCAGGATAAATGTTGTTGGACATAAAGGATATTGTAATTGTTACATATAAAACACAGGCAGAGGAACAAGGCTTCTTAATCCTGTGAATGTGAAGTCAGTTGTTGTATAGCATTTTGCTACATGTTCAGTATGCACTGGAGCTTTCTTACAAAGGGTATTGATTTTATGCCAGAAGAGAATTTCAAGCCTTTTGGGGGTTACAAATGTCTCTCGCAGATGAAATATTTTTTGGGAAAGCTGTAACCTTACCACTCCACTTGCTGCATGCTTCTTTGTGAACATCAACTTAAATTATGGCTCTCTGTGAAAGCAGGGGTTGGTGAGGGGCACAGACCTCTGACATTCTGAAGTGGCACATCTCACATCTCATACCAGCAGAACTTCTTAACTCAGCTTCAGTGGGCAAGAGGAATATCTCCAGCAACAGCCTGTTTAAGAGGCAGACTAATCCTATAAATAAAGACAAACTTTTATATAAATGATTTTGTTTAGCATGGCACTCAAATAAGCACAATAAGAACAATGTAATGTTACCTTAACAATGTTCTGTTACCTTAACAAATGAAATGGAGAAACAGTGAGAAGTCCTTTCTGGATACACTTTCAGCTGTTAAATATTTTGTGTGCATCTAGAGAAGCTGAATAAATCAGGGAGATGAATTTGGGATGATAAAATTCTTATCTTTAGGTTGCAGGGTTCAGTGTATCTCAGGTTGATAGTTATGTGAGATTGCTGCCTTTCTGATAACTTTGAAATTGCTCACAGAAAAATGATTTGGTAAATTAATTCATAATAAATTTTAATAGATATTTTTAAAGCTATCTAAACTATAGTTCTTATGTCAGACTTGTGGAAAGGTCATTGAACTAAAATTTATCTTTATGCCCAAAAGAACTGTCGTATCTCTGATAACCTGAGTATATGTTCCAAGAGTACTACAAAGGCTGAAGATTTTATATATTACTCTATTTTCCCATCAAATATGGCTGTTATAATATTTTCCAATATTTCTTCTGGAATGGAAAGGCTTTTTATTCACTTACCACTGTTACAATTTGGACAAAATGAGGCCAAAAGTCAAGGAGCTTCTAGTGCTTTACTCTGAGCTCAGGTACACCAAGATATTAATCAGACATCCTCCATTAAGGCATAATGGTAGCATGGTTTTGAAGAATCCCTGCTCTGCTAATTTCTCTTCTATTTTGATTTTGTCTGGAAGGAAAATAGAACAACAAAATCATAGTCTGCAAGGCCAACAACTTGTCACATTTCATCTTTGCTGTTGTTCTGTACAGACATGGAGGTGCAGGTAGTCAAAAATCAGAAATGTCTTCAGGTTTGGGGATTTTTTTTTTTGGAAAGCAAACATCCAGCTGAATGTGTCTAAGAGCTCTTTGCTGCTGTGTGTTGCCAGAAATGGGGTTTTCTGTTACTATTTTAGAAAGCCTGTGTAGGAGTTTTATTGGGCTTGGGGGTGTGGTTAGTTCTCAAATTGTGACGGAAGTCCAAAGAAATTTGGACAGATAAATTAATAAAATGAATGCATTAAAAAGTGATTATAATGCCAGTATATTTGAAAATAGCTGCAAACTGACACTGGAGCTCTGGGTGATAATATGAGAAGTCAGATACAATTATGCACATAGGGAGATTTTTATCTCCCTGTAGAAGTGAAGATTTTAAAGAAGCTGGAAGTTGTATATTAGACTAAACAAAAGGAATATTCCATAGCCACATTCCAATGTATGTTGCTTTCATGTTTCCAGGTGAATGGCCTTGCAACACAAAACTCAAGTAGAGCACACTTAGCTTAATTGTCTTTCTTACAGTCAAGAAAAGAGATTCACCTGCAAGTGCTGCTGATTTTTACATATTTTTCCCTGTGTGACAGGAGTTCCTCCTGAAGATTTTCTGTGTGTTTCGGAACCTGATGAAGATGAGTGTCTTTCCTCGAGACTGGATGGTGATGAGGTTGCTCACTAGCAAGTAAGTAGAGGAGCAGGTATAAAGTGTTGCCATTCTGTGGCAGTTAAACCTGGGGGCAGTGTTTTTCCTCAGGCTGAGATGTGAGGATCAAGATGGGAATTCTGGATTGCTTGTCCTCATTCTGCTGCTGTTGTAACACTCTGGACCAAACGTGTGTTTGTGGGTTCGTTAAACTCCAGCAGTATTTCCAGAGCCAGGAGTTAAAAGCAGAGCTGAAGGAGCTGCCCTGAGGGTGAGGGGCTGAGTGACCCCACAGCTCCCCACACCAAGGGCTGTTTATGAGCCTCTCCCTCCCTTGTCAGGGAATCCCTGCCTTGAACATCTGTTTTTTCCCATGAACATCCCTCTGTACCTGAGCAAGGAGAGGCTCTCGGGTATTCTGGGAAAGGGGGAGCAAACCCCAGCCATGACACCAAAGCATTACACAGAGTTCCTTCTCAATTCAGTTGTCATCTGCCATTTTAATGCTCCATTTTATCTCATTTTCTTGCTTCTGCTGGGTTAAGTACTGTGCTCTTTGGATCAGCAGCAGTGTTGAACACAGGGTGGCTGGAATGACCCACTAGTTCCCTTAGCTAAACTAGTTGTGGAATTCCCACTGACTGAATGACAGCTGGAGCATTCCCACTCTGAGGAAGCACCATGGAAATGCTCCTAAAGGCTGCCTGCTCAGCTGAGCTGAATGCTCTGCAAGTCCACCCTGCTAATGAGAAGTGAAAGAAGTGGATTTCAGTAATTCAAGCGTAAAGATTCAATGAAGTTCTGTAAGAAAAAAGAAATCCACCTGAAACAGTGGCTGCAGGTTACCTGTTCCCCTGGGCATCATTTTGCCACAAAGCTTTAGACTGACAGTTACATTTAGCAGTGCTGCTGGAGTATTGCTTGCATGTGAATCAGAGATGTGCTCTTCTTTTGAACATTATCTACATGCCATTTATTAATTCCTGAATCTATCATGTGCCTTCATTGCCTTTCACTAAGGTGTATGTAGCCACCAACAAAAAATAACACAGAATCAAAAATTAGCAAAATATTCACAAAATTTGAGTTTAATGTGAGTGACATAAAGGACTGTTGTACAGACAAGAACAAGGACAGCTCAAACTTTTTGAGTTACTCTCCTCTGGGGGAAAAACCTTTCTGCTTAGAACAGGAGGAAAAGGAATGTATTATTCCAATTCTCTGGTGGTCATATGGCCCAGCCATGCAAAATAGACAGGATTTTAAATGCTTATGTGTAAATTCTAAAAGTTACAATAGTAGTGAAAGTTCATAATCTTGGTTTAATTAGTACAAATTGTTCATTAAAGAACAGTGACTTGTGTGTAAATATCACAGAGATTACACAAAGAATGCACTTCTCTGTACCCATAGTAAAATCAGCATCATCAACCACTGTAATATGCTGTATTCCAGATTCAAATGTTCTCTTTTGTTGTCTTTTCTTTGTTTTTGGCTGCAGTACGAAAGTTCATAACCTTGGTTTAATTAGTACAAATTGTCCATTAAAGCAAAGAACAGTGACTTGTGTGTAAATATCACAGAGATTACACAAAGAATGCACTTCTCTGTACCCATAGTAAAATCAGCATCATCAACCACTGTAATATGCTGTATTCCAGATTCAAATGTTCTCTTTTGTTGTCTTTTCTTTGTTTTTGGCTGCAGTATCATAGTTACAACAGTTCAATACTTGTCTTCTGCCCTGCATAAGAATTTCACAGAAACGGACTTCGATTTTAAAGTAAGAATTGATTCAGAAAATGTTCTGACATCTTTTCAAACCAGCAGTAACAAAGGAACAGGAGCTGCCCTCTGCATTAGCTGATGATATCTGCAGCATTTATTAGAGTGTCTGTCAGGAAGATGACCTAACTGATAAAGGACAGGAATGGAATCTGCTGTGGAATTGATGGGAAGTAGAACAGATACAGTGTGAGATCAAATCAGGAAAACTGAGTCCCTCATAAAGGAAACCAGTAATTCCATAAGCATGGGGCCAATGGAGCATCTGTCTGATGGATTATGCAATGTAAACTCAGGCAGTGCTTTTCCTGAAGATGGGGCATTCATGAACTTCCTCTCCCAGAGGTCTCTCTGGCTGATGACACAAAACCTGGAGGAACACAGTCCTAGGAATGTTGTCCCTGTGTGTGATGTAGTTGGAGATGGGCAGCAAGTTCAGTGTTAGTAAGGAAGAGGTGCCAGACATGCACCTAGGGACAAGGGCACACACCAAGCTGGCAAAAACCTCATCTCTCTTGGAAAACAGACCAAGAGTGGGGTCCTATTCATGATAGAATTTGGTCTCTGGGGATTCTTGGCAGATAAAACCTGTTCAATCTACAGAAGAACATTTTAAAGTTTGCTGATGTCACCAAGCTTATTCATTCTTGATCTCTGGTGCAAAGAGGAAAACCCAGTGGCATTGCTTTTGTGGGGGTTTTCATTTCAGTTCCTACCAGGGTTTAAATAATCCATTTGCCCCCTTAAGAGTGAATTTGTATCTCCATAGTAAGAGACATATTGATGAAGTTACCCCTTGATTATGAAAAGGAGCCTGTCTTTCTCCACTTCTTTAAAACTTACTCTTGGAGTGTAATGTTATAAAATTCCTTTGCTTGTCACAGGTGTGGAACTCTTATTTCAGCCTGGCAGTTTTGTTTATAAACCAGCCAAGTCTCCAACTAGAAAGTGCCACCCCACCTAAGAGGAAGAAGATTCTGGATAAGTAAGGATATGTTTTGTTGGGTCCCCACCTCAAAAAAGAGCCTTTTTTTCCCACCATAAGTCTCTGTGATTTGTTATGAAACCTGGGATGTGGAAATGCCTGGGAAATGAATAACTAGATCTCCCAATACAGCAATCAGTTATTTGTCAAGTTGTTTGATATTCTTACATTGACATAAATGTGAATTGAATTTTTTTTAACCATTTCATTATTTTTTAACCATTTCATTATTTTTTACCATTTCATCACTACCTTGCAAGTTTTTGTTCCCTGGGCAGCTGTGTGTCTGTTCTCTCTCAGGTATGGTGATATGAGAGTGATGATGGCCTATGAGCTCTTCAGCATGTGGCAGAACCTGGGTAAGCCTCTCTCTCTCACCTGACATCCAAAGCCAAAGGAAAACCCTGTTTCTGTCCGATTTTAAATTTTTTTTAATGTTTTGTGGCATCACAGAATCCTTTGTTTCTCTGAAGAGAAGCACTTCTCCCACCAAAACTCTCTTCTGCACTGTGTTCTAGAGGAAAATAACAAAATGTTTGCTGATAGAGATCACAAATACACGGATATGAGAAGGGGTGAATCACTAAGAGACCAGAGGGGTGACACAAGTCAGATTGGATAACTTAATTATGTGGCTGCAAAATATTCACCCAGCCAAATACAAACATTTTATGTGTAGGAATGTAGGTAGGAGTTGCTATTAAAAAAATAAAGATGACAAATGTACCATGCTGATATTCAGCTGAAGGGGAGCTACCTGTAAAATGCTATGAGTAAAGGAGATTTTGTAATCTCTCAGAAAATATGTAAGAATCTGGAGTGAGAGAAGAGGGATCATATTGCTGTCACAGTGTTTTCCCTAAGTGCATTTGATTCTAGATTAGTTTGCCCAGTCCTGCTTTCTACAGCTAAAAGAAACAACAAAACACAAAAAAAATATAAACCCAAGGCAAGCTGGACAAGGTTCAGACAACAGCCAGGAAGACTATGGAAGCAAGAAAACTGAATAAGTCTGATCTGTGTACAACTAAAATGATACAGCCAGAACTGGTCACAGTTCAAATGATCTGTGTGAAAAATAGAAGGCCCTCCAAGGTAACAGAGATCCAATACCCAGAAAAACAAACTGGACAAACTCAGCTGAGAAGAGAGAAGCCAGTTTTGGATGTGTTGATGCAGACATTTATCACTGGATGCTGTTCCAGATCAGGCTTTGCTGAGTTTCTCTCTGCAACAGTGCAGCACATGGCTCAGAACAGATTGTCAGCAAAGGTCCCTCCTGGAGAAGATCCACTTGGTCCCAGTCAAGGGCAGTCAGGAAATCAAGACAGCAGTGGGGACCAAGAGATCTGTAGTTCCTTGTAATCTACAAGTGCTCTATTAAGTACCACTTATAGTGGTACAATAGTTCTCACCAACCCTTTAAAAATCTTCTTGAATTGGAAGCACCCCTGGCCTCTCTTCCCCCACTTAGTATGTTTTAGTTGGGTTAATTCTGACAGTTTGAATTCCTTTGCAAAGTACAATGCACTGACATTTTTTGCTGAAGGCTTTCACAGTGAAATTAAAAATGCTCTTGGAGAATTTGCAAGAACTGGTGTAAAGTAAATACTGATTTTTCATTCCTTTTCAGGAAAAGAATGTTTGCTTTTGTAATGCTCGTGCTTACTACTGTGTAAATGTCATTATTGCAAGAGCTCAGTATTTTCTCAGTGACAGACAGCAAAGGCTTTTCTTTAATTACCATTGTTTTGTGTTGTACAGGTGAGCACAAGATTCACTTTATTCCGGGAATGATTGGCCCCTTTCTGGGTGTTACACTTGTTCCACAACCAGAAGTCCGGAATATCATGATCCCAATCTTCCACGACATGATGGACTGGGAGCAGAGAAAGAATGGCAACTTCAAACAGGTGAGGGCACTTGCCAAGCTTTCCTTTCCTTCCTATCTGCAGTGTCCAGCTGGGAGCAAGGAGTTTGTATTTTTCAATTTGTTATTGACCATGAATATGGTATGTAAATATATATAAAATAGAAAATTGAAAACCTAATTCACAAGGCCCCCAAGGTTGTTTATCCCATGAACTGGGGAAGAGGAGGGATGTGCTCAGCACATCACAGATGGGGAAAAGAATTTTGCAAGTGCTGGGCTATCACTGCTCCCAGTGGTTTCACTCAGATTATTAGTCAGCCATTAAATGGGTCAGACTGAGAACCAAAAACAGGGATGTAAAGATTTAGCCAGTCTTTGTGAAAACAGTGCTCTCTGCTTCTCTGTCTTCAGTTTGCAGCTAGGAAGTGTTATTGTATAATTGAATCACTATAGCATGCCTTGAAACAGACTTTGTAGCTGTTTTTATTTTCAGAAATTGCAGCAGCTCTCTGGGAAGGGTTAAGTCCAACAAGAGCTCTGCAGTTTCTACCTGCTGTGAGCTCTGATTGCAAATCAGGGAGAGAAATCTTCATCATTGTTTCCCAGTTGTGGTCAGAGAATTGCTTAGATTTTCCACTGCGAACCAGATCCCTGAAGTGCAGAGCAGTGCTAATGAAGGATGGGTTTGGTCTGGATCCTCAGATGACAGTGTTTCATTGTCATTGTGCTGGGGCAATACTGGGAGCCAGGATCTGCAGAGAAGTGCTCTGAAGGAGTAAATCACCATTAAATTATCATAATTCCTGTGATTAGTTATTTGCACAGTCATTAAAATGCCAAATCTAATCTGTCATTCCAGGAGAATAGCAGACCTTTCCCATAACCTGATCTATTAAAGGCTGTGTGGAAAAGTATTACCAGGAGCTAGTTTTTCTTCCTGTTCAACTCCCATGATGGCTACAATTGTTATTATTTACTATTATTATTGCAATAGCATTTTGATCATAGTCCTCTTTCCACTGGTTTTAGCATACCAATAGAACAGTCTGTCTCTGGAATTTACAGTATGAAACATCTACAGTCACCTTCGAGTTTCTGGGCCTATTTATATTTTCTGTATAAAGATGAACTCTTCGTAATCTCCATTTAATTTTTATACTCACTAATGCATTTTAAACTACAGCTCCAAGAATATTTCGTAAATTACCTGTGGAGCAAATTTCCACACAGTTTTATGGAGCATATATTGTAACCTTCGAAGGTTAAAGATGAAATAATCATCTGTATTAGTGATTAAATAAATAGTTAAATACCCCAAGAGGTAATAAACCTCATTAACATTATCTGCTGGAACCAGGCAGGTATTTGCTTTCCAGTATAATGCTGGATAGCTGGACACAGGCATTACTGATTTCTGTAGTCACTGCAGATCATAAACAAAGGGAGAGTGGTTGTGGTTTTTTTTTAGTTCTGAGCTTCTCTTCCCCTTTTGAATATTCATTTGTTTGTCAGAAAATAAAAAAACCCTGAAAATTCATTTTCAAGCCCTTTTTAAATTTTCTTCAGTAGTTCATGTTTTTACAAGGTTATTTTTTCAGCAAGACTGGATAACAATACAGTGTGATTCAGGGATGAAATCAGGTCTCCCTTTAAAGATTCAGCACCAAGTCCATTTGTGTGCCACTGGCTGATTTGTTTTTCTATACCATCTTTACTTCCTTTCCAATTTGGCAGCTGAAAAACATAGAGAAGCTCAAACTGTGCTTGTCTTTAAATAAAAGTAAGCCATGTTTTTGCAAATAGTTTCAGCCTTTAGGAGCCTCTTTCTTCACTAGTAGTGAAACTGTCTTCTGCAAGATTTCTGACTCCATGAAGTTGTTTTTGTTTAATGTTACATACATCAATTTCTGTGCTTGAATCAATTTTATGAGAATATCTGATATCACACTTGATATTTAGGGTGGGAATTAATATGTAATCAAAATCTTTCTAAGAGAAACATAATATTACTGGCCCTTTATGTAAGTGAAAGAAAAAGCAAAAGTGTCACATAATCATAGGGAGGCTTAAAAAGTGGTGTTTAATGAACAAATAATCTTCTAATATACTGATGCCTGGGTGGCTGCAAATCAATTCCAGCAGCAGAACCAGCAGAGCAGAGCAGTGGTGCTGGATACTCTCTTGTAGTTCAGGATCCAGTTTACCTGATGGTTCACTGGAAGAGTCTCTGAGTGATGGATTTGGTCTCCTTCCTGCAGGTGGAGGCTGAGTTGATCGATAAGCTGGACAGCCTGGTGTCTGAAGGAAAAGGTGATGAGAACTACAGGGAACTCTTCAGCCTGCTGTAAGCTTTGCCACTTCATGCTCCTCGTGTTGGGCAGGGCCATTGGAAGAGTCAGGCACTGGTCTGAGCAGCCACAGATCTTCGGGGAGGGCAGGAAAGGGCTTCCTGGCAGGCTTCCATGGAATGGCTCAGTGAAGTAGTGCTGGAAGTAATACAGAGACCTAAATTCTTCTTCTTTGTCTTCTCTCTGTGACATCTAATAACAGGCTGCACAGGTTATCATCATCCTATCAAAAATTTATTTGCTGGAGGAGCCAGGGTGCTTCTCTTGCCATTGCAGTGAGTGAGATCCTGGTCTCAGGACTGTTTAGAGAGACTGTACCTACAGAGTCAAGTCTTGTTAGAGCAAAGGGGATTTTTCTCAGCATTTTCCTTCCTTTCCTCCTATTTTTGAAGGCCATGTTTTGGTTGGTTCAACAGTTGCCAGTTGCTTCCTCCAGAGTCCCTTGTGACACTTCATTTCACACCAACAATTCACACTCAGAAGAATACAGTCAAAGGTTTTATGTCTGACTTTACCTTTGATTACTGATCTGTCTCCAAATTCAATTTTGAGTGTTCCTAGTTTATTTCAGAAGGAATTATTTATAACTCTTGACAGTCCAGAGCAGTTAACACAAGTTTTTTAATACTCTAGCGAGCCAGAGAGATCATTAGCAGAATTTTAGCCATATATTCCAATTTTATGTGGCCCCCAATAGGACACTGGCTGTTTGAGGCATAAACCTTTGTTTTTCTGGAATCAATAATTCTATTTCTGAATTTGCAATTGCACATTCATTCATTTCAAGCCAGATGAGCCTGCCCATCCCATGTGCTTATTCTCAGGAAGTATGGAAATGTATTCAGTTTGGATTTGTGTATATTCAGCCTTGGGAAGTCTTGGAGCTTATGTGTACAGATAAAGTAGGTCTATTTCAGGGATAAAGGAAAGGAAATATCTATTTATTTTTATTCACATGGCAGGAGGAATAGTGTGCCTTTGCTCCACTTGAATACATTTGTTACCTGAAATGTTAAAAATTCAAGGGCTGTAGCTTTTTACTCATTTTTAGGTGATAGTGATTGGATGCATTACCAAGAAACACAGCCTGGAATTCCAGCAACTAGTTAGTTTATATCTCCCACCAAGCTGTCTGAGAACAATATGAGGAAACAGTTTGAGGAAAAAATTCCACAAATTAGTAAATGCTTTGTGAAAAAAACAGTTGACCTTGAATTTTACTGTCCCAACTATACTGCTGTAAAGGGAATTGGCTCCCTCAGCTGCAAATCATCCCAGTACTGAAAAGTGATACCCAACAGAATTTCTTTCCTAGAAGTGGCAAATTCTTTGACTGGAAATGCAGTTTCAGGGAAACTGGCACGTAAATTTGCTTTCTTTCTTCACTTTTTAAACACAGTGTTCATTGTTCTTGTTTCAGCCTTCTCTCTTCCTTCACAACTGTGTGACATGGGTGCTCACTGTACTGTCTATGCTAGGCAAGAGCAGGTTGCTGTTATTTCCAATTTAAATACAATGTTATTCAGGGTTGGTTGGTTGCTGCTTAGAGATGAAAATTTATGGAGGGATGAGCAAAGAAGAAATATTTGCAGTAGGTTTGGACTCCTTTTCAGTTTCTGACTGCTGCTAGCAGTATTTAAGCTGCAAGTAATAATATGGGAATCAAGTGTTGCCATGAGTGCTGCTCTTCTTCATAGCTGTTAAATGGCAGTGTGAGGATATTTTCCCTTCTCCTGTCAGTTCTGTAATTTCCTTGTCTTTACTTCATGCTGCCTGGAGTAGAACCCAACTCTTTGGGCCTTATCCCAGGTAAGATGCTAATTCTTCTGGAATTTGTTGTATGAGGGAGAAACCAAGTTGTCTGTATCAGCTGCATGCCCTGAACCTTTTCCCTGGAAGCCTCACCGGCTGGCTTTCCATCTCCAAACAGTTTGCTGGAGAAGATTGAGCAGGAAACTTGGCGGGAGACGGGGATCTCTTTTGTCACGTCCGTCACTCGGCTCATGGAGCGTCTGCTGGACTACAGGTACCTGCACCAGCAGGGACATGTTCTAAGCATAAGAAGTTTGTTGAGACATGGTACCAAATTCCTACAGGGAAGATTCTTATTTACTATCAAGCTGCATACATGCAGCATCACTGCTGGGTTCTGAGCAAACATCCCAGATCCTCGTCTCATTCTTGTGTGCTCCTTCCTGATAGTTTTGTACTGAGGTTTATTCAGGTTGCTAAAACATTAATTCAGGTTGCTAAAACATTAATTCTATCACTGAAATGATCTCACCTAATTCAGCAAAAGAGATGTTAAATGCAAGAGTGATCCCCAAAGCCTCATTGAACCAAGATGTGCTGAATACCTCATCTAGGCCTGCAGGGCTGGAGAACTTCCATCTGGGAACTCTGACACATCAGCTGGTGGCTCATGAGCAAGATTTCACTACAAATTAGGCAACCTTCATTTAGTTTTAAACTGAAGTTTGCAGGACTGTTGTGTCAATGCAGCTGAGCTTTGACTTAGTTAGAAGGAAATATTTTAACTTTAGATTTATATATACACACACACACTCAGAGGGGTTTTTTTTAATAATAGACAATTTGAACCTATATAGAACTGCCCCAGATATTTCTATCTTTAGCCTACTGACAGGAGTTCAAATGTTTTTTTCTTCTGCTGCTGCTCATTAGAGGTGAAACCCTCTGACTAGGCTGGGTGTTCTGCAGACCCAAATCCTTTTCTGTGCTTTTTAGTTTGTTCTTTTTGTTATCCCTACCACCTTGATCCAATCTCCTGGTTTTTTCCTGGCAACAACTGCTCTACAACTACTGTGCACAACCAGGTACTGGAGACACATTTAAAGGGAATGCAGGGGAGCTGCTTGGGGTTTTTTGGGGCACAGGCTGGGGGGGGTGCTGTGTGGTTTTGGTTTCTGGTTTTTGGTTTTTAATTATAAACAGCTGCCAGCAAGACAGCTTTGACACACAGCTACATGTTTCCATGCTTAACTGAGAAACACATACCAGTTTTTAATTGATTTTCAATCTGCAGCTGATTTGTCATTCCCAGAACAAGGAACTGGGATGTGGCATTGGAATTTGGAAATACACAGGCATTTCTTAGAGTCCAGCTGCCACTCAGTAGCTGTAGTAGTTCTCAAGATGGCTTGCTGTGTCACGACTTTAAAAATTAGTCTCTTGTACCATTTGAATAGAAATAATTTCTAAAATATTCTAGAAACCAAAGATAAATCTTGTGATTTAAGTTACCTATGCAAAAGTTAGAAATCTAGTCTAAATCCCTCAGGTTGTGTCCTTGTGTGCCACACCACACTGCAGAGCTGCATTTATGGAAGCCAACCCTTTGACTAGGACTAAGTGTTTACATCTGGATAAATAAGATTGTACTTTTATTCTAGATCTTGCATTCAGATTATTTTTGACCACTGATTATTTTTGTACCTGATTTTTGTTCAGATTCTTGTAAGAAACTAAGGAACAGTCATTTCAGGTGTTTGTTCACAGATGCAAACCTGTAAGGAGACACTCAGTTCTCACATCATCTAAGCCCTAATATGGAAATTTTTATTAGAGGAACTTTATAAAATTAAGTATATGATTATCTGTTGTTTGTCATCCAGGGAAAGTCTGGAAGATAAAATAGCTTCAGATTTAATTTAAAAGGACTGGTTTTGCAGATGTTTGTTTCAACATTGCTCTGCTTTCCTAGGGACTGTATGAAAGGGGATGAAACAGAAAACAAGAAGATTGGCTGCACTGTTAACCTAATGGTAAAGATGTTTCCTTTATCTCTTTGTGATACTGTGCAATCTCATTGAAACTGGGATGGGAAAGGCTGGAATAGGAATCTGTGTCAGGCAAGTGTAGCTTCAGAATCCGAGCACTGGGAGGACAGAAGAAAACGATGAGGATTGTGAGGATCCTCTGGAGGCCTCTGATCCGACTCGCTGCTTTAAGCAGGGCCAGATAGGTCAGGCTCCTCAGGGCTGTGTCCAGCTGAGTTCTGTGTATCCCTGTGACACAGGTTCTACAACTTCTCTCACCTTTTCTTTCAGCTTTTGACTACCCTCATTTTGAAAAAAAAATCATGCCACAATAAAATTAGTGGGTTAGATCAGTGTGAGTGTGAAAAGAATTATAACTTTTCTTTCCCACTAAGAATATGTTCTCTTTTCAATAACTTTTCACGTCCACAGATGCTGCCGAGTGCTTCAATGGAGAGTCTCAAGAGTAACAACTCTGTTTTTTCTTTCACAGAATTTCTACAAATCTGAAATTAACAAGGAGGAGATGTACATCCGCTACATCCACAAGCTTTGTGACATGCACCTGCAGGCTGAGAACTACACAGGTGAGAGAGACATTGCACAGAGTCTGCTCTAACTCCTCATGACATTTTTTAACTCTCCCAGTGTTATATAATATCTGGCTCATTCTTTTGGAAAGAATTTGCATGAATCAGTTATGGCAGTTGGGAAGGCAAGAAGCTGAGGCCCAGCTCCTTTCCTCAAGTTAAATACTGTCTGTTTATGCCTGCACAACCACGTGATTATTGCATTACACTTAAAATTTTACATTAAAGTGTTATTTGAAGAAGATGGATTAAAAAAAAAATCACAACAGTGGAATGAAACTGAAAGGAAGATTAGCAAAAGCACCATTATGTTATCACTTGTCATATTTCCTCGCCTTGCAGAGCTGAGGGAGCACTTGGGACGTGTATGGACTCTAATGCTGTGTTGTCCAAGCTCTGTTTACAGCTGCAGGCCCCAAATCTAGTTACAGATCTGAACTTGTGACTGTGCATTTAAATCAAGCAGCTGGTAAAAAGAAATTTGACAGATTTGTACCTAAAAATCATGTGCTGCTATTTGAAATAATTGAATAATTTAATAGTCCCCTAAGAGTTGCAACTTCTTCTTTTTTGCAAACTGTAAGTCAGAAATCACAGACTGTGTCAGAAGCAGGTCTGTGACCTTTAATATTGGCTGTGTTTATTTGCTGTCATTGATTCAGTGTTCCATAATTGCCTTTCCTACAGAGGCTGCATTCACTTTGCTTTTGTACTGTGAGTTGCTTCAGTGGGAGGACAGACCTCTGAGAGAGTTCCTGCATTACCCATCTCAGTCAGAGTGGCAACGTAAGGAAGGTCTGTGCCGTAAGATTATCCATTACTTCAACAAAGGGAAGGTATGCCAACTTCTTCTCTCTTCCAGCAGCTTCCTTCCCTTTTCCTGACTGACTTAGGGCTTGCAAGCCATCATCTCAGTTCAGTAATCTGGAAGTAAATTTGTATCAAAAGGGTTTCTAACATGACAAATTGGCTCTCTGGACAAAAAAAAAGAGATGAGAAATGTATTTCATTATATATGGCATTGGAATGGATGAGGGAGGCCAACAGGACAAACACCAGAACATTTTTAAACCTTTAAACCAAGCCTTGGATCAGCTGATGTGGCAGAGTGCTTGTTCCTCAGCTTTTGAGGGGTGGGATTGCATTTGGTAGCTGTCTGTTCAAACTGCTGTGCTATGACTCACTTGAGAACTTGTCTTCTGCTTAACCTACACATGGAAATGGCAGGCAAATGCTACAGGGGTCTCTTGATTGCAAAAGTCTTAAGTCCTTTCAGTGTCACTTATTTTACAGTGATTTTCAATTAAAGTGCAATTCCATCCACTGCACAAGAAGAAAATCAATCAATTTCAATTTCATATATTGAGTATGGGTTTTCTGCAATTAATAATATTTTTTTTCAATTACTGCAGAAGTAGATGTTTTAGTCCCTTGTGTCATGGTGTTTTGGGAACATTTCAGCAGTGAACCTTAAAAGTGACATCATCTGTTGGAGTATTTTCAAATTTTTCCCTTCTCTAGGAAAATTCCTACAGCTTATTTTCTTGGGAGATAACATCTGTATGTGTGCCTCAGGGTTGATTTTGCCCATGCTGGCAATGACAGTGGCATTAAATACAAATGTGAGTTGGTTCTTATGGGGCTGCCATTCCAGATAATTCATTCCTAGTCCTGGTAATAGGAGTTGCATATGGCAGAAACATTTTCTAAAGAACCTGCAAAAGGAAGTCAGATTCCTATGTGAAGGAAGAAATGGCCCGTTTATGAGGAAGTTATTTAGATATTTTTTGTGTGTGTCTGCCAGAGTTGCTCTTTTGTGATAACACTGCATATGGTTCTTTCATTTCAGAAATTTTCAGTGGTTTTCAGACTGCACTTAAAAACAAATAACTGGCTTGTGCAAATATTGTAGTACTGTACTGTCTGACTAGCAAAGAGGATAGAGGCACTATGGAAAGCAAGTGAGCCCTTATTTCTGACAACAACAGGGAATCCATATACACAGTGAAGTAGAGTAAAAATTGACTGATGTAATTAGGCTATAAAACTCCTAACAGATTATAGAGTGTTAACCTCTTGAGGTTTTCTCCCCACTGGATGTTTTAGGAGTTACTTGATTTGTGTTTTAATCCTGCTTTATTACAAATGGTAGCTGAATGATTAAATAATCCACTTAAGCAGTGTGTATGTCACTCAGACTATGGAAGTGAAAGATGCTGAGAAGCCAAATCCTCCTTTTCAGCACTCTTGTTGTGTGACAGGGAGCAGCTGAGGGAATGGAAGAAACCTGCTTCCCTCTACTTGTGTCTGACAGCTTCTTTCTTCACTATCCTGAGATGGTTCCTCCTCAGGTTCTTCAGAGCAGGATTTGTTATTGTCCTTCAGTTGCATTTCCATTTTTCATGCTGCTCCTGGCCTCTTCCACCAAATGAGGGTGTCAAGGCAGAGTGTAAAGGCTGTAAAAATTCTGCATTTGTTTATAGGGAAATTTTCTCTGGACAAGAATGGGAGGTAAACTGCCCACAAGGGTGTCTTGTGACATGCCAGTGGCACAGCCTGGGATGCTGCAGTGGGTGCAGAACTCCCACCCTCAGCAGCGTCAGCAGCAGCCCTGTGCTGGGAAGGAACATGGTGTTCCCAAGCCCTTTTAGCCTTCACTGGTCATGTGCCCCTTCCTGCTGATTTCTGCTACGCTGTGAATTGGTTTGTGGCTCAGCTGGCAGTGTGTGCAAGTACATAACTTAAATTGAAGATATTTTTAACCCTCAGTTACAATTTTGACCATTAAAACTCATAAATTCTCTAGTTGAAGACATCCCTGAATGGAACAGTTTGAACCCGACTGATCGTGGTTCTGCACAGCAACAGCTCAAAAGCTACACAGCCCTTTTCTGTCCAGTTCACTGCTGGGTTTAACTGACAATTCTGAGCAGCTCCCACCTTGGCACTGCAGGGTCTGTTCTCCCTAGTGCAGCCAAGTGCACACAGAGACCCAAAGCAGAGTTCCCAAAGCACTTAGCTTTTGATCATGTGCTCCATACCCAACACTTGAAATCATTTCTCTTGTGTACCCTCATGGGAATCATTTCCAAAAGAAATCTGCACACTGGGATGTGAGCAGATAAAGGCTGGCATTCAGAAGGGTTGGTTGTCTCTACCTGTGCCCTTTTGTGTGCAGTCAGCTGAGAGTTGCTGGTGCCATAGCAGCAAGCTGCAATAAATGCTCTGTGAATGTGGCTTTCAAGTAACACACAACATGCAAACACATCACAGGTCAGCAAAACAGAAAGCACTAATGAGGAAAATTACCAGTGGAGACATCAGGAAGTTATTTGAAGAGGGAAGTGACATTTGCATGTCACATGGAATTACATATTAATTATCTGTACTGTGAAGATGTTACTTGACAGCATCACAGATTTTAAAATTGAAGCTCCAGTGACCTGGATATCCATTTATTCCTTTTCCTTTCAAATATCTACAAACCATTTTCTCTTCAGGAAGTTACCTGTATATTGTTTTTTCTTCATTTCTCTATCTCATCTTGTATCTGCAGAGTACTCAGGTAGCACAGTGGAATTTCTTGGTGTGGAAACTGAAACAAAGAGAGAGCCTGAGTTAGGATGACAGGAATGGTATCAAGGTACATGAGAAGAGGTAGTATATAGAGAAATCAGATGTGGTTGCATGTTGTTAATTTAATTGACATCAGAAAAGGAGCATGAAAAGGTTACATTCCTCAGATCACCTGGAGGGAAAACAGCTGGTGAGATTTCTGCTTCTGTCCAGAAGGGAGATTAGAGAGTTAGGTAGGCTTTAGTCACAGCATCCCATCTGGAAGTAAGACTGCTCACACTCTCTGTGGGAAAAAAGCCATTTATTCCTGGCTAGAGGTTTTAGAAGTGAACATAGATCAGCTGAGGACTGAAAATCTATGTATAGTATCTCTGTAAAAAATGTGTTGCAACCATAAAAAAATGCAGTGGTGTTTGAGTTTGCAAATACAAACACCTAACTGACTATGGTTGATCTCAGTTCAGTGGATCAGTTTGTGTGTCATGGATTTTGACAACACACAGCAGAATTCCTGTTAATTTGAAATCACAAATACCTCACTGATGTTCAAAGTAGTCAAGAAACTGGTCTTTCAGTTCCTTTCCTCTTGTGTCTATTGCTTTGATCTAAACAAATCTCAAGCCTCCCATTCTCCCAAACTACAAATACTATCAGAATATCCAATTAATTCTTGTACAATATTTTATTTAGCAAGTTTTTATTGAAGCTTTTGTAATTAAATGAAGCTAAAGAGCTGTAGTAAGGAAGTGGTAGTAAGGAGAGAACAGACACTACAAATGTGGGCTTAAAGGGAAACACTGTAAACTGCCTCACAAATTAAATGAAACTGTAGAGATTCACTTTTTTTTGGTGAAGGTACATGTAACCAGAAAAACTGTTTCCATATTCAGTGCTAATATTTTACATAATTGCTGTTAATTACTCTTTCCAACAATTTACAATATTGCTATTAATATTCTTAAAATGTAAGGTGATAGTCTTAACTCACACATCAATTTTGTTTTCACTACAGCAGGGTCCCATGTAAAACAACTGGCAAATTAGCCCAGTAATGCATAATAAAACTTTATCCAGTAAAGGTTCAACTGAGACCTTGGTGTTCTAAATCTTTACCATAAGCATGGTAAGAAACAGCCCTAAACTCCCCTAAAAGGCTTCCAGTGTGTGCAGATAAAAGGTAATGGAAGAGGAGATTTCAGTGTAAAATGAGCACTCCAAAAAGCCACTTGAGATAACAGGAGAGTCTTTCTCTCAGTGTGGGTGTGCCCAAAGTGGGTCTCTGTCCCTCCTGACCTCTGGGATGATGAGTATGGTGTGCTAGGAGAGATCCATTGTGTGGGACTGGGAGCTGAAGAAATGAGTGTGGCTTTCTGAATTATGGGTATTGATTCACTGCAGTAATGCAGGTCAGTTCTGAGGATGTTATGTGTATTGGAGTGTTCCCACTGCCTGACAGTTTGTGCTTTCAGTGGGAAGGAGCAGCCTGGGAAGGGGAGCACTTTGCTGGGGAGCCAAGCCCTAACTGTGTACTCCAGGGAGTTCTAGTACAGGAAGCAAAGGAGCTGTTGGGGGTGGGTTGAAGGGGTGTCTAGCACAAAGAAAAATTGTTAGTTTTATTATCTTTCTCCAGATAAGTTCCCAGTCTCATAAATGAACAGTGAGAACAAGCAGTATGTGTGTGTAATTTCCACGGAACATATGCCTCTGTTCCCATCTTTTAGGAGGAATTGATCTGCTATTTAATGGAAATGGTTTCACCGCATTGCATTTTCACATCTAATCTCTGCCATTTCATACCAAATGAGTTCCCAGAACCGAGTTTCCATATTGCTCTCAGCTGAGCTGGCAGTAGCATTGTGTTTGCTGTGAGTGTGATTTGCTTTGGCCCCGCAGAGCTGGGAGTTCGGCATCCCGCTGTGCCGAGAACTGGCCATCCAGTACGAGAGCCTCTATGATTACCAGAGCCTCAGCTGGATCCGGGTAAGTGGCAGAGCTTTCTCTCCTTGCAGACTCTTCCCTCATTCCCCAGAGCATTCTGCTCTCCTGTCAGAGCATTCTGAATTTAAATATAATCACATTCCTTATAGAGCTCCATGCATTCACTGAGACTCCTTGCCATTGATTCATATTGATGACTTTGTAGGTCCACTGAAATAATTCCAGAGTCTGGTAGCAGTAAAATCCTGTGAGTATATGAAGACAGCATACACACACAGGAGCTGGGCTTGCTATTGAAATGGCATATTTACATCTATTTTTGCATAAAATATCCTAATTTTTAATACATATTTCATTTTAATTCCAAAAGAATCAAGGACAGCTTGTGCCTCAGTGAGATAAGATGAACGAGAGAGAGAATGAAGAAGACAAATGTTCATGGCGTTCTTACCAGTTTACAGGGATCTGATCCTCTGGTACAACCAAACACGTGATGAAATCAGGGCACATTACAGCATCATGCTTTAATCAGAAAAAGCTGAAGTTCCTGTTGTTATTTAAAAACTTTCTAAATGTGAAAATAGTTCATCTCCTCCTGTCCCCTGGGATAGCATACATGTATCCAAATTTGAGATTTATGCTGCATGGATATACACAGTGGTTTAGATTCTCTTTCTAAAAAGTCCAGTTTATTTTTATCTGAAGACACCTGTCTAACAAGGTCTGATAAACAGCACTTCTGAAGAACCTGTTTTCTCTGAAGTGGCCCCAAAGAGAGCACATGACCAGTTTGGCTGTGCACTCTCTGTGCCATTCACATCACCACCACCTTCCTGGATGCTTCCTGCAATGACTTTGGGACCTTCTCCTTCCTGGAAAGGGAGTTAATGTTTGTGGGAGCTGACCACAAACAGGATTCAATATTGCAAGTTAGAGTTCCTTGCAGTGGAAGCAATGGTGTCCAACTGGTTCTTCTCCTTGAAGAGTCACCTTTTGGTACAGTGAAATTCCTGTGAGCCTTTCAACTGAGGTTCAGTTTGCCAAAGGGTCTGGAAATCCCACTCTTCATCTTTGTTGGCACAATTCCACAAAACTGTTTATTGGAACTAGAAAAAAAGTCTTTTCCTCCTTCCAACCACTTTTTTCTTCCATGTTAAACCTTCTGGTGCACAGAGCTGTGGATTTAATTTTGTTTTATCCTTTTTTGTGCCACTCAACTCAATTAAGGCAAACCCAATTAGGTGTGATTTTCCAGGCAGTGGTATGGATTTTGATCTGTAGGAGAGAATGGGACACTGTGAGCCAGGCAACGTGGATCTTAATCTCAGCTTTGCCATTAATTCTCCAATGCAAAGAAAATTACATGCCAGACCTGTTTAATTTAAAATAAGATAAACCAGGAAAAATTAATATGTCATCTTCCAAAATGTAAAATGGGTATGGTGATATTCTAATCTGTTCCACTATGTAGACTGGTTTAATTAATAATTTTAATCTTTAACAGAATTTTGGTCTTTTCATAAAAAATCACGGGGGTAAAAGAGTAATGTGATTTTTTAATGAGTCTTGAGATGTTAATGTTTTAAGTGCAGCTTTAAGGGTCTGACAGCAGCTATCTCTTTCTTCCACAGAAAATGGAAGCTACCTATTATGACAATATCATGGAACAGCAGCGCTTAGAACCGGAGTTTTTCAGAGTTGGTTTTTATGGTCGAAAATTCCCATTTTTCCTGCGGGTAAGCCAGACTTATACAGGATGCGACAAAGTGGCCAGGCTCAGAGTAGCTGTTAAGGCTTTGTATTTTTGTTTTGGAGATATGATGTCTAGTATTCAGCATATTTTTTTATGCCTGCACAAATAAAAACAGTTTTCTGGCTGAACTGAAGGACACGGTCCACTGGGAATGTTCTTGGGAACAGAGATCACAAATTTGACTCATGCCACTGTGAATTTTTGATGATCTGCAGATGCAGCACAAACTGCCTCTATATTAAGCAAAATGCTGTATTGCAGCAATGTTGGGTCATTACAACTAATTTTCATCATCTCAAATTATCACACTTTAAAAAAAGTCTCACTTGACAGAATTCTAATCCCAGCCTGATGACTCTTATGCTCTGTTCAAGAGAAAATTTCCTCTCTTTGACAAAAGCCAAACAGCTTCTTTGGACACGTCCTCACTTGGAGCTCATTGTCTGCTGGTGTACCAACCCATTTAAGAAGTGAAATTTTCTTCTCTTCCGAATGAGGAATCAAACTTTAAATGGGTATTTGTTTATACAATGTCTTGTTGCTAGTTTAGAGCAAGGAAGGAATACAATCTGACAAGTGCTCCAAGAGCTGCCTGCGAATTGATGGCAGATGCCATCGAATGTGACAGGACAAGGTAACTGGAAGCTTTCAAGGACTGGAGGTGCGTGGTTTGTGTTCTCTTTGAAGGAATGGTTTAACAAGAGGTGGCACCAATTGAGGTACACAGGATCAAGTCATACAAAGCCAAGCCATTTTGAGAGCTGCCCTCTTATACTCCTCTCTGATTATGAAGTTGTTGGTTTTTTTAACAAGGATTTCAACACTGGGGTTTAATTATAGTCTTTCAATATAAACTCAGGCAGGGGTAATAAAGGCAAGTTGAAATTAGTCAAGGAGAAGAAATACCAGTGCATAAAGGGTGATGGTTTCATGTTATTTGAAGGTGAACAGTGCCAGAATTAAAGAATCACAGAATCATTTAGGCTGGAAAAGACCTCCAAGATCATCAATCCAACTTTTGACCAATCACCACCTTGTCAACCAGACCATGGCACCAAGTGCTATGTCCAGTTGTTTCTTAACACCTCCAGGGATGGTGACTTCATCACCCCTCTGGGCAGCCCCTTCCAATGCCTGACAACCCTTTCCACAAAGACATATTTCCTGATGTCCAGCCTGAATGTCCCCTGGTGCAGCTCGGGGCAGTTTCTTCTCCTCCTATTCCTTGTCCCCTGGTAGTAGAGCCTGACCCCCACCTGGCTACCACTTCCTATCAGGGAGTTGTAGAGGGTGAGAAGGATCCCCCTGAGCCTCCTTTTCTCCAGTCTGAGCCCCTCCTCCCTCAGCTGCTCCTCACACAATTTAGAATGCAGCAGCCAGCAGCAGTGTGTAGAAGACCCCTGCAAAGGAATCCAAAGAAAGGATGGGTGCTGCAGTGTGAATCCAGAGCTGCTCCATGAAGATCTCCAGAGAAAACTGACAATTCCTGTTTTTTATATCTAACAACAAATATTTCAGCAAGTGAGTGACAACACAGTCACCAGGGCACACAAGCATTCCTACATCTGAAGTACTGTCAGTGACTGGAGCTTATCTTTTTATCTTGTGTATCCTCACTTTTACCTGGGATCCTGCATGGCCAAGGTGTTTGACACTGCTTGAGCTTCCTGTGCTCAGCCCTGACTCTTTGCAAAGTGCTGTAACAATGTGGATCCTTGGCTGGAGAAATTACCAGCGAACACGAGCGTACATAATTATAATCCTTGTTAATTCTGCAATTATATTTGGTAGCAGTACTTCTGATAGCAGATTACTAATGTAGCAATCTCATTAAAAGTCATCCTCCTCCTTTCTCTCCCTAATGATCCATACAGCACACACATTGTGGAGCACAGACTAAGCCCATTAGCAGTCACATCAGCATGGATCACACTGTAAAGAGATTGGAAGCAGCTATTCTAGAGAAGAAAAAGATTTACATGGATTTAAAATCTTCAAATGGATACGGGAGTGATTTAAAGTGATCAAATAACTCCAAGTCCTTTTCTCATGTATTTTTCTATTGCTGTATAGCTTAAGACAGAAAAGAACCACTTCTTTCTATATCTTTGATTTTTGAAGACCCTTTGTCTAGAAAAGTCATTGTTCATGTTTCTATGTATTCTGCATCTATTTCTAGCCTTTCTACATAAGTAAATTTAAATTATAGCTGTCCATATCTTCCATCTACCAGAAGTTCAAGTAAGGCCTGACAAGCCATGTTTTGAGATCTTGTGCTGGCATCTGTCTGAAGTCTTATTAAATTTAGCTTTGAGGTGTTTTCAGGGCATTATTTTTAGAATCACAATAACTTTATTTATAGGCTTACAGTTTTCTAGATTGCTGCAATCAAAAGCTAAAACAGAGAAAGCAGTAAGTGTCATGAAGAGATTCACCTTCAAACATGGGCTCACTCCAAATGTACTAATAGCTGCAAAGTTTGAGCATTACAGACTGAACTGTCAAGATTCATCATGTGATTCTTCTCCCAGTGCATTGGTTGCTGTGACTGATGCATACAAAGTGACACATGTCACAGCCAGAGCAGGAGATCCTTTCCATAAAGTTGAAATGCAAAGCCAGAGATAACTGAATTCCTTGGCTGTGGTTTTGCTACTTTCCCTTCGATTTTGCTACCCAGATCAAGAATTGCTTGGCCACATCCCTTTTCCAGAGCAATTAAAAACACATTATTGAATATACTGCAGCCTCTAAATGCAAGAAATAAAAGGCTGTTCTTGTTTATTAAATTTTTAAATTGTTTTATGAAGGTGAAAACCCTCCCTGTTCTTCTAGTTATTATGTGTATGAGAGTTCAAACTACCAAAATTAGAGAATTTGCCTACTTTGATTTGTCTTGCACTAGGAGATCTTAATACTGATGAAAATTGTGGTTTGTGAGGGTTAAGACACTGGAATACAACCTTCCTGACACTGAGGAATTTGGAAATCCTGTATCGTGCTGTTTGGAGTTAAGAGATAGCTCAAAAACATCCAAGAACTCTGCACCAGTGGTTTAATGCCTCAAGAGTCATCTAAATGCAGCTTTCCATTATTAGCAGAAATGAAATTTTGTTCATCAAGAGGAAAGTGCTTTTAAGGCTGAAGGGGAATTTGTTAAGTGGCCACTGAGAATTCTTGGTAAAGCTTTTCTGTATTACTGTACTATTAACAGGGGAGTTCCTGAGCTTGTATTGTTCATCACCATCAGGGCTGGGTTGTGTGGCTGTGATAATACAGCAGTGATTAAACAGCCATTTTTGTGAATAGTTTGTTGCAACTTCTCTCTAAGGAGAACTGATAAAATGATAAACATATTTCTCCCTCTGTTCTATCAGAACCTCAGGACTTTTATCCATCTGGTATAAACTGTATTTGACAGCAGCTTTCCCAGTGTAGAACAGCCAAGCTGGTGACTTAAGTTTTAGTTGATACATTTCAATATAGTCCAACTAAAACTAGTGCCTTTTCTGAAAAGCAGGTAAGAAGGGACCACAAGACTGAATGCTGGGTGTGCCTGAATCAGAGGCATTGTGCTGTTCAGAGATCAGTGGAATAGTCTCCTTATTCATTGCTTCATCATGAAATACGTTGTAAAGAAAAAGGAAGTGATAAAATACATCTACTTTCACATTAGCATATTGCCACTGTCATTTACCTTTGGTTTTGAAGTAACATTTAAAGTGAGACAGAAGTCAATAGAATTTAAATTACTTTTAAGGACACTAATTTATGCTTATAATTATGTCCTTCTTGCAGAACAAAGAATATGTGTGTAGGGGCCACGACTATGAGAGGCTGGAAGCCTTCCAGCAGAGGATGCTGAGCGAGTTCCCCCAGGCCATCGCAATGCAGCACCCAAACCACCCTGATGACTCCATATTGCAGTGTGATGCCCAGTGTATCCTTCTGTGAAAGGGTAAACTCTCCCTGGAGCTGGGGCAGAGCCCAGAGGTAGAGCTGGATATGGACAATACCAAACCTTGTCTGCAGCAGACAGTAACTGGTTTGTTATGCGACGTGATGTTGGAAAGAGCGGGGACTTTTTATTCAGGGAGTAGTGCAGGTCATGTTCCATGTAGAAGAGAAAGGGCTGTGCTTGGTCATATCCATGTTTTAATGCTTTACCAACAGCACTGGCATCACACATACTGTGTGTCCTTAGGAGTATTCCTGATACCTTCTCTTGGCCAATATATTTTTGGGAACAGATACTAGTTCCAAAGCTCTATTTTCTATTCTGCTTATTTTTCTTACATCAGTATTTTACTTTTTTGCAATTTCCCTTTCTTTAAAACTGTTGAACCTTTTTATACCCAAGGCTTTGAATCTCATTCTTCTCAGTGGTCACCTGTACAATGCTCAGTGCATTTAAGGACTGAACCACATCACATTTAAGGGGACTGCAGGGACTTTGCAGAGCTTAGTCATGGAACCCGCGCTATTTGGCTTCTGAGAGAACAGCGTGGATCCTGTGCGGGATTTGAACCGTAATGTCTCTGTCACCAAATGGAGCCTCCTGTGTGGGTTGCTGTTTCCTATTTGTCTTTCCTAACACATGGATAAAGCTTTCTTTGACTGCACAATTACCAGATTTGCAGATCTATGCAGTGACTCCCATCCCAGACAACATAGACGTGCTGCAAATGGACCGAGTCCCTGATCGCATCAAGAGCTTTTACCGCGTCAACAACATCCGCAAGTTCCGCTACGACAGACCCTTCCACAAGGGCCCCAAGGACAAGGAGAACGAATTTAAGGTAGAAGTAGCAAAGAAGCCGTGTTTAAGTGTTCATCTCTTCAAGGTGAATACTGTCTTCTTATGTTATGCAGATAGACCCTTTTAGCTCCTGGTTTCATAGCCAAAGATACTACAGTAACTCAAGTAACAGGTTAAGTCCGTGGTCTGATTGAATATTGTTGAGTTCTGACCTGCTTAAAGCATTGTCCAGTTTAAAGGTGAATTATTTTAGTGCCCAGACACTGTTTGTTTGGCTGGACTTCTTTTTTATTACTGACACATAGGTCTACAATGTCTTTTTGGGTCCCATGACACAACTGGTGATTGGACAACTTAAAAAAAATAATAGAAATGTTGAATGTGTTGTTTCAAGCTTACTGAATTCCTGGTTTGTTGTTTAAGTGACTTTCAGGAAGACCTTGTACAGAATGAATGCTCAGGAGTTTAATGCATTATTTTCTGAGCCTTGCCCCCTTCGCACTTGTAGTAAGAGTACAGAGGATGTGGTTGTGACTCACTGTTCCTCACAGCCTCAATTACTCCTTGCAGAGCTTGTGGATTGAACGCACCACTCTGACCCTGACTCACAGTTTGCCTGGGATCTCTCGCTGGTTTGAAGTGGAGAGAAGAGAACTGGTAACATTTATAATTCCTGTAACTGGGGGTCGAAATGATGACTTACTGAGGACATGCAATAGGCAGCTTAGAACTCATTGGGCTGAAATCTTGCAGTTTAAAATGGTGTTTACCAAGAGTTAAATACATCCTTTTTCTACCACTTCATCTAAATAATGGCTGAATGTAACCAGGGGAATTGTATTAGCTAATAGTATAATGGAGACAGTGCCAAAAGGATGGAATAATTGCATTGCTGCCATGTCTTCAGTATACAGAAAGACATCTATTATTGCAACCAAGTGACCTGAAATCCAGCACTGCCAACAGTGCAGTTTGTTAATGTAGCAAATTTTGTACAAAGCAGTAGAAGTGAAGGGAGCTCACTGAACAATCCTGGAGTACCATTTTATTACAAGGAAGATAATAAATCTCAGTGAAGTGTCCACAGAATTAAAGTATATTTTATTGCTTTTGAGGTTGAAGTAAGTCCTTTGGAAAATGCTATTCAAGTGGTTGAGAACAAAAACCAGGAGCTGAGGACACTGATAAGCCAGTACCAGCATAAACAAATGCATGGCAACATTAATCTTCTCAGCATGTGTCTGAACGGAGTGATTGATGCCGCCGTTAACGGGGGAATTGCGCGGTACCAGGAGGTGAGCCAGGCTTTGCTTCCCATTGAGTATCACCCTTCCTCAGTTTTATTTGCATTTCTGTTTCAATGATAATATGGCTTAATAAGATAAGAAATTCTCATGTGCATTATCCAAAGATGGGGTTACACCCCCTGCTTGGTTTTTCTGCATCAGTGCTTGCATAGCCACATGCAAGGAGGCTCCAGGGTGGAGCTGGGATCTCACTTGGAAATAGGTACAGGTAACAGCAGGGTTTCTCACAGATGACACTTGGCTTATCTGGAAATCCTCACTTGGCAGGTAAAACAGTGAAGCAGCTTTTTTTTAATACTGCTTACATTATAAATTCATTTTGCAATAGAGGTAGAGGCTGTGGGACTGGTGGTGACTGATTAGGTTTGGAATCAGGAAAAACCACTAATTCATGCTATTGAACCATTATCTTTGCTGATGGGCTAATTTCAGACTTGCTGTAGAACTAAAATGATGTTAAATACAATATCCAGCATTATCCTGCATAATGTCTGGCAAGCTGTTACTTAAACTGAGCATTGCAAAAGGTAGGTTTAGGGTAAAATACTGAAAAATTGCAGCAGTGGTTCAGGGGTTTGGGATGAGTCTTCACAGCGGAGCCATGGAGAGAATGCTCTTCAGGCTTTACATTAGTTGCCAATTTACTCACTAAATTCCTTTAGCTTTAGGCAGTTATGTGAAGGAAACTATAAAATTCAAATAACTGGAAGATACAAGGCTTAGTGGTATTGCTCATCACTGACACAGGGGGAAACTTGGTCAGAGTCATGATTCAACAGAATCGTTTCAGCTGCCAAGCCCATTTTCTCTGCATCCCAGAGAGCTAAAAAACAATAAAATTAAGCTCTGCTGTTACCTTAATATATTTTTTGTTTTCCTAAGACTTTTGGACCTTTTCCTTTCATCTTTTCATGGGGAAGCACCTTCCCATAAGCAAAAGGCACTTTTTTTCTCCTCTTCCTGCAGGCCTTTTTTGATAAGGATTATATCACAAAGCACCCCGGAGACGCAGAGAAGATCACCCAGCTCAAGGAACTCATGCAGGAGCAGGTACTATTTTTCAGGTGTAGAAGAACATTGCTATATTGTCTGGATTCATCAGCAGTCAGTCTAAACATCAGATGCAAGTGATTCATTCAGAAGCAAAGATTTTTGGTACAGGAGATCTAAATACATTCAAACAAAAAACAAGAGGGAAGTGGGCAAGGCAATTATGACAAGTCACTCACCTTACGGGATGTGAGGTGAAGTTCAGCTGAAAGTACATTAATTTTGTTTTCTACATTTATTACCCAACAGACATCTTGCTGCATTTCAAGCCTGCCATTCATTTTTGGCATTTTGAACTATGTCTTCCTAGCAAATTTCAAAGATAATCGGAGGCAGGACAGGTCAGGCTTGAGATTAAAGTGGCAGAGCCACATATGAAAACTTAATGCCTATTTATGTTATCTGCAGTTTTATTTTTCCATAGTGTCTCCTTGAAACATCTTGGTAGATAAAGCTGCGGGATGCTTTGATGGAAATGAAATCAGATAATCACATCCCTCTTAACTGAAAGTTTGGAAAGATATACCCCATTAAACAATGTGCCCAAATCTGAATAGAGCTACTAGGCTTGTTCTTCAACAAATCACTGAATTGCATTTGAGATTCCCCATCTGTAAAATAATGCTTATCTCCCTTCAATCCTCAGGAGATATTTGAAGATTAATTAGTTATTGTTTGTACAGACTTTGGATCATGTAGGGAATTACATACATCTTAAGCCTCCTATCATTGCTATTTTCTTTCATCTGAGACCTTATATAATCTCATTCAATCATTAATATTATATGTTTGACCTTTGAAAAAGTGACCTTTAGAAGTAACTAATGAGGAACAGGAGGAGTGACTGCATGTGCCACACTGCTGCTGTTCGTCTCAATTATCAGAAACTCCTTTTAGAAGTCTCTGCTGGCAGCTCAGACCCTGGCACTGGGAGGAGTTTTTGTCGCAGGGCATTATCTGTGTGAGGGCATAATGCTGTTCACTCTGCAGAGAGAATCTAGCTGCTTTTTTTTTTGCAGTTATCACTTAAGAAAAGCAATGCAACGTGACACAAATGTACTTGTCTCACACTTAAATACTTGTTGGAGTAGTATGAACTTGCCAGGACTCCAAGGCTTGCTTAATTACCAGCAGTCTTGTAATGGACAGTGGCATATTCCTTGCACATTGCCAGAACTGCAGGACAGGCTTCTGCTCTCTCTCGTAGACACAATTTATTTGGGTTTCTGATGTTGCATTTTCTTTTTCACAGGTACATGTCCTAGGAGTGGGTCTGGCAGTCCATGAGAAATTTGTACATCCCGAAATGCGTCCCCTGCATAAGAAACTGATAGATCAGTTCCAGATGATGCGATCCAGTCTGTACCATGTAAGCCAACAGTCACTTTTCCATTTTTGAATTATATGATTAAATATCTGTCACCTGCAAAGAACTAGGCTGATACAGCATTGACTGAACCTACTGGACTGCCAAATTACCAAAGGAATTCTTGATTTTTGTGCAAGAAGGCAGTTGTAGAAAATATGTTAACTTGGCCTTTCAGCAAGAATTGTTAATATTTGTGTGTTGTTTGTTGTATCACAAACTTTATCAACTGTAAAGCTTAATTTTCAGTTGCTATTTCACATAGCAGAAAATTATGTAAGACAGAGGAAGATTACCAGGAGGTGTTGGACGTTCTCTTCAAAAGAAGTCCCATAACTGGAAGTAGCACGAATGAAGAAAACTTGCAGTTTTCCATGAGTGACTCAGCTGCAGTGTGTTTGCCCTGCAGGAGCTGCCTGGTTTGGATAAGCTGAGCCCGGCCTGTTCTGGCTCCAGCACCCCCCGCAGCAACGTGCTGGTGTCGCACGGCCCCATGAGCCCGGAGAGCATCAAGCTGCTGCATCGACACAGGTAAGCCCTCTTCCTCCCAAACGCCAGGGGCCCTGCACGCTGTGCCACCAGGCTTCCAGGAGCTGAGGAGAGCTTAGCAGTACTGCAGGAGGGGCAGCACGAGTTCAGGCACAAGTGCCTTTTGTCTTCATTCAGCGATAATTATTGAAGTTGGAGAATTGGAATAAGGAAGTTGAGAAATCCAACTTGCAGCAAATGCTGAACACCTCCAGGTGTGATTCCATCACTTTACTTACTGTGGCGGCAGAAACACAAATGCGCTACTCAGTTCTCCAGACTCAATCTGATTTCAGAGATCCCAACCTCTCCTACTTCTGTTGCACCAAGAGCAAATAACTGTGTCCTTATCTATCATAAAGGAAAATTGTATGGCTTGTTTTAGAACCCAACTCAATATGTACCCATTTTGAAGGATCAAAATTGTTAACATCATTATTTTTATAATTCTGATCAAATCAGAAGCCAAATACAAGAAAGGCTGCCACGGTGTTTTGATCAGTACATCAAAAAATGACCCTGTGATGCTTTTTCAAACTGAATGCCCATATATTAAATCTGAGCTAATGACAGAGGATAAACATACAAGGACAAAATAGTGTTTTTTATATCCAGCCAACATTGCTTATTTGAAAATGCTAATTGCTCTTCTGTGTTTATTTTTCTTATTGGGTCACTATATTTTAGCTGGTTTTAAAGGCTGACATAAAAAGCTGTGGAAAGTTGGTCCATGAATCCAGGATGGTGACATTCTTTATGCTATTAAAACTGAGTAGCTTATGCTGCTCCCATGGCTTAGCAGTTGATAAACAGTGTCTGGGTGATAACATTTTTTTTCCTCAAAACTCCTCCCTTTGTAAAGGCTTTTTTAGTTTTTAGGACAAACTAGGGAAATGCTGTAGTGTACAATGTATTTGTGTGTGTGGTTCAGAGTGATGAAGAAAAGTTCATTCCCTGAGGGAGATCAGGGTACAGCCTGCACACCAGCTGGGCTGTATTAATTTACTGTCAGCTACAAAATCGCCTTCAACTGTAATGCTGAGGCCCAATGCATGCAATAAGGAAAACTGGATTTTGACCTGTGTGTCTTGTGCTTGGATTCCTTTGGAATGTTATTTTTAAGCTGCTCCCACTCATCTTAGCATTAAAAATGTGAGTGGTTTCAGTGTGTTCTGTTATGAACAAAACAAATACGCACCCAAAGTCATGATGTGACATTACCCTGGGTTGGGGTTTTGAAATTCAATGTCCTGTGTACTATTCTGTTTTACCTGTAATCTTCTTGTCACCTCTTTCGTATTTACCCACATTTATGGACTTGTTTGAGCTTATTTGGCCTTTTCAAAAGTGTTTGACATCTAGAGGTGACCTAAAGCAGCAGGTAACTGCAGGTACTTACTAGTTTGGAAAAAAATCAGGCTTCACAAAAAGGTTTAAAAAATAATTATGCCCTTGTTCTGTCTGTTTTTTTTCCAGCCCACTGAACATGCTTGGTTCAGTCCGACACTCCTCATCCTCCCTGTCGTCGCACACCTCCAGTGAAACAGGAAACCTGGTTATCCTGACAGACAGCTCTGTGGGGGAGACTGCTGAGGATATGTACCACATGCAGGTACAGCTCCAGCACAGCCAGGAGCAGTGGCTGGGAACAGCACAGAACATGTTCCAGAGGGTTTTGCTTAGGAGCAGTACACTTTACCTGTGCACATGCTTGGATCTGTCTGTGATACTTTTTTTTCAAAGAACTGAATAGGTAGAATCTAACATTGTTCAAGGAATATGACAGTAACTCACTAGATTAACTTTGTGAGAAAATCTCCTGTGTTTGTACAGTGACTGTGGTACTGCAGTCCAAGATCACCCTGCTGCTTTCAGAAAGTGAGATTTTTGTCCCATTTTGTTTACCTGCCCTGTTGAACATGGGCAGTTAGTGCTGCTCTTGGTTTGGGGAGGTGGAACAAGTCCCACAGTCCTGAGTGCAGGTTAGCAGTGGCCTGCACTGAATCTGGGCAGAGGCTGCCCTGGCTCATCCAAGGCAGGTAAATCCCTAAGGCACTGATGTGCTCAGGTCTCTCTCGAAGGTTTCTCTGCCTTCTGCAGCTTGTTTATCCTAAGCCCAGGTACCAAGGCTCAGTCACCAATGTCTCTGTTTTATCCTCATCCTAGGCTAGTCCTTCCACCTCCAGCCTGAGCTCCACTCACTCAGCACCATCCCAGATGATTAACTCTGCCCCTTCCAGCGCTCGAGGTAAGCATGGACAGGCCCTGATGGGGGGGCACCTGCAGGGGTTCCCTAAACCTGGCAACCTTGCTGACTTACAGGTGGAACACCACCTGCTTGACATGTAACACTGTTTCTTTTTTGGACATGTAAATACCTCTTCAATACTTGTTCTTTACAAATGGTTTAATTCCCCATTTAGGTTTTCTTTCATCCATATATCAAATGTATCTCTAATACATGCTGGTTTCAGGTGGTTGAATTTCATAATGATTTCCATTGTTCCACCACAAAATTGTGGCACGCAGTCTGGAGGAAAACAAGAATAGTCCTTGGTATAGTACTTACAAGAGAGATCATGAAGACAAAGGCAAAGAAATCATTTTACAAGCTTAAAGAAATTATGACAAAAAAGGACTTGAGGCAGTTTAGCAGAAACATATGTATACAAAAGTAGATGTATAGAATGAATATTGAAAGATATGAATTTTAAATAATGGAGATAAAGAAGGGCTTCCCTGCTGGGAAATTCTTGAAGAAAGGGAAAATAAAAAAGCAGACTCTGCGGGTACTCATATTGCCTTTGTGTTACAGTAGCTGGTCTTGATATTGCTAATTATTTTCTTCCCCAGCTGAAGCAAAACCACTCTATGTGATCTCCTGGCTTTCTTAACTTCTCTTAAAGGTTTTCTGTTTTTTCCTCTCATTTTGGGTTCTCGGTTGCAGGTTCTACACCTCTTTTCACAGGCATCTGAAGAAGGTGTCCAGGATATAGTCAGAGATAAAGGCTGATATTTAAATCTTACCCCTTTTTCCATACAGGGGAATACTGTGTCTCCTGATGGAGAGGGAATATGGAGAAGAGCCCTTTCTCTCAAGCAGTCTTGGGGCTTTTTTTGCTCCATCTGTCAGTAAAATCCTAATTGACTGGCTGTTGTTATGACACAGATGCAGAAAGGTGATTTAATTGAGGGATCAGATGGAGTAGAAAGGTGAGAAGTGAACATCTTCAAATAAAGGCAAATAGCTTCACTAATTACCAAGGGCTGGAAGGAAAATCATGACAAACAGTAACCAGGTGAAACCAGAATAACAGGAGAGGGAAGATGGAACTGAGGAGAGGGCTATCATGTCAGGAAGACATGATAGCGGATGTGCCTCAGCTGGCATGTGAATATTTGGGGGGATCTGAAGACTCTGCTGCTGTACTGTTTCACACTGTTTTCCACTTTAGAAGTCCAGTGACAGGCTCACAGTGACAGGCTGTGGCAGGCTGTGACAGTCTTTTTGAGCCTGATGACTGCAAAGCATCACCAGCTTCCCTCTTTACGGTATTATTCACTGTTGCTTAGAAACCAACGTGATGAATGCTCCAAAGGGTCCGGGCTGCTGGGTGAGCCAACAGCACCTCCCAGGGATGGGACCCAGACAGATTTCAAATGGGAAACAGTAAGAGAAGTAATGAGTTTGAAAAATACTTATATAGCCTGTGATACGACATTTCTTCTCTGCTGTTCTGTTCACTGTTAAATTAGGTGAGCACAGCATTCAGACATTACCCACTCATGGGATTTCACTTCTAGTAAGGTCTCAGATGCAATCTGTGTTTCCCAGTGTGCCAGTCACTGTCCTGGTTATTACAACACTGCTGTTGGAAATGGAGCTCTCCCTAAAGAGAAAAAGCCCTTACACGTAAATTTCACTGTGGTAATGCAGCTGTGTTCTTCTCCTTGGTGATTCTTCTTTTTATTTTGTTTAACTGGGTGAATTTGATGCTTGTGAAAATGAGACCAGTATCACTGGCTGGAGCAAGGTACTTCACAGATGTGACATGCAGCTCTGCCAATGCACCTCTATCCTTTTTTTTTTTTCCTTTTTTTTTGGTATTTTTTTATATTCTTTTTAATTTAGCGCTGGTGAAAGGTGCTGGATTGACACCACTGGAGGCTGAAGCCCTCTATTTACCCACAGAGCAGATACAGCATGGGCGGCAGCTGTGCAAGTTCCCCCACGCTGCCCCCATCCATGTGCCTCATCTCTGTCCTGGAGGGACCACCTCTAGAGGTGAGAGGATAGTTCAGTCTCCATGACCCATCCAACCCTTGGCCTTTCTGCTGAGACTGCCAACAAAGCTACGAGAGTCACGATGCTGCAGCTGAACACTTGTCAGATGGGAAGTGGACAAAGACCAACAATTTATTTCATAAAGGCCATCTAAATTGATCAACTTAACATCTTTGTCACCTGTCGCTTTAACCTAAGCATGGTTGGGTAGAATTTCTAGGGTTTAGCCTGATTTTTAAATGCTCCTCTCATTTATTCAAATGATAATGCAGGTACTTAGGCCACCTTCTCTGTTTTACTGCAGAGTCCTTTCCTGAGGAGACGGGTATCTTTATAACAAATTAGTTCCATCAGAGACCAAAGGAAGCTATGGCCTTTTGTATTAAGATTCCATGTTCTTGAAATTTAAATTTAAATTGTTCTCCCCTTCCAAAAAATTACCCTTTTATGGATCTTTAAAGTAGGTGATTATTTGGCTTGCCCAAAGAAAGTAACTAAGCTATTAATGTATAAAGAATTTTTAAAGGATAGTCATCATGAAAGTTGATCAATTATTTGATTTTATCAATGAACTGCAGATTAAGGCATCAAAATTTACACTAGTTATAATATATACAAGTTACAGCAGAAGGCTTAGATAGAACTGAACTCAGAATACTGCAAGAATTTGCTAATTCTGTGCTAACAATAGACATTAATAGTTACTCATTATTACAAGTATGTGTCTCTCAGTTTTCACCTGGCTTGACCCTTGAGTAGTTTCTTCCCTGTCAGGGAAGCACCACTGTTGTTGTGTAAAAGGTCAATAGGAAAATCAGTTCATTTTGGCTTCATTTGAGGTGGCTCATGAGGCACTGCAGAACTTGACTGCAGTTAAAAGATTACACAAGCCAGGGTTCAGAAAGCTAGAAACTGTAACTCAAAAATGCCTGGAAAGAGCTACGAGTGAGTTAGGGTTTGTCAGTAATTTAATTTAAAATAAGTTAGGACTCCTCCAAAGCACTCAAAAAGCAATTCCCACATGACACTTGACTGGCCTCTAAAGGCATCCCTACTGCTTCCTGAACACTGTCCCTTGTTAAGGTGCAGAAAATGAGTCCTGGTGTCTTACTCAGCACTTCACACGAATACATGTACTTACATTAAAACTTCCTTTTTAAATCAAAAAATTATGATTTGGTGCAGGAGCAAACTTTTCATAATCATAATAAAAATTATGAACCAGGAGAAGAGATTCAATGATTTTGGAGTTTACATTAACATTCAGTTTATTCCTTAAAATTAATACTTGGCACAAGTGGGTTAACGTATTTATAATTTAAAAAAGCAAAACTATCCCTGGCTTGAGCACAGGTTTTCCTTTCTCATTAGAAAGTACCTACAGTGCTGCACACATCAAGTGCACCAAGCTACATGCTAAAAGGAGTAAGCCCTCACACATGCTGCAGCATTTTATTATGGCCACTGTCTGCTCTGGAAGCTTTAGAAGCTTTTTTTGACTTTGCTGTTTAAGTTTTGACAGTCCCTGAAAGAAGCCGTGGTTATTGTGCTCTCTATCTGTCCAAAGCAGCAATACTTAAATTTTGTTTGCAGACTGGACACTTGGCATAATCTGTTACCATTCTATAGCTATAGTTAATGACAAATTTAGGGTACCAGTTTTTTAAACTACACTCTGCCAGCACATGTGGGATTTTTCAGGTCCTGCAGTCCAAGCTCTTTTGACACTGTAATTCCTATAAACTGCCAACAGTAGAGGTGGTTTGGTCTTTGATATAAAAGAGCAAGGATGACAAGATAAATAAAAAGGGGAAAGTTTGCAGTACAGGTTGTGCTGCGCTGTAGTTCTGGGCACACCTAAAAGTTCAGCATCTTAACATTTGTCCTGCAGAACAGGACTACCTGTGACCTGTGAGGAAAAGACTCAGCACAAAGCGTTAACACCGTGTTCTCCAAGCTGATGTTGTACATAAAAGCAAGGAATGTCGTCTAATTACGTTTGTTCTATGTCTGGGGAGAAAATGGGTTCGGGACTAGAATGCAGATACTCTGTTACTGTTCATGTCAGAGTGGGGGTGTAGATTAATCTGGCATCTGCCCCCCCTCATGGAAATGTTGCAATTGTAGGACTTTATCCTGCATTCTGCTGGACACATTGTTCCTTCCACTGTGTGCTGAATATTAGTCCCCAAAACTGCATGTTTGCTTTTGCTGGGGTAAAAGCTGCATCAACCAGCACCAATGCCTTTGCTCATATGTTGGAGTGCTGTCCAGGTAATGTGTGTGGTTGTGGAAGTTTGCCAGAGGGGGCATGTATTCCCCAAAAGCCGGCATGGCTCTGTAATGCGCTGTGTGCTGCCATCTGTTCAGTGCGTGTTTGTGACGCAATCAAACAATCAGTGCAAATTACAGCTCACTTCAGCAGCTTCACAACATCAATCCTGCCCAATATTGTGCATCCCAAGGGTTGCGTGTATCAGTAGTGTCAGACTTTAGGAAGTCACTAATGAGAATCATTCTTCTGGCACATCCACTGTCAGCTGTTGCACATCAGAAGGTGTATTGTTATGTAGCACTCATCTTGAAGGACATGAGTCCCACGTAATTCCACCTGCCAGGAAGCTGTTACATGAAATACCCCAATACCTTAAATGACAACTATACAGATAACTAATAGATAAATCAACCTTATTATTCCTACTATAAAAGTCTAGGCATTGGTAAATGTCTGGTGTCATCAAAGGGCTCAGTACAGCAACACAATAGTAATCATCATTTACAGCAGCGTTGTAAGCAAAGTGCCTCTCACATTTATAGAATATGCTATTTATTGTTGGGGTTGGTTTGCTTTAACAAGAGGAAGCTGACCAAGATAGCACCAATTAAATGGCAACACTTACCTCTATCCAGAACCAAAGAATAAAGTATTTTCCCATAGATTTCTGCTTTAACTGAATGGTGTATCTCAAGCTTTTATCCTTTTCTCTCACATTCAGTCCTAAAATTAACAATTTCATGGCATTTCTGTAACTCTACTTTATGGGGCAAGGGAGCATTAGGCACAGCCACAGCTGATTCCACGCAGATGCCCACTTTTTTTTGTGTTGAAAGGAAGCACTTTGCAACATACATAGGGACACACACATCTTACACACCCTACGTGGTATGTCCTTAATTGTGTACAAGAAGCCAGTTCTTGCTCCATCCTCGTGCTATGCACCCACCAACAGTCAGCTGCTTAGTGGGCTCGGCACCGTGTTTCCTTGAGTCCTGTGAGCTCATGCGTCCAAGCCAAGTGCACAGGAGGACTCAGATCCCTGGGCATGCACAGACATGGCTGTTGTTTGTCCCGTGTACGTGATTTTTCTCACTTGTTTACAGGCTCTCCCTCTCTACCAGATAAGTACCGCCACTCTCGGGAGATGATGATGTTGCTGCCAGCCCACCGGGACCGACCGAGCAGCGCCATGTACCCCGCAGCTATCATGGAAAACGGACAGGTAACAGCTCTCATTCCTTCTGTGTCACTTCAACCACCTGAAACTGTGGCTGTATTTTTGCTGGCTTTGATCACCTTAAAGCTTTCTTTTTTATTTTTGGAAAGCACAGCAACTTAGGATCATTTCCTGAGGTGAAGCAGAACTTTTCTTATTAGTCCCCCCTGGAGACACTCACTGTGGCAGCTGACTGGTGCAAACTGTAGTGGCTATTAAAAGAGCAGACCCGTCCTGTGAAAATGGACTCACTTCCCAGCTTCATCCTGTGAGCCCTGGCCCATTGCAAGCGGTCACACCATTTTCTTTATTTGTTTAGAACCATGGCCATCCATCCTACAGTCTAGTCTCCAAGTTTATTCTAAATAACTTTATGATTTCCAGAGGTATCAAAAACCATGAGAGGCTGAAATAATATACTGATACATGTGTTTTAAAAAAATCTGTGCTCTAATTTCCCTGGACAAATTGAAAAGTGTTCCTACATGTAAGCATTTAAATCTCACCCCAGCCTGCGCTTTTGAAAGGAATCTCCTGATCCTGCCCACTTACCACACTTGCATTGGAGAGCTGTCTCAAAGCATGCAAAGTCAGTGTTCAAACAAAACCAAAGATAAGCTTCAGAGGGAAAACATTGTATTCCAGCTGCTAATGGGCACAAGGCCAGGCTAGAGCTAGTCTGAAATAACTCCTCCAGAGAGCAGGAACTGTGGGCCCTCAGCACACTTCGACCCTAGGGATCACTCATCTTGCACTGCACTACCTGCCAAGGTAGGCATGGCTTAAGGTTCCCAGGGAATCTTTAGTTTAAAAACTTCTTTGCTAAAAAAAAGCAACAGAAAGTCCCCATGTTGCCCCAGCTGGTCTGTAACCTTTTTTTATTTTTTTTAACTCTTCTTTGCTAACTTTCTTCTCTCTTAGCCTCCAAATTTCCAGCGCGCCTTGATCCAGCAAATGATTGGACCGTGCAAACCTTGCAGTGATCCCAACCTGTCTGTGGCTGAGAAAGGTACTCCTCTTCCTCTGCAGCATGCATGCTTGCTAGCTAAAAGATTATTCCTCTGGTCATGCTACAGCAAGTAACAAATGGGCTTCTACATTTCCTGGCGGAGTGCATTTCTCTCACACTTTCTAATTAACAGTTTAATTAACTGGGCCTTCTGCCAACCTACCATCATTTCAGAGCCTTCACAGTAGGGTGGGGTGGCACAGACCTCCCTATTTCAGAAAGCTTTCTGAGTTTAGCATTTTGTTTTTGAAACAATTCCTGCAGCCTTTGTCAAGCAAATGAGAAGTTATCTAAGAACAGCCCAAGACTGGGACTATATTTTTTACTTATGAGTTATACTGCTTCTTAATACACATGTATTGCTCAAAATACAAACATTCCTCGTAATCTCTCTCTGAGGTAGTTTTATATTTATTTATCCTATAGCAATATATGCTTTTTTAACTCATTCTTTTGAAAAAAAACCAGGCAGAGTCCCTGCAGGGGGGAAAAAAAACTGAAAGAGGAGAAAGAATTTGTTTGGTGTACGAGAAAAGGAGCAGCTTGTGAAGGAGGTGCCATGGACAAAATGATGGGCTCAAAAATTATCTGAAAGGCAGCATTCTGAAAAAGCAGAAGAGGGCAAAATTCCTGAATCAAAATCTGAGACAAGGAGGCTGCTTAAGCAAGCAACAGTCATGTATTGCTGGAAAAAATGGTATCTTAAAAGATTTAAGGCCAGGAAAGACCACTGCTACTATCTAGTCTGACCTACATCGCACACTCAGATTTTTATCTCTTTTTGTTTCATAGCTGTGCCAGAACTAAACTGTACCTTAAAAAAAAAAAATCCAAATTTTATTTTAGAATTTCTAATAAATCAGAATCCCCTACTTCAACATGAGTGGCCCAGATGGAAACCAAACACCAGTTCTGAATAAATGGCAGAACGATGACTTGATGACAATAACGAGTGATGACAAGAGAGTTCAGATTCGGAGTCAGGGATTAAGAGCTCCATCCATGTTAGTTTGAACAAAACATATAACAGAGATGGGGAGATCTTTGTATTGGAGAGGAGAAAGATTTGAAAAAAGAAGGTAGATAAATATTTATTGTCTGTCTAGGAAAAAATACTTGAGTTTGTATCTGTGGGTGATATTATGCAGGAGTGTGGTATTCAGTGCCAGGAGACCAAAGACAGAATCCCTAAGAAGCCACAAAAGACACAGGTGATGTTCAGTGGGGATGGTGAGGCAGGAATCCCAGCTCTTGTGCCTGGCTGGTGGCAAAAGGCATTACAGGTGCTGCTGGCAGGCCTGAACCCTCAGCATTCTATGTAGTTGGGATGCCATCTGCCCTGGATTTTGTGAGCAGTCAGGGCCCTGACTTCCCCCACCCTCTCCTGGCCGTGTCAGAAGTTCTGTTTGGTAATTCCCAGTGACAGTGGTGACATCAGTCACCCGGGGCAGAATGGTTCAAATGCAGCCTCCCCACTAATTAAACTTGGCCGCTGAACAGTCACAGAGAGAGACTTGGTTTAAGTCACAGCACTGGGAGCTCCCTGCTTCGGTTCTTCCCTGAAGCATTTTGGCTAAAACACTGGTTTTACTGGGCAGCAGCTACTCTTCAAAATCATCCCACCTTCTTCCAGCACTCCTAAATATTCAAAAGGCTGTGAATGAGGGAACACTGAGAAAGCATAAATGGATTTTTCACTGGGGTACCATGTGTTCTTCACATTCTCGTTCTGCATCTCAGTGTTTTAAAAAACCCCAAAGCCACAAGCACTGCAATAGTTTTACAGGCCAAGCAAATCAGGTTTTCTGTCCTTTTCACGTGATGATGGGATATGGCAGGAGAGATGAGCAAGGCTGGCACTGCTGTTGCATCTTGTCCCTCTGTTTTAGCCTGTTGACACCAATTGCAGTAGTGCAAATTAGAGCACTCTGGCATGTGTACAGGGAAAATCCATCTGGAGCCACATTACTTACATAGAGAGGTAGGCCCTGGTTTGAACCTGTTCTCCATCAAGATTCTTCATATGCCTTTCTCAGGTTCTCAGGCTAAGAGTCTCTCTTCAAAAAGAAAAAAACATTTACTTTTATATTTTTATGGGGTTTGTTCTGTCTTATGAAGCTGTCACTTTGTGATCTTTTTTACTTTAGGGAATTTTAGGCCTTGGGGAGCCCATGCTCATGCTAACTACATGAACTAGGGAGACAAAAAAAAAAAAAAAGAGAAACCTTTCAAAGTCATTTTAGAAAGAAATGTACCAAGAATGGCTGCAGGCATTTTAATTAAGGAGAAATCCTCTTCAGATGTCAAACTCCATGTTTATTTCTCCAGGCTTCCATTTTGCAAACTGAAGATGGAAAACGCTATTTTTATCTCAGTTTTCTTTGACAGGCTCAATTAATTACTTTTTTTTCTTTCTTTGCTAATCTGAAGCAATTGCAGTTGATTATTTGTTTTTAAATAAACATACAACTATTGTATGTCTCTTCTCAGAATAAATCAAGTCTTGTTTGGAAGGAAGGTGCATTTTAATAATGTTCAAGGTTGACAGAATTCTCAAGATCTTGAAAAAGGTTCATGTTCATGTCAAGAAGCAGCTTTTATTTCTATGAAAAACCAAGTCCATGAAGTGAATATTCACTCTCTGTTAAATGCAGCAAGCATTGCTTTCTCTATACTTCCTGATTCACAAAGGCTTGATCTCTTCAGGAGACTTTGTAATACAAGGAGGCCAAACTGTTGTCTTTAAATATTTTGTCATCAAAGCCCTTTATCAACTCTGTAGCTTAGTAAATTGGAGCTTTGAAGTAATTTCTTTTGCAACAGATTGAAACAGATTGAGGTATAATTTCCTTCATGTCCTTTATTCAGTCCTTACTGAGCCTGCAGTGCAGCCACAGACCATCCTGTGTTTCCAGAGGGTTTTGCCACGTTCCTTTGTCACCACTCCTCACAAAGCAGGACACCTGAGCTCACACCTGAGATCCAGCCACCCTTCCTTTGGTGGGATTTCATTTTTACCTCCACACTGATTTGCAAAAATCCTGCCAGAGTCCTACGGCTCTTCAGATTTGTTAGAAATGAGGCCAGGGATGGAGGGGAGCTGGGCAGACTAACCCTGCAATCACCTAACTCTCACATCCTTAACAAAGCATCTCTAAACTTAACACTCTGTAGCCTTTCTGTGCTTTCAATCCTGCCATTCACTGAGTCCCTGGGATCTGTCTCTGCTGCTGAAGAGCACGCTGGAAAGCCAGTGCTGGCCCCACAAACTCCCTGTCCTGTTACCCGAGTCACATCTGTTTCAATCCTTCAGCTGTGCCAGCGGCACCCAGTAGCTGGAGCCTGGACAGTGGAAGCCGAGAGGCGCTGCCATTCCTGTCTGCCCACGCTGGGAGCGTCCTGGCCCCACCAGTGCCTCCCCGAAGCCTGCCCCATGGTAAGGACCTGCCCAGCAGGCCTGCTGCAAATCCTGCAGCTCACACACACACAGATCCAGACACCTAAAAGCTGACTATAGCCTTTTGTCCCCACCCCTGTAAAAACAACCAGAATAGTCTTTCCTGGTCTTCTAGGTTTTCAATTTTTTTTTCCCAAATCTTCGAATTCTTGCCGTCCTTAAGCAATGTGGACTTTTGTGTACTTTGGGACTAGAATTAAGTCTGAGAGTGTTGAAGCTTGGTGTGGCTTCTTACCAGTGACCAACTTTAGCAGTAATTTAAGCTTACAGAATGAAACTTCAAATGTTCATTGTTTAAGAGCCTGTTGCCTTGCCATGAGATTCTCAATAACGGAGCAGTGAAAGATCTCTCTCTGGACTTAATTTCTCCTTAGCAGCCTGTGTGTGACAGATGCACTCCGCAGTATCCATCAGACAGGCAGCTCTAGGCTGGCATTAGCAGCATTTGGAGATGTTACCTGGCACTACAGAGCTAAACCCAGATCTGTGGCTGCAATGAAACAGCACAAGTCTGCATTTCTGACCCTTGTCTCGTTCCAGGACACTACTCACTGCACTTTGATGCCTTCCACCACCAGCTCAGTGATGCTCCTCCGGCACTGCCCGCACGAACGTTGCGCAAGGTAATGGCAGGAGAGCAGAGAGGGATGTAGGAGCACAATGGGCTCCTGAAAGGGATCTCCCCTTCTCTGCTCCCACCAAACAGCTTGTGAACACAGAAACACTATTTATAACATGCTAGTAACTTGCACATGAGAAAACCCACTGAAAGCTCTTAACCTATTCCACAGCTGAATGCTATAGAAATAACTCACAGGTTGTAGGTCCTTCCCTTTTCCTTTTTTGCACCATATGCTGTGATTTCAGCACCCCGATCATCACCTCAGCTACTATTTCTCTAACAGCTCTGGTGTTGTTGAGTGCACTTGTCTGCCCACAAGTGGTACTTCCATACATGTAAACCAATAATCCTTGACATTCTGAACATAAATGGAACTGTGCCGTTGCTAACACCGCTGTCAAAAGCTGAAATGAGGATCAACGCACAAGATGCAGCATTGCCTCCTTTGTCAATTTTAACCTGGTTCTGTTTCTCTCCAAACAGTCCCCTCTTCATCCTATCCCTGCATCACCCACCAGTCCGCAGTCTGGTCTAGATGGCAGTAACTCCACTTTATCGGGCAGTGCCAGCAGTGGTGTCTCTTCCTTGAGCGAGAGCAATTTTGGACATTCTTCTGAAGCACCTCCTCGCACAGACACCATGGATTCTGTGCCCAGCCAGGCCTGGAACACTGACGAAGATCTAGAGACACCCTACCTCCCTGTCAGGTACAGTCTCTCTGAGCCTGATGTCCTGGAGTCGCTCAAATCCCAGCCATGCCGAAGCCACTCTGCTCCGTCTGGAGTCATTCCTCAGGACACCATGGACCCTCCTGCTTTACCCCCCAAACCTTACCACTCCCGGCTGCCGAACATGGAGAACGAGGAGGGGATGATGATTGAAGACGACGACAAACACCGCCCGTTGCATCGTAAAGCGTCCCAACCGGTGAGCGGTGCAAAGGAAGAGCAGGCCAGGGTGGCATGGGAGCACGGCATCAGTGAGCAGTAGGGACAGCTCCTGGTACGCAGCTGGCGTCGGCATTCCAGGTCTGGACACGACAGAGAGAGAGCAGGACTCGGAGAACAGCAAACCGATTTTCTACTGCCGCGAGGTTATGTCTGAAGCCCACAAAGCGAGTCGGGCCAGCATGGCAGGTTGCTGCTTTCCTTTTTAATTTCTTTTTACACCTTTCTGTTATGTTTTTTAACTTTCTGTGCAGTGGACGGTTTATTCCTTCTGCAGTTTCTTAACCACATCACACGGCATATGAGCCATAGAGACTAGCAGAAGCCGAAAAATACAATTTTAAGTGGAGGGGAAAACGGGGGGAATGTGGCAAGTTGATTTTGAACCTGCTTTCCTCCCAGTTCTGAGACGCACATGAGTAGAAGCAGTTGCACTAGGGACATATTTCTTTGCTGTACAGAATTGAAAGCTCATTGCTGAAATCAGGGATTCTATGAACTGTCAGGCTGGAAGGTGCATGAGCTGCAGGCAGTGGAAAGATGGCAATTCTAAGAAGAAATTGGCTCTTTTGAGAGCAGGATTGTACATATCTGTGCAGTGATCTCCCTGCATTGGTTCATAGGTGCTGAGGCAATCTAAAGCAGTGCTGATGCACTGATCTCCAAGATATCATTTCCAAGAAACTCTGCCTCCTTTGTTTTTTATGTACTGTTTCATTTCTTAAATTTTGCTTTCACTGGCTAAGCCAACCTGCTTTCTCATGGGAATCATGTTATTCATCTGTGCTACAGAACGAGAGGAGGTTGGTGGCTACTGGAGCTACAACCTCATTGTAGGCCTTTCCCATGCCCAGCTTTGGGCAGGCTGTTGACACCAGCATTTCTATTCCAGATTAAAACAAAACCAACCAAATTGAGTTTCTCATGCCACAAGCTGGTTGATGACCCAGCCAGTAAAGACAAGGTGGCTTAAACACATCATATCCAACAACCTTTGCCTCAGGGCTGAACATCTTAATTCTCACCAACTTCCATCACCCAGGAGCTGAGATTCATTCCTGTTAACTCCATATCCTCAGTCCCCCTCAACAACTCACTGCAGCTGGTGTGCAGAAAGAATCTCCCATCTCTCAGAGCAGACAGAAAACACCAAGACTTGAGCAATGCCTGGTATCAAGTGTACACCCCAGAGTCAGGGACCTTAAAGGCAACCTGTAAAGAACAAGTGTTTGTTTCCTCTTTTGCTTCTTTAGAATGTATAGTAAGAGCTGCTGCTCCTCTCTTCTGGAAGGTTGATTTCTTTTTCCTTTTCTCCTCAGGCAACAATACGCCCTTTCCCCATCCCATATTTTTTATTAATAAGCTCTAGAAAGGGCTGAGGAACATTGTGGGGAGCCAAGCCACACCACACAAACCAGAACTGTGCAGAGCTCAAGACAGTTCAGGTCTATGAACCCAAAACATGCCTTTTAATCAGTACTTGCACAGTTCAGGAAGAAAGTATCTGTGGGTAATATTGTTCTTTACAAAGAAAATATCTTGGTTCTAAGAAACCTTTTATTCCTCTTTTCATCCTTATCATGAAATTTTCAATCAAAATAGTATCAAATATTTAATGTATTTGGATGAACAAGCCACCTTCCTTTCCCTTGCCATACCCACACACATTTTAGCCTTCCTTACAACCCTTTTACCTGCAGACTGCAAAGCACACTCCGTAAGATGGAAACAGCCCTCCCTCTTTCCTACTGCTGAAAAATCTGAAGCACATTCAAATAAGACCTCCACCATATAAACCAGTGCCAGAAACAGGAACAGCACCCAACTTACATCTTGAATTCCTGTCTAACTGCTCTGTTTCTCCTGCTAAAAACAGCATAAAGAAGCAAAAAGGGATTATTATAAATCTTTTACAGGTCACCTTTAGCACTACCTCTAAATACAGTGACTGGGCAGAGTACATGGTTTCTGAACTGGCTAAGGATGGTTTGGCTGTATAAAGTCTGGACTCAGCAGTTGTATGAAGGGGACTTTTTAAGAGGATTTGTTTGTTTTCTTTCTCAAGCTCTAGCCCATGCAAAACTACTAAGTTATGGATTTGTTTCTTAAATGGCCTATTTGGCTGGAACAAAGTCTCTCTTGCTTCCTCTATTTTGTTACTAACACAGGCTGCTTGTAATCATTATATCCTTCACAATTTAAACAATGAAAATAAAATCTGGCCTATAGTGGATGTTTCATCTTTAGCAAGAAGGAGAGTTTTCCAATGCTAGGACAGTCTTCATTGTTAACAAACCAAGCTGGATCTCTGGTATAGAACAAATGCAGGAAACCAACTGATGTTTTCAGTAAAGGTAAGTCAAGGTAATTCCTTAGAAAAGGGTGAAATGTTTTCACATATGCTATTCTCCAATCCCACTGAGACTCTTCCAGTGAAGTTCTTAAAAGAACTAAGTTTTAATTCCATTTCCCTTGCCCCAGTTTTTTTTTTTTTTCCTGGCAGCAAGACTAAAAGTAGTAAATGTAGTGACTTATCAAGCTTCCTTAATGTGAAAAACCAGCAGGTCTTGCAAATAAAACTTTGCATAACCAAGAATGCAATTACCATAGGACTGAGTCCCAGGCAGCTGGAAAACCTGCCCACCAGATCTCAAATCAGTCACTGACAATGCATCCTCCTGCTCTGATTAGAGACCTGGTACAACAGCAGTGAGTCCATTTGGGGAGTCTGGCTTCCTATGTATTTGCAAGAGTTCAAAGATCAATCAGGTGATGTGTACAAATACCTAATATATGGCAGGTCCACATAAAGAGGGGTGGAATAAATTGCTGAGTTTACCAAATTTAAGCCTCTCTGGAGTTAAATTTCTGTTATTGTTCTGATATCTACCAAGTATTCTGTCTCCCTTTTCAGTGTTTGCCTTAAAGGGAACAGAAGATGGAAAGACTATTATTGAGATTTTGTGAATCTTGGAACTAATATTGCCTGGAACTACTATTTCTCTGTAGGGTGAGGTGTCTTTTAGCATAGTACAACTCCAATGTCAAGCTCAGTCCTGGAGTAGGTGGAAGCAACAGCAGTTGTTGCACTTGCCCAACAGGATTTGAAGATTGCTTGTATAAATCACATCAACAGGATACTTTGAACAGGACCTTGACATTCTATACCTAACTCGAATTCAAAGCTCAGTGTACTTGCTTTCATTGGGTTTTCTCTGCATAAGAAAATAGCATGTGCATTCCTGAGAAAATTGGTGGAATTCTGCTATAAATCTCTCCATCGTCAGTGTACCTGCTGGCCCCATCTGAAACAAAATTGAGAAGGAGCTACAGTGGTAGAAGAAAAGCAATTAAAACAATTTCCTGAATCCTACCTTTTTTTCCCCAGTAGTTGGGTTGGTTTTATTGCTGTATGCAAGACTCAGATCCTTTTTCGTATTTTCCTGTTTGGTTTTTAGCTTACTTACCCTTTTTTAGGTAAGGGATATTGCATATCCCTTCTAAGGAGTATCAGCCAAAACTGGGGAGGCTGGAGAGAGCAAGAGCCTTTGGGAAACAAATTATGTGATATTTAAAATTTCCTCTGGTCATGCTTCTTTGTAAATACCCCCATTTGAATGCTGTGTATTTGTACAGGAAATTGAGCAAAAAATGTATAGATTGTGATGTCTGACTGGTATTCTGCCCTGTAAATGTGTTTTTAACCTCTGGCATTCTGTGCTTATTTAAAAAAAAAAAAAAAGGCGAAAACCTCTAACCACTTCTCTTTTGTGTATTCATGTTTAAAATAAAATGAAAACAGCTATCTTATCTATAATGGAAATCAAATTCAAAAGGAAACAATTAATTTGTACAAGTGTCCTAAAGGTACTTCATTGTATATATTGTGATAGCATGTTTCCAGAACCAACAAATAAGTGGTGTGAATTTTAGATGTAAATATCTGCCGTTTGTTTTGGGTTCCTTTCCCTTACCCATTCACTCGACTGCTGTGATGTGGAATTAAAGATTAATACCTGATATTAAAACAGTACAGCTGTATGGTCATTGCTGTCCTTGAGGCAGGGCTATCCTCAGGCTGCTCCAAACCTTCACAAGAGACAAGGAAGAGCCCTCACTTCCCACCTTTGTGTGAATGAGAAAAATGGGGGGCAACCAAAGGACTTTGTGTGTGGTGAGGGAACAGCTTCCATGTTTAATTGTTATTTAATATCAACTTCTTGAAGCAAGCAGCAGGTACAGCCCCCTCCTGGTCTAGGCAGGTAGATGGGCACTTGCAACAGCCCCAGGCACAGTTCTGGGGCAATCCTTTCAGAGAAAAGCTCTCCCCTAGGCCAGCAGTGCAGTGGCTGGGTGCCACTCCCTTATCAGCTGGGGTTGAACCACTACTGTCTCACTGTCCAAAAGACTGCCACTCTTTTATTGCAATAGTTGTTAGATACTGATCATTTTAACAGAATAGGTGTGAAAGAATAGCAGTTAAGACATGTGGGAACACAGGATTTGGAAATTGAGAGCTATGGTGACTTCTACAGGCTCCTAATCTCAAATTTTCTTCCATTACTACTAATAAACCAGGTCATTGTACAGAAGGCCAAATAACTCATTTAATGTCTCAACAAACCAACAAAAAAAACTTTGAAACCAAAAGACATTTAGCAGCAAGTCTGACTCTTCAGGTGGCCCCAGGATGTACATGGACTGCCAAGGCACCCTTTGCACATGCCCCATACAAATACTGAGAAGAGAAACTGTAACAGTGTACTGAAGTCTGTATCAGTCATAGCATAGAATCACAGAATCATTCAGGTTGGAAAAGGCCTCCAAGATCACCAAGATCTTCAACCAAATACCACTCTGCCCTCTAAACCATATTGTGAAGAGCCACGTCCACTTGGTTTTTGAACACTTCCAGGGATGGTGACTCCACCATTTCCCTGGGCAACCTCTTCCAGGGCTTAACCATCCTTTCAGTGCAGAAATTTTTCCTAATATCCAACCTGAACCCTCCCTGACACAACTTAAGGCCATTTCCTCTTCTCTTGTCCCTTGTTCCCTGGGAGAAAAGGCTGACCCATACCTGGCTACAGCCTTTCAGGCAGCTGTAGAGTGTTAAGACCTCCAGCCTGAACACCCTTGTACCCTCAGCCACTCCTGCTAGGACTTATGTTCCCAACCCTTCACCCTGTCTTCAATCAGACCCTTTGAGACTGTTTTTAAGCCAGCTTATTAAATCTTAGTTAAGTAAGTATTTTTTATTTGGACAAAAAGTATCTATTAACGAAGCACAAGTAATAAAAACTGTGTTTTGGCACAACAAAATTTCAACTTTAAACAAGAGTTTCAAAAATACTCTAGTTTCTGTTAAATCCAACAGAACAATTTTTTTCAGTGCAAGTCCAATACTTTATTTAAGCTGCCGCTAGTCAGATGGAAATCTAAATCCCATGTCCAAATACCTCTTCTTATCTAAATAAGAAAACTTCAGCACAGTTTCAAAATATGACTTGTCTGACTCAGTATGAATTTCATTACAAAGCTGATAAGAGGAGAAATTAAATCTCTAGAAATGACTCTAACCTGGCAGATGAAAGATTCAGCCTTCTACACCCTGTGCATAAATGTGCCTCCATCTCTGCGTGATTCTTAAAAAGCCATGGGCACAAACACAGACAGCTCACAAGGCACAGCTCCGAGCTCAGAGAAGGTCTTAAGAGAAGGTTCAAACACCACTTCTCTTTTGATGGCCTCTACTGTCAATCCCACATAAATGACCCCAAATTTGGAATAGCAGATGTATTACACCGCATCTTCTATCCAGCATTCATTCACAGCAGTACTGCACTACCTCTTCCCCAACTGTTTCCTGTCCCCTCTGACAGAGCTCCCTTCTTTGTCCTCACAGCCCAAGCCCAGGGCTGAGCCCCTTCATCCCTCCCATGGCTGTAAGAGGTTTGTGTTCTCAGACTGCAGAGCCAGCACAGCCCAGCCCCCACAGCTGCCAGGAACAGCCTCTGTTTCCCTGCACTTCCCAAGGACTCCAATCCCCAAATGAACTCTCCTGCCCACTCAACTGGCTGACTAGCTCAGAGCAGAGAAGGTTCCATGCAGACCTTCCAGTGCCTAAAGGCATTCCAAGAGAGCGGGAGAGGGACTTTGGACAAGGCCCCAGAGTGATAAGGACACGAGGGAACAGCTTCACACTGACAAAGCCCAGGGTTAGATTGGATACTAGGAAGAGACAACAGTGAGGACCAGCACAAGCTCTGCATCACCCAGGTCTCAGCCAGGACAAATCCCTAATGCTTCAGAGAGACAGGGCCTGGAGGGTGGTGAAACAGAGCCCCAAAAACCTCACCATGGATCAAGAAGAAGCACAAAGTAAAATGCAAGGAATCCATTGTAACTGCTGAAACAAACTGTAAATAAAAAGCGCCTGGAGGGTGGTGGAACAAACAGAGCCCCAAAAACCTCACCATGGATCAAGAAGAAGCACAAAGTAAAATGCAAGGAATCCATTGTAACTGCTGAAACAAACTGTAAATAAAAAGAAGGAAAAAACCCAAAACACCAAAGGAGACCTTGTTCTTCCTCAGACCCATTTGAGGATCCCACATTAACATACAGAGGCTCATTTTCTAATCCAAAACCAAATAAAATCACTTGTCTCTTGTTCCACAAAAATTTATAAAGTTCCTACTTTGAAGATGTTTCATAACTGCACTATTTTGGTAGGTAAACTCTGTCCTTATTATGACCTTCCTAATGTCTCCTAATTCCAAAATTAAGCTCTATTCCCACCTAATTATGAAGCCACTGCATCTCACAGTTCTTTTGGCCACTATCCTGATAAGAAACAAGGGCACTTCAAGCCACCACTTCTCTGCACAGCTAAGTGACTTTAGTGGGCAACGAGCATAATTTTAAAAAAGCCAATAATCTTCCTAAAGTATACTAATATTAAGCAATTCTGTAAATCATTATGGACTGACTTAATAATATCTATATTGATCTTAATAACCACATTTGGAGAAATAAAAATATCTAGAAATGCGCAAAACCACGTCTCCTAATAAACACATGATGTACTCTCACTGGTAATGAATGTCCCAATTACTGCTCACCTGCAGTGACCTTTCCTGAATCAGGTGCTCCTCCTCCCCACACTGCCTGTCTCACCTCGTCAAGCTTATCACTTGCACCTGCAAGAACATTCTGATTAGGCACTGCCCCACCGGGCTGCAGCAAGAGCCTGCCTGTGCAAAAGCGCTCACGGAGCTACGTGGGAGCTCCCTTGTGGTAGCACAGGGCTGTGTGACTTTGCAGCTCCCTTCCTCCACTGGAATGATATCCCAGGACACAGAGTTACACGTGAAGCCGCACAAGGAGCCATCAGCAGGTGTGTGCCCGTCTGCCAGCTTCAAGGGAATTTCAGTTATAAATTTACAGTGCTGGGGGTTCTTGAAGGTAGTTAACGGCACAAACTAGGAGGACTTTGAGTTGGAAAAGACCCACAAGGATCACCAAAGTCCAACTCATAGCCCTGGCACCAGACAACCCCAAGAATCCCCCGATGTGCCTGAACAAAAGGTGACAGGCTCAGCAACTAGGATATTAAGTTGGAATTAAACAAATAAAAAAATTTCTTTCTGCAAAAGCACCCACACAAGAAGCCAGAAACAAGTGCACACAGGTTGCTGTTTTGACCTCTCAGCTGTCCCTCCTCAAAGCACCCAGTCCCTGTACCTCACAGGGTGTACCCCGAGCCACCCGTGACGCGCTGGCACCGAGCCCGTCCCTGCTGCTCCCACCCCTCACGGGACACCCCTCCCACGAACGGCTGCCCACGCGGCCCCTCTGCCCGCCGACTCCAGGCTACTCGTGGGCCTCGAGCGACCCCTCAGGCCCACCTTGCGCTGCCGGACACGGCAGAGAGGGGGAAGGAGGGAAGGAGGAGCCCGGGCCGGCCCCGCCCGCCCGCAGGTGTGAGGATCTGCCCCTTTCCAAGATGGCGCCCGCGGCCGCCGTCAGGGAGCGCTCGCGAGAGCTCTTCCCTTAACAAAGATGGCAGCGAAGGGGGGCGGGGATCCGCGCCGCGCGCCGCCGCTCCGCCGCCTGTCCCCAATCAACGGCCGCCAACTCTCCCGTGGAGGCGACTGCGCGGCCAATGGGAGCGGGGAGCGTGGCGGCCGGGCGGGGAGCGGGCCAATGGGGCGGCGGGGGCAGCCGGTGCGGGGTGCTGGTGCCGGTGGTGCCGGTGCGGCGGGCGCTGCCGGGCGAGGCGGGATGCGGGCGGCACACGGGCTTTGCGCGGCGCTGGCCCTGCTCCTGCTGCCGGCCGGTGGCCGAGCGCTGCGCGACGGGGACTGCGAGGGTGAGTGCGGCCGGGCCCGGCCCGCGGGCACGGCGGGGGGAGGCCGTTCCTCGCCGCCGTCTAACGCACTCTGGCCCGTCCGCCAGCTTGTGGGGCCGGGACGCGGAACAGCCTTGGGGCTGTGACAGCCCCGAGTGACAGCTCTGCCGCCGGGGCTGGGCCGGGCCGGGGGGAGCGCTGCCTCCCGCGGCAGGAAAAGTCTCCCAAGTCTGGCTAAGTGCGGACGGACCTGGCCGGGCGCCGCTCGGGAACGTCCGGTGCCGGGGCGATGCGCCGGGCTGCCGGCGGGGCGGGGCGGGGCTTCCAGCCGTGCCCCGCGCCGGGGACGGCATCTCCCTTCCCAGGGTACTGCACTTCGTCGGGAAGTTGCTGGTCCACGGGGCCAGCGGTAGTGTGGAGTCCCCGCGGGAAAGAGGAGCGACGACTCCGGGAGAGCGGACCGTCTCCAGGCCGGGAGAGCAGCAGTGTCACAGCTCGGCACTGGCGCTCCCCGCCGGCTGTCCCTGCCGGGTGAGCAGGGCAGGGAGCAGGAGAGCGTGAGTGAGGTTACTCACCCGGGACTCCCCCTTAGTCATCACGGTATTACGGAGTGCTCGGAGTCTCGGTGCGCACAGCCGGGAGCCGTGAGCAGCTGATCCAAATCAAGTCGGGCCCTTTGT